TGATATGAATGACAGCAAAAATATTAACAGAAATGGCGACAGAGATGCATGGAATTTGTTTACCATCAGTCAATTGAAGGTTAAACTTTAAAACAATGTTGGTCGTTCCCATGGAATATTTTTGACTTTAATGGTATTAGTCATGATATGAATCTCAAGGTATGAACGAGGAGAGATGAGAGACTTATATGCTTCCCAAATTTCTTCAAAAGGTAATGTTATACCTGACTGTTTCCAAATGAGTTCAATATCATAGCGTGAGAAACCTTGAAAGATAACGAAGTCAGTTATGAGACGTTTTATGTTTAAAGCAAGGAAACGCCATGTTTGCATAAGTATTGCTACAGTTAAATGGTAATGTCTGACTTTAGTATGATGTTAGCTAATGGTGAGTCAGGCTTTGACACTAAACCTTTTCCGGCGAAGTCGTCACAAACGAGCAGAGTGTTTGAAGGATACTTTTTGAAGGGGTATTTTGAAAGTTTTGATAGAATGTAGTTTGTCAGTCGTTTCATATCGTAAACTCCTGAGTATTGACGTAAGTGGTGTTTGTCAATAATTCTTTCCATCTCTTCTGAAGTCTTTTGCATTCCTGACTGTATAAATTCAACGATGGCATAATATTTTCTCTTACGTCGAATGTAACGTTGAAGAAATTCAATGAGTTCGCTATCTGGAACTTTAACGACAGATGCTTGAACTTTTGACATAAATGTTTTCGCTGTTGAATCCATAGAGTCTGAAGTTGCTGATATAATGATTTGGTCATAATATGAGTCTTTCCTAAACGCTCTGTTATGAGTATATGACGAATTAATTAAATGTCTTACCTGACCCATCTTTCCACAATAGAAATAAACACCATTTGAACAGAACTCATAGTCCTTACTGAAAGGAAGAATGAGAGAAGAGTTAAGTTTGTCTGTAGTTTCATTCATGTCTTCATCTACGTCATGTATTAAATGCTTCATTTTATCTCCATTAAAAATGCAAGTCAGAAATATTCAGAACATAGCACCGAGTCTAACTGACAAGAGTATAAAGATATACTATGAACACGTTATGATGAAACCAACCAAAATTCAAGAAAGTCAGTATACTTATGAATATCCAAGACACTGGGTAGAGTATGTAGGAGGTGAGAAAGCTATTGAAATCAGACAGGTTCGAAGTATTCCAGCAGGAAGGACAATATTATTGAAGAACTTTAATGTTTTGAGGTATAATGATGAGACAAAGAAGCAAGATAGTTTTCCTATTGCTGTGTATGTGAACCTAGACACAGGAGATGACATGAAAGTTTTTAACACAAAGCTTCAAACGGTAGTGAGAGAACAACTGACTGCGGAAGGACATCCCATTACCTTCAGAAGTTACCATAGCGTATAATTTTGAAACAAATGCAATAGATTTTAAAGTCGTCTCTGCAAAGAAGTCAGGTTTTACATTTAATGAAGCAGATGTATATTCGAATGAAAACTTCAAAGCTATTGCATGGTTAGATAATGACGATTGCTTTAAGAAAATATTTAAATACAGTGACTCAACGATGTCAATAGATGACCTTCGTGGAATGTTACCATCGACGTTTACAGTAGAAGGTTCAGCAGGATTGCTTACAAGATTGTCAATTGGTGGTATTTGGTCTCGTGAGAACATTGTTATAAAATCCAGTATAAGTGAATTTGCTGAAGAATCTATATTATGTCTTTCAAACTACATGTATTCGCCGCCGAAGCATTATAGTATAACAAACTTTGTCAGTAAGTTTAACATAAGACTTGTCGAACCTTCTTCAATGAAAGATGTTGTGCTACCTAAAGACGGAAAGGATGGACTCATTATTGAGATGATTTTAATAGCATATTAAATGAGCTTGTTCTTAAAGGTCGTTCATGATGAAATAACTGTTGTAGAAGATGTTAGCAATTGTTCAGACATTTTGAAGCGTATAGATGATATAAGAAAGAAGTTAAATAGACCGCAAAGCGGTGAGGGCGAAGCACGTGAGAATGTTTATGTTTCATTGACTTTCTCCAGTAACGAGAACTTTTATGAGATAATATTGAAGAGAGATGATTTTAATATGGGGTAAATGGTAGCTTGGGCAGCTTTAGGCGCAATGGGAACAAAAGCATTAGCATTTGGAGCAAAAGCACTTGGAGCTTATGACGCAGTAAATAAAATGAGTGGAGGAAGGGTTTCAAAGACATTAGATGCAAATAAAGGGAAGATTGGAGGCTGGGTTGCAAAGAAGTTAAGATTAAATAAAATAGGGCTCATAAATAAAGCATCCAATTTGGTTGCGACTGAGTCAGAAAATGCTTTAGGAAAGGACGATGAGTTTGCAAAACATGCAAAAGACTTTAATGACCAGATGAAAGGTGAAACAATGCATTTAAATAGAGTCGATGGAACTCTTCCTCCACAACTTCCACCAGCAGTTCTTCCGTATGGTCCCTATGGAATGTATGGAAACCCTTACGAAAGACCATTTGACCCATTGACTGGTGGAAGTAACTGGTATCATTACGGACGAAGAAGAAAGACAGTCAAGCTGGAGACAGACGTGAAGAAAGCAACTAAAAAGAAACCAAGGAAGAGAGTTATAAAGTAATGAGAACGTTTATGTTATGAGAAATTTTTAACGTTAGTTTTATTTTTACTGAAAATTTTTATTTGGATGTAATGACGAAAACTATTGAGATAACAAACTACAACGGTCATGAGTTCAAGAACTTGTTCTTCGTTCCTCGTGAAAATACATTCTATCAGATACGAGGGAGAAAGGGTAAAGTTAGTTTAAGCATTTATGACAACAAACATAATGGGAGATATATAAAAGCAATAGATACAAACGGTAAGCGTGTTTCATTAGCTTTGTCAAAACTTACTAACATTTATTTTGACAGTGACTTTGACTCTGACGATTGGAGTGACAGCAGCGATACTGAAGAATATGAACTATTGTGTGAAGCACAGCAATGGGAAGCGCTGCAATACTTTTGTAAATGAGAACATTAGTGGGAACGTTAGTGAGAACGTTTATTTTTTCATTAGTGAAGTCGTTAGCGAAATGTTGGTGAGGTGAAGTGGTTGGTGGTTTTGTAAATATTTAAGGTTAAGTTAGTGTTTGTGTTTGTGTTGTAAAATATACATTAGCGGTTTTGTAAAGTGTCAAACCGTTATCTTGGGTAAGGTGGAACGCAGTGCCGCCGTACCCAAGATAACCATACTAACTAATTTGTTGTAATTTCAAACGTTTCCATTGTTTTGTTTGACCACAGGGAAAGGCCCAGTGGTCATGTATCACAGCAAGAGCTTTGATTTGGTCGTAGGGATTGACCCTACGACCTTTCTTGCCTTTAGGCAATGGGATATTCTGTAAGCTAAATTGATTTTGTAAAAAAGATTTTGAAACATCTAAATATTTGAAATCATTTGATTGAAGGGTTGGGGCGATGGGAACATGGGTGCAAGCTTCTTCCCATGTCATTTTACCTTCTTCAATCTGATTGGAAATACCAATTAGGTAAATTCGATCGACATACCCTTTGTAAGGATTCATTCTAATGAAATACGTTAACAATCAAAATATTCTATAAGTGTCTAGTATGGAATTCAAAAGAATAAAGAAAATGGTAACGTAAATAAACGTATTATGAAATTATTTATAATTAAAATGAAAAAAAGAAAAAATAATAAGTAAAGTGACTGGAAATGAAAATTAAAATCAGTGTACAGTTTTATTTTTTTCTCGCTGTGAAACGTATTCGGTCATTTTTTTAAAAATTAATTTTTTGTTAGAGATAAGAGCTAAAACTCGGTAAACAACTTCTTTATGTCTAGAAAATTCTATCTTGCCTTTTATTTTTTTCTCGCTGTGAAACGTATTCGGTCATTTTTTTAAAAATTAATTTTTTTGTTAGAGATAAGAGCTAAAACTCGGTAAACAACTTCTTTATGTCTAGAAAATTCTATCTTGCCTTTTATTTTTTTCTCGCTATGAAACGTATTCGGTCATTTTTTTAAAAATTAATTTTTTGTTAGAGATAAGAGCTAAAACTTTGCAGACAACTCCCCCATGTCTAGCAAATTTAACATTTGTCTCCCATTTTTATATATTTGGTTTAGAATGTTCGAAAATGCGTAATATGGTCATTCATATTAATTGAAAAGAACCTTGAATTAATTCAATCTGATCTCACAAAATATTTTAAATTACAAACTTTGTAGTTTGAATAGATAATGTAGTAAACTCAAATAACTAGTTTATTTTTGAATAAAAAATATTTGAATTTATTCAATTTTGTGAATTTTCCTTCAAAAATCAAGTTTAAATATCTTATTTGCCATATAATTATAAATACAATGAAACATATTCGAAATTGAAAAGAATGACTTTTTCTGTTCTTTCAATCATTCAATTTGAATTTTGCAATATTGGATTTCTCATTTTAAATAGCTATTTAAAAAACAACAAGCAATTTAAACTTGCATTCAAATTTATTTGTGTTATATTCAATCTTCTCAAAACTTATAATTTTCGGCTATAGCATGATTATATGCTATATAATATAATAAACCTATAATAGTATCATTCTTTCAATTATTTGAAGAGAAAACCGAAAAAATCTATTTTCGGTCTATAACACTTTGTTCAGAGTTGCCAATTTTGACATTATTCGGACATGGCAATTTTTAGATAAAATTCATCTTAACTTTCATTTATGATCTTAATTTGAAAAATGTAAATGAAAATTATTTTAAAAGACATTGAAAAATATAGAAATAGTGTAATAGATATCACATTTGGGTTCTGCATCTAATTTAAGATCAGGTTAAGATCAATAAAATTGATCGGACATTTGGCTGGATGAACATTTCTTCTCTCAAATTCAGAAATCAGCTTTCAATAAATTGAATAATTCTAAATTCCAATCAGACCAATTTTTCTCAATTTTTGAAAACTTTATTTCTTCAGAATAAATTCATTTGAAATGAATCCATTTGATTCGACAGACATAGCCTATGCAAAACAATACAAATATAATGGCATTGATGATAGTATTTGCAAGAAGCTCTTTCTTGCCAAATATTGGGACTGGTGCATGAGATTTATTCCAATGAATGTTGCACCAAATGTAATTACACTTATTGGCTTTATCGTAGAATCAATTTCATTTGTATTATCACTTGTATTGACAAATGGCCTCACAAAACAGCTTCCTTGCTACGGCTGCGTTATCAATGCACTTTGTCTTTTCTTCTATCAGACACTCGATAACTTAGATGGAAGGCAAGCCAGAAGAACAGGAATGTCTTCCCCTCTTGGCCAGTTTTTCGATCATGGTTGTGATGCCATCACAGGTGTTTCAGAAGTTATTAAAAGCGCCGCTGTTTTCAATATGGGTGTTGAAGATGTCTACTTTTATTATGCTTTCTTCACAGGTATCACATTTGTTTTGACTTCTTATGAAGAATACGTAACACACAAGTTTTACTTAGGAAAGTTCAACGCACCCGACGAAGGATTGTTGATATTAGTCATTTTATACTTAACCATTGCAGCATTCCCATCAATTGTCCCAACAATCAGACCATACTTCTTATTCGCTTATATTCTTGGCCAAATCTTCACCAACCTTCTTATTTTTATACACGTTATCCAATTCTGCTGGAAAGAGAAGGAATGCAGAAAGAGAGCTTTCCTTGCTCCAATTCCAATGTTCATTAGCGCAACAATCATTTGCCTTATGAAGTTCCTCTTCGGAAGCACCACAAATAGTGTGTTCTTCATCATGGCCACAGAGTTTATTCTTACATACAATTCTCAAACCGTGATTATTTCTTATTTAGTTAAGAGAGCCCCATTAAGATTAATTGACCCATTAACAATTATGCTTTGGGTAGCTTCTTCAATTTCCTTTGTTTTCAAGTCTACTTCCTTTGTTCAGAACGGATACTACTGGATGGTTTTGTGCGCAATTGTTTTCAGCACAATGATCCTTACAGATGTCAGAGTAGTCATCGGATTTACAAAGGGACTTAAGATTCCAGCATTCCACGTTATTCCTAAGGAAGAACCAAGATCTGATGATTCTAAGAATAAGATCCAGCCAAAACAAAAGAAGACAAGCCATTCTGTTTCATTCCGTGCTCATTAAAAAATTTCTATTCTTTATGTTTTTTGATAATCAAAAATTACAATTTTTTTACAATGCAAAGCATCTACTTCTAATAGATCTAAAATTTAATGACTTATGTTTATGAATATTAAAGGATATGACAAAAGAAATGAAACCAAGGCATTTGTGTATAATGAAATGAAAAATTTTGGTTTGGTAGGAACATTTTATGTTGAAAATCATTATGTAAATTGCTTTATTTAAAAAATAATATTTGTTATAAATAAAAATTTTAAAGATAATAGCAGAAATAGGGTATTTTTACTATAGTTTAAACCGAATCAGCGTATTTGAAGCAGCGGAAGTAAACAACAAATGCAATAACAGCTCCAACAACGATGATAACAGCAATAGTAACACCGACAATTACTCCAGTATTAGAAGATGCTTTCTTGGTGTAAATTCCTGCCTGGAGGGATTCTTCTGAATCAGTATTGAAGACAATATCATCATAGTAAGCAGTGTCAAAGAGGTGGGTTGAAAATTGGATACTAGCGACAATATCATCTTTCAGTTTGCCAACCTTGAAGTGGACAATAGCTGGTTCTGAATAAGAAGTATTGTCTGAATCTCGTTTTGTACTGTTGGCACTGTACATTGTAATCGTGTAATCAGCGGAACTGGCTGAAAATGTGTTTCTGGTTGGATTTGAAACGAAAGCTGCGAATGTCTTATTTTCGACTACAGATGTGAGGGAGAAATCAGCAGGGCCGAGAATTGCTGCCCATCCAGCTGCATATGGAACGTTCTTGGTATCTAAAAGAACAACTCTGACAACTGGATATAAGGATGAGGAAATTTCGATTGTAGTTTCGACATTGCACACGATTGTAATAGTTTTGTCATTGATATCAAACTCCTTCGATGGCTTTTCCTTACTATTCTCGACGTATGTAACTTTGCCAGTGATTCCTGTCATATCTGCTGTTCTTGTGATGATGAAAACACTATCTGCATTAACTGTGTACTTGAGTGAACTATTTCCTGATGCTGTTTTGGCAAAAACAAGGTCATTAATACCAATATTAAGAGCCGAGTTATTAACTGGTGCTGGTACAGAGCTTCCATCGATACTATCAGCCCAGAAAGTACAATCTTCGTATTTATATGTTCCGTAGACTGAATAATAATCCGGCAAGCTTGTAGAAGTGATTTTTTGATTCACAATCTGTGCCAATGGTGTTTCAATGCCAGTTGGGCGAATACGAATGGTGTAATATTGGTTTGCCTTGACATCAAATGTATAATAAGTATCATTGTTGTCTTTGTGCTCGAAGTTTCCTCCATTAAGGCTATAGTCTAAAAAGTCATAAGTTCCATGGAATTGCATTGTATATGTGGTGTCAGCAGTTGGTAAGAAGACTGTATACATCTTTTGTGAATCATCTTGTGGAAAATCTGAACCAGGGAGCAATGGAGCTGGACTAAAGCCGATTGCAAAGTCAACAAAAGCGGCATCATCGTATTTGCCACAAAAATAGTAAATTGTTTGCTTTGTATATGATCCACTGAGTTTAACAGTAATCGTTGTCTTTTCTGAGAACTTATATACAACTCTGGCATCTTCATCATTAACAGTGAAGTATTGTGGATTGATAATAACAAAATAATAGTCTTTTTCGATTTCTAATGTAGTGGCTGCTGTAATAGACTGACTGCTTCTTCCTTGTGCTAAAGCCGCTAAATGAAATGAAAGCAAAAATGCAAAAATCATCTATTGAAAAAACGAGTTTGCCAGTATAAAATTCACGTAAAATCACAAATTGATTTTAAAAATACACATAAAGTGCTTAGTTGCACTATAATATATGTAAAAATTCTGCTTCAATCAATTTGCTCAAAATTTGAAGGAGCACGTTCAACATAATTTTTTTGATAAACCATTCAATTTTTATTTTGGTATAAAAATTGAAAAATACCAATATTAGTAAACAGTCATATACGCTCACACAAAATGTCGATTACTCTCTAATTTTGTGCAACGGATCTGTGGCATCATTTTCGCATTAGACTTGTAATGCTCTTAAAACAAGCTATAACTTGATCTCAGCAATTTGAAACATGAAATAATGAATTTCAACATGTCTTGAGATGATCGATCGTTCATTCTATGGATAGATAACAAATCCAATGGAGAATATTAATCAAATATGACTATCAAGGCGGTTCAGAGTATCTATCGCTCATTTCTAATTCTTTTTCCTCAATATTTTTGGAAAATTTCAAAATTATGCATTAAAAAACACTAAGCCATTAAATAAAAACATTATAAACACTTTCTTTATTCTATATTCTGTATTAAATAATCTATTTGAGTATGGAAATTAACTTGAGCAAATATCTTTGAAACAGGGTCAATTCCAAAGACATCCTTACATTCTTTAATCAGTAGTTCTGTTTCAGGATCATATTTTACAAAATCTTTCATTGATTCGTAATTTTCTGCTAATCCGCATCTAGATCTGATTAAATCTTGCGGAGGGCTATTCAGGTCATCTCCCATTTCATAACCAGATGAATGCTTATCATTTGGCTGCGTCTTCAAGTTCTTATCGATTATTGAATCAAATTTTTCATCAACGTGGCCATATTTATTACTAAATTGTGTCTTCAATTGTTGTATCTTCTTCGCTAAGTCATTTTGTTGCTGCGGATTAGTTCTAGCAAGACATCCTTTCACATCTGAGCCTGGCCACGTAATATTCTTGATATAAGGCCTCTCCATGAATGACTCGCATATGTTCAAGAAGGCTTCACCGTCGCTTGGCAAAAATCCGTCAAAATTAATTTCGGATAAAGAAGGAGTCATTTTTTGAAGGATTTGAGACATAATTCGCTCACCACCTGCTTGGCCTGATATATCTAACTTCTTCAGAGTTCCCTTGGAGAGCGCTGTAAAAATTATTGGTAAAATTAAGCCTCCAAGCGTGTTTTCTGGGGTACAAGCGATAGTCAATGACTCTATTGACTTTGTATTGACAAGATTTGTTAGTTGCGGAACAACAGAATTGATATCAACCTTAGATATACAATTTGATATTGAAATTGAGTTCAAACTTGGCTGATTCATGATGAAACTGCAGAATTGCTGTATGTTATCAGGTTTTAGAGGGTTCCTGTCATATATTATGCTTTGTAAATTTTGAATTTTAATTTGATTCAAATTTTCATAGAAATCTTTCCATGATTCAGCGGTCATCTTGCAGTTTGATATATCCAGGTTGAATTTATGATTCACTTTCTGCAGGGATTTGAGCAGAGAAAGCAAACATTTCGGTCCAAAATTCACGTTTTTGAGAATTAAAGTTGTAAAGCTGCGGTTTATATCAAATTTTGTTTTGATCGGAGTCTTGAAGTTGTTTCCACTCAAATCCAAGTCAGAAAATTCAGTATCCAGTTGAAGAATTTGAGGAATCAACTGTTCAAGGGTTAAATTGCATCCAGGAGCTCCCAAATACCTCAGACAGTGAGTCTCTAACACCCAACCACATGAAACAAGTTGAAAAAGGAAGAAAGAAAGGTCATCAAATCCGGAAATGTCTTTTATCTGAAAAACTTGGAGATTATGGAAACAGTTACTGAAGAATAATGTCTGGAAGAACGAATCTAACGATTTCGCATTGAATTGGCAGATTTCGAACGTTAAAATTTCAATTTGTGCTGGATAATGAGTAAAAGCTTCAAAGAAATCACATGCAGCTTGAGAACCGAACTTACAATCCTTGAATCTGAACTCTTTTGCCTTAATACATGAGCTTTCGGTGAATAATGAATCCAATGATTTCAAAGGATGCGTAAAATCAATACTTTTGATGTAAATTTTGCTAATAGTAGAGTTAAGGGTTGTAAACATATGGAAATAAGGTGAAAACAAGTCCATAGAGAAGCCTTTTAAGTTTAAATCATGAATATTGTGATCGTAGACAGCTGTTTGTGCTATAGCCTGCAAGTATGGATTATTTATCCATTCCGAATTGATGTTGAGCGTATCACTGACTGTGCATAGAAAATCATAAGTTTCTTTGATTGTATTTTCGACAAAAGGTTGATTGCATAGTAATATACATGCAATGAACCTATCTGCAAGAGCATTGTTTGGCTGATAATTGAAGTAGTGCTGTTCGTATTCTGATCTAATTTTGTCTTCTATAAAGATTTCGAGCTTCAATGATGGATGTTCGAAAAGAGTTTGGAAAACCGTTGTTACTTTAGATGCAATTTTTAGATGTTTATGATGATAAATTGTAATTTTATCATTTGGACTTTCGAAAGTTAATTGTTTGTCTGAAATAAATACTCTCTTAAGATTGATTAATGGTATAAAACGAGAAACTTGATAATTTTTTGTAAATGCCTTTTGATATAATATATAAATTCCAGAAGTATGCATACAGAAGTATTTTTCCTTTATCTTTCCTTTCCTATTCAAGTACTCGACGGTATCAAACATTATCAACCCCTTCTTTATCGCATGCAAAACAGGATGCGCCTGGAGAAGGGGTTCATAATTAGACATTCCACAAAAATAAATAAAACAAAGCGTAATTACTTATTATAGCCAACCATAATTTATATATATTTGATTTACAGTTTATTCCACTATTAAACATTCCAAAATATACAATTTTCATTGTTGGGGTTATTGATCAATAATCTATATAATTTGGTAAGTTTCATAGACAAAAAAGATGATAAACATGAGGAAAAGAGAGGTGAGATTGATATAAATTGCCTGCGTTGGAAAAAAATCAACTATATTTTTTGAGAGGAAAATAATCGGAAATCAGAAATCTTTTCATAATTTAGCGCTATTAGGTTGAGTTTTGATACATCTTCTGATAATCAATCATTTAACTTGTACTATGCATCGGGAACTTACGCTATGTATACAAGTGATGATTTTGTTTCTGGTAGAAAATGTATGGAATTTCTTTGGGAAAATGGAACAGGTGGATATTCAATAGGGTTTGGAAGCCAGTCAATAAGAATTATTGCATTTATGCATGAATCTAAACACCAATTGATTTGTGATTTGCGCGGTAACAGGATAAGAGATGAGCAAACAGATATTGCTGCAAAATTAAATACCAAATACATGGTATGCATAAATACGTATGAGAGTACCTTTTTGCTCCAAATTGGTAATCAATATAGATATATAGATTATACGCCAGTAGAATCAGAAAAATTAAGAATTGTTGTTAAAAATGGTGTATCAGCGAAAAGGGCATATGTTCGGATGTTTTTTGGAAATACTCGATTCAATAATACACTTCCTCCGAGGTATTCTGCTGTCATTGATAAAGATATCGATTATTGTATAACATGTCGTCAAAGTTTACCATTTAGTTATAACAATCTGTTCATATTTTTATTTATTTTAGATTAGAATAAAATTGAATGTACTTTAAATTAATTTGATTAAACTGTCTTATAACATCTTAAGGATATCACTCTAAGTCAAACATTTGTCAATTTGAATTTCAATTCTCTTTCAAATCTTTAAAAATTATGAACTTTTAACCACAAATTCATCTATTTATACATATTATTAACTATTTCCTTCTCGATTTAATAATTAGAAATTTCAATCTCTGAATTCGCCTATAAATAAGTATTTCCAAAACAATAACTCATTTTTACCACAGTTATTGTTCTGATCCCTTAATTTTCTAGAACAATGAAAAGTTTTTTAGTGGAAATTTCAAAATTAATTCATGAAAAATACATTTTTAGAAATATTATTTTGCTTCTGAGCAGGATTAGAAAAAATTAACAATAACCACTACATATATATCGCGCCAATAGATGAATGGAAAAATTTTAATCTTCATCATCCATATTTGTAATCATTTCGTCCAAACCAGCGAAGTGCAATGCACCAGCACCAATTTGGGCCGTAATAGTATCAGGAGGGATTGCTTTTCCAAGACAATTTCCTATAAACTGAATTGCTTCGGAAGTAACTTGATTTGGACGATCACTGTTATGATTTTGGCCAGGAACTACTACTAATCGCTTTTGTTGTCCTTTGTAAGCTTCGAACAATTGATGTGCGTGTTTTACGAGAATAAAGTCATCTTCTTTGCCATGAATGATGAAAACAGGTGTAGTAGATACTTTGGCTTCTTCTACAGGTAAGCATTCTCTAATATCAAAACCGCTTGATTGAATAATTTTATTTGCTAAAAGTCGCATCGTAATTCCTGAGAAACATCGAGGAACTCCCATCTCTGCTGATAAATCTTTGACTAGAATTGGCAAAGAAGCAAAAGGAGAATCAGCAACTGCGCCAACAATTTCTGGATTGTAAGGAATCGAATAAAACACGCATGCTGCACCCATTGATCGTCCCCAGAGTACAAATTTCTTGATGCCGAAATGAACTTGCATATAAGTAATTGCACAGGCAACATCGTCTTTTTCGAGGTAACCAAGCGTAATTCTCTTTCCAGTGCTCTTTCCACATGCTGAAAAATCAAAGCAAAATACAGAAATACCATGAGGAACTAAGAATGGAATTAAATACGTACCTTCTAGCTGACAACTAGCATTTCCATGCAAATAGATCAAACAAGATGGTTCCTCTTGTGTTTCGTTTGGACCGTAGTACGAACCAATAATTGTAAATCCACGAGAATTTGGAAATTTGACAGGATGCCTTCGAATTTTTCCGTAATTTGCAATTTCTAATTCGTTTGGTATGTTTTCGAGATCGTAACGGGCACGTGGTGGTCTAGTGATTGCTCTATCTCCATAATCTAATAACTCATTCATTGTTGCAAAATTTTGTAATAAAAGTGACAAATTAAATTACCCAGATTTTCCTTACTTTTACCACTCCCCATGTAATTTCTGGGGAAAACGATAATTCATTTTTTTTATGGATGAATAGATCGTTTTCCTAGAAAGGACCTCATATCTCTGGCTAAAAAGAGTGTCAGATCCTAAATAGATTATTGATCTAGTGTACAAATCCAATAAAAAGCCTATTTTTTTGGCTTTTTTGGTGCTCATTTTTTCGAAGATCTACATGAATATGGGGAAACCATCGGATTTTTTTTGTTAACCCACATCTTCATGTAGTCTGGACTATCTTTCCTCGAAGGACCTCTTTACGGGTGTAAAAACTCATAAAGTTCTCAAAAGATTCATTCTCGATCTCCATGCTGAAAGAATTTACAATAAAAAAGAGATCTACGCATCAAACTACAGCCATAAATGAACTGAACCCCTAAAGCTCAGCTCTTAGTTTATCAAAAACGTCGAAATCCTTCTCTTTGCAATCAAATTTTCTCAATAACTCATAAGAAAAATCGAATTTTGATTAAGCCGATGTTATAGGTATCACAAATACTACAAACTTGAGCAATATCGAAATTGCCAGCAAAAGTTTGAAATTGCATTGCTCATATTTGTTTTGTAAACTAAAAATCTGCTTATATTATTCATTAATTTTTTATATATTATTCATATACTTTAATAAAAACAATACTATTTCACTTTAAAAATGAATTTCATAAGTCAATATTATTTTTTTGAAAATGTATCAATTTTCGATTAAAACAACATGAGAATAAAATTTACGCAAAATTATTTTAAAAAATGGTTTTAAAAATTTACAATTGATTAAGAATAAGATTGCAAGAAGTTTTGAAGTTTAATTTTAAGAAAAAAAATTCGGATATTATTCATGGATCTAAGTAATTTGATATTTGAGTATCGGCACTATGCATAAAACATATATTTATAGTTTTTTTGGATTTTTATGATTTTAAATATATTCAAATTTGGCAATCCAATAGATTTTTAAAAAATAGGTAAATAAAAATAGATTACATATGCAGCAGATTTAGAACATGAAACAAATCTTATAGTGACCCAAAAAAAAATTCATGATCCAAAAAAGAAAAAAATTGGCTAAATGGGAATCAAACCTTGGCATAATGAATCATTATGTCGGATGTTTACACTACACTACACCGGCAGCTCGAAAAATACCCTTGGTGGTTCTATTTAATAGCTACTCCCAACGATAGGCGGTGTCCCCAGCTTTAGAGGGGTGGTAAAAGTAAGGAAAATCTGGGTAAAATGTTTTTGAAAAAAGATAGGCATGACATCTCTGTTATGACAGACCAGCAGACATATAGAACTAATCAGCAAGCGTACAGACCAGAACAACAGACATCTTCATCATTTTCACCTCAATTTCAGATTTTCAGAAGAGATACAACAGAATATGATTATGATATAGGCGTACCATTAGAAATTCATGAAGATAACCCTGCTGCAATGGCAAAAACAGAACAACCTAAAGAAATTTATAATTTTTCATTTTACGACCAGAATCAAAATAAAGCAAAACCTACATATTCAACTCCAAATCAACCACAAAGACAGATAATGGAACAGAATTATATAAGACCATTGTCTCGACCAAATTATTCTTTTTCTCAGCAAACTCCGAAACAACAACAGAGTTCAGAGTCAATAGAATTTGTTCACTCGTCAAAACCTTTTGTTTCATACTAAATAAGTTGTTTATATATTGTATGTTCTCTAAAAAATTATAATTTTTTTTTACCATTCTGACAATAAAGTATATATACTTATATATGACAATCAGTTTACTCAAAACAATAATATTTATTCAAAATTACAATAATATTTCAAAAATAATATTAATGAAATTGCATTCTATTGAAAAATAGTATATTCTTCTATTCAGACTTTCTAATCATACTATAGAGACCAATATTCTCATATCCTAATTTCATATAAATTTTTGCAGCAATTGGATCAACGTAATATAAACACGGAATCTTACCCTCTGATAATAACTCATTGCTTAACTTTGCAGTACACTTTGATGCATAACTTTTACCTCGATATTCTTTATCTGTGCAAACCATGACTACCATTGCTATTTTTTCGGATTCTGCGGTAGATTTTGCCATTGATACTAATTTGTCTCCATCAAAAATGCCATATGCTCGGCAAGTATTCGTTAAAAACTCATTTTTAATGGCTTCTCTTTCAACTTTGTAACCAAAACATTGCTGCATTAGATCCATGATTTGGTCGAGATGTTCAACATTCAGCTTTTTCACTAAAGAGTAGTCATAAGAATTGTTTTCTTTCGTGAAGTGTGCAAGTGTAAGATGAGTCTTCTTTTGGAAGTTATCGAAGTTATATGATTGAATATATGATGTTTCGCCTGAATAGCTTTCGATTTTACTGCTATCAATTAATTCTTGTATGAAGTCCTTAAAAATAAGATGATTGTAGCTGCATATACAAAGGTTTTCGTAATAGCGAACTAAAACAGCATTGATGTTCGTTTCATTATCAATCCAAACGTCTTGAAATGGTTTATCAAAGCCATAGTTATAAATATCACCAATTGCAAATGCATTGATCTCAGGTTGCTCATATAAATATTTCATTATTATCTCTCTGTGCTTTTCTTCTGCATGAATCATTTCCAAAATTTCAAATAATCGATTTCCTCTCAATTTTCAAAATTTTATATTAAATTATCAATATTTTCGAAATCTGAGTTCATATTTTATTATAAAAGAATATAAGTATTACAATGTGATTATCAAATTCCATCAAAATCATGAATTCAATTTTATTTTCAATAAAATCCAGCACATTAAGAATTTTTGTAGCAAGCATTATTTTTCTTTCTTTATATACATATTGAAATTATACATGTGCTGCTATCTTTTTCATTTTTTGTAAAGGAGTAAATGAATGATAAACCAGATACAGTTTCAACTACGTTAACAAATACAGAATCATCAATATCAGAAATAAAGAACTTACTTGCTACAACTCCAACAGAAAAAAATCCAGAAATTAAACCAAATATAGAAAAACCTCCGACAATTTCAATGGTTCATCCAGAAAATATATTAAATCTACTAAATAATCCTACTGAAGCGGAACAAAAGAAAATTACTCACGAATCAGAACCACAAAAAATTGAACAAACAATTCCTTCAACACAAACTCAACAAGATCAACCATTCACATCAATTTCTACTCTTATGAATCATCCAGCTCAAGCAGATATTCCTCACGTTCCTGAAGCGCTAACGAACATTAATAATTTGATGAATCCAGTTCACCCTGCTCCAGAACCAGCTCCAGTTAAAAGAAATGAAAATACAGAAAAAACAGGTCATAGGAAAGTCGAAAAAATTGTTGGAATGAAAATTTATAATGGAAAACGTTATTTCCTAGTAAAATATGCAGGAGAAAAGCAGCATGTCGTTGTTGATGGAGCAATTATCAGAAAACACAATCAAAAAGTTTTATTGAATTTTTACGAGGAGCACTTGAAACTCGTAGATGTTAACCCAGAAGAACCTCAAGTACATCTGACTAATCAAATACTTAAGTGATTATTTTTTATTTTTGATTTTATTTTTAATATTTTTTTTATTGTATGTAAAATTAATTGTTATTACAGCTATTTTTATAAATCAAATCATCATGACAAACATTTTTACAATATATATCTCAAATATCATTCGATATAAAAAAATATATAAATTAGTTCAATGGAATATTCAAAAGTATTCAAGACATTTTTTGTATTACTCTGTCATATTTGATTTTTTTGGAACTTGGTAAAAATTCGATAAAATCTCAAGATGAAAATTTCAATGTAGGGGTCTTTACTTATTACTCCTCATCGGCCTTCTTGGTCTGAGCATGAGCCCGCACACGCTTCTTACGGCCGAGCTTCTCGGTTGTCATGACTGATGTGTCGGCGTACTTGATGTTCTTCTCAGACTCCTTCCAGACAAGGAAAGCTGGCTGGTTGACGAGCTGGTTCTCGACGGAGATGTGGCGGTGGGAAACAAGTGTACGAGCATGGTGGACAGAGTTAGCAAGAGCACGCTTGTGGACCTGTGTTTGGAGACGGCGATCCATAAGGTCGTTGACTGTAAGAGAAAGGACATAATCGAGCTTTTGCTTGGACTCATCGAGAACGCCGAGCTTTGTAAGGCGGCGAAGAAGAGCAGCACCCTCGAAGATACGCTTTGAATCGTTCTCTGGAAGTGTAAGGAGCTCACGAGCGGCGTGGCGGATCTTAGAAAGTGTATATGATACACGCCAGATCTCACGCTTGTTCTTAAGACCGTACTCACCGACGACCTGAAGTTCCTTGTGCATGCGCTCCTTTTCGTATGGGCGCATTGGTTTCTTAAATGTACGAGAGAAGTTACGGCTCGACATTTGAGTTAAAAGGAAGGCCAAACACCCAGCTTTACAAATTCCCTCAATTTTTTTTCGGTTTGAAGACAAAAATCCATTCTTAATAATCATTAACATTGGATTGAGTATGGCTAGTAATGCAAATCTTCTAACTAAAATTCCATTAAAACTGAATCATATCAAATATGAAATTTTAAAATATGTTTTTAAGGCATGGATCCTTCACAAATACTTTTGATTTCTAAAGCCAATTAAAATATCTAAGTGTTATTGATAAATATAAATAATTTGATTGAATTTTCGTACACACTTGAAATCTCAACGATACAATTGAAAACTAGAATCAAATATTAATAGTTATTCGAAAATGATATCAAATTCAAATTAAAAACTCAATAACATTTGTTGAATTGCTTCATCTTCCATTTGAACTATCAATAGTTTAGTGACATATGCGAACTAAATTTAAAAACAAACATGTTTGATAATAATTTGGATATCTAAGTTAAATAACCTTCATAACAAGAAAAATATTTTCATCGATTAGATAATTTATTAAACAAAGCAACATCTGTATGAAATGCAGTAATAAACAAAATATATTATGAGTAAAGCTTCTTAATAGCTTGAATAAACTGTTTTTCAGTGATTTGACCAACATCTTTTGTGTGTATATCAAACTGAGAGGATTTATCGCGAGCATTCATTATGATTTCTCTAAGTTCATCACGTGATAAGTCTTGTCCTAAAAGTTCAGAAACATCTTGCAAATCTTGAAGGGAAATAGCATCATTTCCGTCTGCATCTAACTTTCTGAATGCACGCTTTAAGTCTGAACGTGGGCGTAATTCGGAAATTTTGTCCAATATCATTTCTGAAAATTCTTCAAATGCAATTTCAGAGAGTTTTCCTTTATTATGGCGTGCAATAAGATCTTGAACTTCTTCGTATGTTGGATTAAAGCCAAGTACTGCAAGAACGACGCGAATTTCTTCGGCCTTAATTATGCCTGCGCCGTCTGTATCAAAAAGATTGAATGCCTGACGAAGTTCTTCACTTTCTTTATCTGTGATATCAAAAGGACAATGCAAAATGATTTGCGCTTCTTTTGCTAATCCTTCAGTCATTTTGAAAACGTTAGAAATTTCAACTGAGTTACGAGAATATTTACACAACTACGCATATTACTTCTCATTTGACATGTTTAACTAATAGAATTGTTATTTACTCATATCAAACTATCTAGCTATTAGAGTTAACTCATCATGAATGGTAATATAAATTTGAAATAATCTTCTTAATATTCATATATGAGAGTAATAATATGACACACACGAAGTTTCATATTTATAGTTTATCCATTTATTACCTCCATTACTATAAAAGCCAATGATATTTTGAATCTTTTTTGTTTGAAAGAATATCATTGGCGCACCACGCCCCTAGAATATTGAAAAAAAAGTGTTGTCAAATTTTTCTAAAAAACAAAGAAACATCAATATGGACAATCAGTATGATAAAATTAAAGAAGAAATGCACAATTTAGTTGAGAACCTCTCCCAGAAGTTGCAATCTGGACATGTTTCTATTAAAAAACTGAATGATGCTTTCCAAAACATCGATTCACTTACAGACAAAATTGCCAAAACGAAGACTCTTCATGACACTTTGCACAAACGTATTTATCCTACCATTTATCATCTCACCGAGAAACTTGTTATAACTCATGACGAAGAAACAAAGCGAAACGCTTCCAATACAATAGCAGAGCTAGAAGATATTTTCAATTCTATTATTGATAACATCGAAGACACAGCTGTAACAGAAGAATTGATTAAAGATCTTGAATCAATTAGTAGCAAATACAATCAAACACATGATGCTAGTGAGGATGCATACATAAAACTAAAGCAAGCAGAAATTGACGAATTTTTCGCAAGCCCAGAATCTAAATTTGAAATTAATACAAATGGTGAAACAGATCTTGCTACAGCATTCGGAGAAATAGATAATTTCTTCGAAAGAGAAGAAGCTAAAGCTAAACCACAAACCAACACTAGTTTTTCAACAATTATTGGTCTTGGAATCACAGTTGGCGTGATTGTTGGCGTTGTAGTTGCTTTGTATAAGAAATTCAAGCATCATTGAGTTTTTTTTTTTAAAAAAAAGGAATAAAATATTGTATTTTTTTAAAATTTCAAAGAAATAAACAAAATTTTTAAAATTATACAAGAAAACAAAATATTACTTAGTGCTTTTTGAAAGCATCAAGTAGGGGAGAAACAAAATTCGTATATTTAAAATCATCTCCTTTAATTTTCTTAAAGGAAATGATGAAAATGTTTCTGAAGCCTTGTAATCGACAAATTTCAGCTTGTGCTTGTAGATCGTTATCTGTCAAAGTATATAAAAGCGGATTTTCTTTTTCAAAAGCAATATTGGCAGAAATAATAGCATTCTCCAACTTTTTGGCAACAAACATTGGATCTCTGTGGCTGATTGTCTGAGATAATAATACATTCGAAGATTTTTGTGCTCCTTGGCGAATTTCATCATCATTCATGTTCTCAACGTTTAGAGATATTGATCTTGGCTGTATCTTTTGCTTCTCAGGCGAATTCTGAAGGGTAACTTTTTGAGATGGATCATTTTTAGGCGACGGAACGGATTCTGTGTACAAGGATCCGAGTGGTTGTTGGTTCTCGTTAAAGTTGGACGATGAAAATCCTCCGACCGAAAGTGAAAGATTTTCAGATCTTTGGACGAAACAAGGCTTGGAGTGTGGGAATACGTTTCTGATACCGAATAGCCATGGATGAGCTAGTATTCCTGTAATGTCGATACGTTTTGAAGGATCTGGGTTTAATATAGCGACAATAAGTTCTCTACATTCATCAGATATATTGTCAATCGGTAGGAATGAGCCTGTAGAGATCTGTTTTTGCATTTCTTCTGGATCTTTATAGTTCCAAGGTACTGAGCCATCAACTATCGCATAAAGTATAACGCCGAGGGCCCAGACATCTGCCGGAGGTCCCATATATGGCTCTCCTGTAAGCGCTTCTGGTGAAATATAAATTGGAGAACCACATTTATTAGTTAGGGGCTTATCGGCTTCAATTGAGCATAATCCGAAGTCAATAATCTTAACAGTAGTAGAATCTGTCATCAGTAAATTTTCTGGCTTCAAGTCTCGGTGAACAATGTTTTTTGAATGAATATAACCAACAGAATAGGCTATTTGCTTGAAAATTCGTTTTGCAAGTGATTCTTCAACACGAGTATGAGAAATAATATAGTCAAAAAGCTCACCACCACTAATATATTCCATAACAAGGTAATATGAGCCTTCATCTTCTAAATAGTCAATAAATTTGACAATACCTGGATAGTCTAGTCGTTTCATTACACTTACTTCTCTTTATAAACTTTCTAAATCATGAGGATTTCGGAGTATGAGTTTGTTTACAACTTTGACTGCAACTTGGTCTTTAGTAAAGATATTAAAGCCTATCCACACCTTTGAGAATGCTCCTTCACCAATAATTCTCACAAGGCGATACTTACCGACAAGCATACAGTCAAATTTTATGACAACACTCAATTGCTGACAAAATTTTACAACTGAAAAATAAGTTCCGAATAGCTGTCTCTATTCCAAATTCAGAAATTAAAGTGTCATTTTTGGACTAGCCAAAATTCGAGTGAAAAATTTCAACAAAAATTTTAATGAAATGACAACAAAATATTTAAAAATAATATTTTTATCAAATCATTGAAAAATTCTTATTTTTTAAATTATGATTGGCTTCAAAATTCATATCTGGGATCAGAGCATACATATTATTCTCTTGATAAACCTTTAAGACTTGACAAGTATTCCGAAAATGATTTTAATTGAATGACATGAAAGATTTCCATTTTGTCTTGAAATTTACGAAATATCGATTTCAGTATGCATTAATGATATGAGATAAACATTTTCATCTATCCTTCTTTTCTTGATAGATATGTTACACTAAATCATTATATCTTTTTCTGACAAAATGGGTTCATACAATAAAACATATATCATTTTTATTAAATTACACCTTATTAACTCTGTTTCAATCAAATCTCCTCTACATAGTATTTTAATTAGGAGCTATGCGCAAATCATGTCATTGATAAAGTAATCAATTGATACAAGTTTTTGCTGCTTATATCATGTCATCCAAAGAGTCTTTTTACAAATTAAGAACAATAATATGAATCCACATTAACTAAGGCATATAATAAATGCATTTACATCAATACAAAACGATTCTCGTCAAAAAAGTTTTTTAGAATATGAGCTCTTGTATTCTTTGTATCTAAATCCCTTGAAGAGAGCTACATAATTTAACAACAATATATGCTGACCAATTCATTATACCTAAACCTCATTGAGCTTAGCAATATAATAAAGATTATTACTGAAAATCAAACTGTTTACAAATATATTATCCATTTAGAAAAAAATAAAAATATAAAAATAAATAAATAAAAAAAGTTACAATTCGATTGGTCTTTGTGTTTCTTTTCTATAATGTCTTAATTGTCCAGAAGGAGGAGCAGCAGCGAATGCAGGGAAAGCACCATATGGCATAAGCATTGCATCAGAAGTTCTATAAGCAGTGTATCTCCTAGAAACTGGTTTTTTGTCTTCATCATCGTCATCATCAGAATCGAATTCGGACTTCTTTCTAGGCATTCCTTTCGATTCTATATCTCTTTGGTGCATCTGAAGGATCTTTCTCGCTGTGTCATCAAATGCTTCACCGCGAGTAGTTCTTTCTGACGCCATCTGTCTTTCTTCTACTATGTCTTGTTTCTCCTGTTCTAAGACTTGTTTCATACCTTCGTAATAAGCCATTTCCGCACAAGCAGCTTTGTATTTCCTGTCTAATGACATGGATTCAGCTCTCATCTCTCCACCCTTGCGGAAGACTTTGTCCTGCTTGGAAACATCCTTTTGGGAGTCTTTTTGAAGGGCTTCGATCTTTTGGTTGATTTCATCCAACAAAATTTGTTTTTCCCATAATTGTTGGCCTTTTTCGTTGATTCTTTGCTCGTAAGTGGCAACTTTCTTGTCAAGCTCTTGGAGAGTGAAGTCTTTGCCATTGTATTTACGTGGTCTGGCTTGCTCATCTGGATTTTCGAGCTTTCTTGTAATTACATCAACATCTTTTCGCTCGCGATCGAGTTGTTTGTCAAGATCGGCAATTTCATTGTCATAAGCTCTGACTTGAGGTACTTTTCTGCACATAATGTCGATTCTTCTCTGGATATCATCTAATCTTAGACCTAATAACTTTGTTTCTTCTTCTCTTTCCTTCAAAGCGACTTCACCGTTCTTGAGGATGTTCTCGTGAGTGTTTAATTGCTCTCGCAAGATGCACATCTTGTCGCCAGAGTCAATTAATTCTCTTTGCTTGTCCTGGCATGAAGCTGTCTGCTTCTTCCAGTCGTTATGCTTGAGTTTGATGTCTGTTTCGACACTTCTGAGGACTCTTTCCAAACGTTTAGTTTCATTTTGTTGGAAATCAATTTTCTGGTTCAAATCTTGGTTGCGAAGTTGAGCATTCTTGAGTTCTGACTTAGTACTGTTCCTTCTCTTGAATGCCTGATCGAGTTCTGCCTTCTTTAGCTTGACTTCATCATCGATATCTTCGAATTCTTTTCTCAAAACTTCGACTTCGTTATCTAGAATTCTTATTTTCTCTTTAAGTTCAACAATTAACTGTTTCGAAGTTTGGATGATGTTTACATAACGGTTTCTATCGAGTTTCACTTTTTCGTAAAGTTCTGAATATTCTTTCAACTTCTGATTAATCATTTCTTGCTTTCTGCAGAGGTCAAGATAGTCCAAATTGACTTCCTTTGCTTGTATTTTAGCATCAACAGTCTTCTTCTTCATTGCAGCCATTTCTCTTGCTTTTCTATCTCTAATAAGTGAAGCTTCTGTTAACTGGCGTTCGATTTCGTGTTCCTTCTTAGATAACTGATCGTGAATTGCTTGTTTTCTGTCCTTATCTTGAACAGCGGCTTTGATATCTGCCATCATTTCTGCAGTTACGCCTTCTAACTGAACAATCTGCTGAAGGGCGGCCTGAGAAGCAGCCATAGCCTTCTCGTATTGGGCGTGCATCTTCTTATTGTTCTCTTCTTCTTTTTGTTGATCTTGATTTAGAGTGTTTAACTGTCCTTCAAGAGCTTTCTTGTCGAGGATCTGATTTGCTATAGCTTCCTCTAGCTTTTGAGCTTCTTTCTCTTTCTTTACGATATCTTTTGAGCCAACATCTAATTTTGCCTCAATAGCAGCGATTTCTTTGTTTGTTTCTGTGATCTGCTTTTGTATCTTGCGATTTTCGAACTCTCTTTGCTGCTTTGTATTCGTTTGTTCTGCGCATTTTGTCTTTAATTCTTCAGCTTTCATTTTCATGTCATTTGTAGCAAGAACCATACCATCGATATCGTTCAGGATATGTTGGTTCTCTGTTTCTAAGTCATGGGCTTGGTTGTGGAGTGTTTGCAAAGAAGCTTCGAGTTGCATACACTGATTTGTAGCTGTTTTCTCTTCTGTAAGCATAGTATTATGGGAGGATTCGACAGCGTTGGCTTTGGCACGCGTTTTGTTTGGTTGTGCGCCAACTTCGAACATTTTCTGATTTGCAGCTCTTTTCTTTTTCTCGAGTTCAACGAGCTGTTCTTCATCTGCTTGTATGTAGTTTAAGAGGCTCTGGCCTTCGGCTTTTAATGATTCGATCTGTTTCTGCAAAAATTGAATTTGTTGTTCTAAGTTTGTATTTTCTATCTGTACTTGACGCTTGAGAGGTTCAAGCTTAAGCTCTTTATCATCACGAGCTTTAGCAACTTTATCTTGAAGTTTATCTGCTTCTTTCTGTTTAACTTTTGTATTTGCTTGAGTTTGTTCGATCTGTTCACGCGTTGCTTCTAATTCTGCTTGTATATTAGTAACATGCTGACGCAAAGCAGTCAATGCCGTTCTATGTTCCTCTTGCTGTGTTGCAGAATTTTGGATTGTATTTTTCTGAGCTTTTAATTCCTTATTTAACTCTCTTGTCCTCCTAAGTAATATTTGCTCTGTTGAACAGGATTGTGTAAATGCTTGATGTAATTTTTTAAATTTAAATGTCATTGTATTGAAGACATCTTGTGTGATCTGTCCGCTTTCAAGGAGGTTAGAAAGAATTACTAATGCAGGATGATTTTCATCTGACGTTTCAACTACCACTTCAGTTTCTTCGTCACTCATTCCATCCTGGTAACGAGTTTTACGATTATTGTAAACAAGGAATTTTCAAATGTGTACGTTTTTTAAATGCAATATATTTTTCAATCTAATACAATCACCATCACAACAAGGAATTTTAGAATTAATACAAAATTGCTTGATTCAGTTCTGATTATTGATATTGTATCAAATTATGTTATTACAGGTATTTCAAACCGCTCTTTTCACTGTTGGATGATATTGAACTACAAATCAATGTTATTATTGGTAAAAATACTTAAGATTGGACAAAAATCTAAAAATTAATGATCTACTGATTGTTTACTCATGATGGAAAGGATTTTTATCATTCAACAAACACATAAGTATTAGATGTGAATTTTATTGTGTTTATTAGTGATGCTAAGTATATGTATCGGATGTGTTATTTCAATTCTATGAATTAACGTTTCCGAATTGGGAGTGTTCAGATTGGGTTTTGAGGGAATTTGTAAATGCTATCATTCTCATTTGTGAGAATTTACACTTTTCCGACGTTTTGTCAGGTGCGCGAAGCGACCCAAAAATATCGGAAAAGTGTAATTCTCAGGTATATGATTATTTTTGCTTTAATGCCGAACAGCATTTGAATCAAAAATAATCGTATGTCCGAGAATTGGAGTTTTTTTTACATTAAAATATTTTTGCCATAGTGTCAAAAATAAAGTAGCCGATAACCAAAATGGTTCAAAGGGATTTGGAGCAAAATGGCTCAAAAGATATCTAAATATTGCTCCGAATCTTCTTACTGATTTCATCAGCAAGTTCAAAGAATTTCCTGAAGTCTGCTGAATCATCTATATCATCAATTTCATCAAATGCATCATTGATTTGATTCTGAATTTCCCTGAATAAATCTTTGTTGATGCACTTCAACCTCCTGTTATCATCGTACACTTGAGTTAATTTTTCTTCAGCCTTCTTCTTTCCAGTTTCATTTGCGGCCTTATGCCTTCTGATAATCTCCTGAACCATTTCATCATTGAGTTTGCCATCGTGGCAGAAGTCGAATGTCTGGGCGTATTGTGTTTCTGGATCAGTAGCTTCGACAACGAGCATACCTTCATTGTTAATAGCAATTTTAAGAAAAACTTTTGTACATTCCCTTGGAATATTCATGAAAGTGACATCTCTGAGGAATACGTTTTCTGAGCACTTGGTGCTTTCACCTTGGTAGATTTCGATGGTGAAAGTAGATGTATCTTTGATCTTGAATTCCATTTGGGTCTCCTGTGGGATTGGCTCGTTGGCGTTGATGAATTTCTGGAATGTGTCGTTTACAGTCTTGATGCCAATGGAAATTGGCTGAACATCTACGACAGCGATTGTTCCTGGATTGACATAATCCTTAACATCTTCGAAGTCTTTGAGTTGATCATTCAGTATCTTCTGGCAAATTGTGGCTGCACCATCAGATACAGCCTTCAATGAATTTAAGTAAGGATAGATCTTTCCTGGGAAGATTTCTTCAAGTTTCTCTTTAACAGCTGGGATCATGCTAGAACCACCGACAAGTAATACACCATCAATGTTAGTTGGCTTGAGACCAGCTGCTTTGAGGGCAGAATGGATTGGAGTTGGAATTTGGTCAAGTATTTTATGTCTAATCAAGCTGTTGAGCCTCATAGCACTAAGACTAAGAGTAAGATCTTGGCCATTGTAAAAGTTTGGAATGGTAATCTGTGAGCTACTCTTTGAGCTAAGTGCTATCTTTGCTTCTTCTGCTGACTGAAGAAGAGCTACCATGCTTTTCTTGTTGTTTGGATCTTTTGGATTAAAATCAGGCTGGAACTGTTCAATGCAATGGTCAGCGATGATTTTATCTATATCCGCGCCACCTAAGTTTGAGTTACCAGCGACAGCTTTGACAATGAATACCCGGCCATCAATGTAAACGATGGAAACATCGAGTGTACCAGCACCAAAGTCGAAAACTAACAAATGAATATTATCCTTTGGCTCGATGTTGTAGTAGGCGATGGCAGCAGCTGTTGGTTCGCTGAGGAATTTGCAGACATTTAAGTTGGCGATTCTTGCAGCAGTTTTGACAGCATTTCTTTGTGCGCTGTTGAAGTATGCAGGAACAGTAATGACACAGTCTGTAGCTTCTTGGCCTGTACAGCTCTTGCATGTATCCTTCACATATTCTAACAAGAAACCGAGAATTTCTTCTGGGATGTATTTCTTGCCGTCAACTACGATTAATGGATTATCATCTTCATCAGGCTGAATTTCGAAACCAACATTCTCCAAAAGTTTCTGAACTGAACAATCGTGATATTTATGACCAATCAAGTGTTTAACTCCGAAAATTACTCTTGAAGGATATCTAACAATCTGATGTTTAGCGTAAATTCCATATTCTACTGAACCTTCTTCTTGAATCATAACGTAGGAAGGGATAGTTTCTTTTCCTTGGAAAGTAAGAGGTAAAATAGCATTCCTTTCACTGCGAGTATCTGAAATGTGGTGGACAACTATAGTAGAGTTACCAAATTTAATGCCAAGCATGGTAGTGGGCTTGGATGCTTGTAGCTGGCTTTTTTTTGGCAATTCTTGCCTATTCAATTTGATATCAAAATCATAAATTACATCCCAAATCTTTGCATTGTTTTCCACATGTCTAACATAGTATTTTACTCCCAATGAATTTTAAAGATATTAGGCATGTGGAAAATTTTTGAGATTTCATGACCACTAAAGATTGCTCATCAAATCATTCTCTTTCTGTGAATGAGAATCAAAGACTTCATAGCGATTTATATCCACATCTTTACGAAGGATATTTATTACTTGAATTATGCTGTTTTCTCGGACCAGTTGATTGTTTCAAATTTTTGAGAACGAAATTTAACTCAAAAATAACTGATACGTGTCCAAAATTGTCATTTTTAGGCGGAAATCAAGAGATCATGAATGAATGTTTGAAATTTCAACAACCAAATAATAACAGCATGTTTTATGTAGTTATTTCACACAACATTGATTTTGTTACATTCTTGATGAATCAATACAAATTAGAGATCGATTTATATAGCGGCAGTCGCTTTAGCAATTTTGAATCATTTTAGGTATAATTCGATCAAACTAATGATATTAACACATGCCTTATCGTATCGGCGAAGTATAATTATCCATTATTTTGTGAATATTTCATATCACATGGTGCAAATATCAATGTAAAAGATGAAGATGGAAAAACAGCTCTACATATTGCAGCAGAAAATAATTGAAAAGAGCTAGCAGAATTTCTTCTTTCACACGATGTAAATATAAATGAAAAAAAAATTTTCTGGAAAAACAGCTCTTAATATTGCATCAGAAAATAATAGTAAAGAAACAGCCGAAGCTATCAATGAATTAAGCAATTATGGAGAAATCGCTCTTCATATTGCATCTAGGTGTAATTGTGCGGAAATAGTTGAAATTCTTCTTTTGAAAAAGATGAAAAAGGAGAAACTGCTCTTTTTTATGCATCATCATATGATAATCAAGAAACAGTCGAATTTCTTCTTTCATATGTGGAAATGTCGATGACAAAAATAAAAATGGAGGAACCGTTATTCTTATTGTGGCAGCACTATATTGTAAAGAAACAGTCGAATTTCTTCTTTCATATGGTGCAAATATCAATGAATTAAAATAACAATGGAGAAACCGCTTTTCATCTTGCATCACAAAATAACAATAAAGACACAGCTGAAATTCTTCTTTCACATGGTGCAAAATGATAATGTCTCTAAATCAGATCTGTCTTTTTTATCTCTCTCTCTCTCTCTGATATATTCGAAGATGAATTTCATTAGAAATAAGTATACACGTAAAAACGATTTTTTATTGCTACCTCTCAGTTTTCCTATATATAATATATATGTTTTTATTTCTTAAATTTTAAAGTATCCGTTTCCTTAAAACTGGAGCTTACTGAGACCTTAAATTTGAAAATTCGATGCTATTGTATTTCCCAATTTCGATATTTTATCGATAAAATAAAAATTTCAAAAATATTCTTATCGAAAATAGGCTATTGATTTTTTAAAAATAGCATTATGCATTTAAGAAATGAAAAATATTGATTGGTTTCAGCTCCATCTTAATTATTAGATGAAAATATGATAATATCGTTTCAAACTATGACATAACATTTCAAAGCTACAGTATCTGATATTGCCTTAATTATTTTTACCCCATATCACTTCGAATTATATCTTGGATTTTTCAAATTGTGGGAAAAAAAAATTGAAATGTGGAAAAAAAAAATTTGAACAGTGGAAAAAAATTGAATTGTGTATAAAACGAGTGTAGTAGCAATTGCTAGTTTTTTTTAACCTTTTTCCCTAACTTTTTTATATGATACAAAATATATATTAATTATTTATGAATCATGTAATTCATGAAGAGAAAAAAACTGGTTCATAAAACAACAATAGAATCAAATAAGAATTTCTGATGATAATAGCTCCATGAAAAGAATGTTTTTAAATAATTGTTAAATCAGCAATATAAATGCTTGGTATGAATATTTGAGAATTATAATAAGGAGTATATATTTGATTAAAACCTCTTTAATATGCTTATATGTTGAAAAGATCAAGAATAGCAGATATGTTTGCTGATTCTAATATTTCTATGATTTTAATCATCTAAATATTAAGATTTTCATAATGGTAAGATATATTTTGGCGTTATTATTCAGTTTTTACTTTGTTATTAACAAATTATTCGAACTTATTAGAGAAGGCGAATATATTGACAATTCAGCTAAATCTTGTCAGTTTTTTCGATGTTAATTAAAGAAACATATCAGTGCATGAAAATTAAAGTAAATTTAGTTCGAAATTTTATAAATTTTTAGAAAAATTTCCATACAACATTATTTTTAGAATCTGCAATATAAATCGCATTAATGTCACGTTGAAAATTAATCTTATTGTATTAATCAGATTTAAATATTGAACAAAAATCTGCTGCAGTCAATGATCATCATGATGATGAAAAATTAAATTGATATTCTTGCTGAATGATTAAGTTAAACTATATTGAATCTTTTCTTAGCGTTTTTGACAAATTAATTCAATAACAAATTGTGAAGAAAAACAGAAGATATAACGATTTTGAATACTTTACAAAGTTAATTTTGAACCTCTAAACACGAGGAGTTGAATGCGGAACCTTAATGCGCTGTTAGTGAAGAGTACAGAAGTCTCATTTTTGGTATTTTTTGATTTTTTCAAGATTTTTTTTTGCAATGTCATAAATGCGATTTAATATAATGTTTGGAGTCTTTTCTTTTGGTTACATATGAATATATAAATATAACTTTGTTCTCATAAATTCATCATTTTGAAATTCAGTGGATTCGACCCGTCATCAAGAAATTGTAATAAACAGAAATTCATCAAAAGTGACAGCTCTCAATTTTTTGACATTTGTAAATTCTAAATTGAATGAGAAAAATGAAATAATACTAAGCATAATACAATATTCTAGATTTAATTATAATTAGGAAAAAGTTAGTTTTGAGAGTACTTTTCATAGGCATATAGAATGAAATCTTCTGAAAAATAATATCACATAAACTCATATTATTTTCTAATATATAACTATTTTATATAAAAATCAAATTTAATGATCTTAAAAGCGAAGGATAAACCTCAAAATTTGAATATAATGAGTGGGAATATAATGCTTATCTATCATAAAACCATATGAAATATCAATTTTTGCTTTACGCCTAATTTTTGACGACAATTAGCAAAAAATGTTAAATGTTAACACTCAGTCCATTTGAATATGAAAAATAAAATTGACTTTGATTAAATGTTTTTATTTATCATGCAATTCTTCTTGCGACCAAAGATTTGAATAAAAGTTCAAAAAATAAGATAGCTTAAAAAATAATATACGGTAGTGTTTACTAATAGATGAATAGTATATAAATTCTATTAAAATGGATTTGATCCAAAAAAATATATAAAATTCATAAATAAAATCGTTTTAAATTACTTCTTCATTTAAATTATAACAATTATTTTTGGTTTTATATTTTTTTGGATCAAATCCATTTTAATAGAATTTATATACTATTCATCTATTAGTAAACACTACCGTATATTATTTTTTAAGCTATCTTATTTTTTGGAATTTTATTCAAATCTTTGGTCGCAAGAAGAATTGCATGATAAATAAAAACATTTAATCAAAGTCAATTTTATTTTTCATATTCAAATGGACTGAGTGATAACATTTAACATTTTTTGCTAATTGTCGTCAAAAATTAGGCGTAAAGCAAAAATTGATATTTCATATGGTTTTATGATAGATAAGCATTATATTCCCACTCATTATTTCGTAAATTTTGAGGTTTATCCTTCGCTTTTAAGATCATTAAATTTGATTTTTATATAAAATAGTTATATATTAGAAAATAATATGAGTTTATGTGATATTATTTTTCAGAAGATTTTGTGTTCTTCTTCAAAATTTTATTTTTTTATTAAAAAGAATCTTTACAAAATATACATTTACTATAATTAATATTTAAAAACGTGCTCTATCAAAAGTTCCAAAAATTCAATATTTTAGCTTTTCTGAGGTGTCACTTTTGATGAATTTCTGTTTACAACAAAATAAGATCTAGGTTGATATATCAATTCAGGAATGAAAATTGATAATTTCAAACACGTTAAAGATATATCTATGCCTGACAATCTTATTTCAATTTATGAAAAATTCATATCATTTTTTATACGAAAATAATAGTATACAACATCATTAAATTTTTTTTCGATAACTTTTCCATCTACGTTTATATCAAAAAATAAAATGATTATGCGGTTAATATTTTATAATTAATAAAATCAAAATGCAATCAGATTAATTCATTTTGAGTTCAATAATATATGCATTCAAAATTAAATATTCAATTTGAATGCAATATATTTTCTGAGGCATTTTCGCTAACTTACCAAATTTTAAACTATTAATCTGTATATGGAACTACATATTATATTTTTATTTTTCATAATTCGTAAAATTGTTATAATAGTTCACTATTGTTTTCTTTCCTATAAATTATTTCCGCTCTACATTTATTTCTTTCAATCTATCTAATTTTGAAAGAATTGTTAAAATTGAAGTCTCATTACACTTTTCAATGCTCGATTTTTAAAAACTGTTTAAAAATGGAGCTTATCTTGAATTAGTGTAGAGACTAAAAATTACCACAGATTATTTCAGAGGATTGAGTTGCCACTCAATCCTCTGAAAAGTCTGAGGTAATTTGCAAAATTCAAAATCAATAAATTTTTTGAAACTCGGATCAAAATATCATGCATAACATGTGATTTTGAATCCTGTTCTTATAAAAAAATATTTCATATTTGAATTGTTTACATAAAACGATACGCCAATTAATCAAATTGATGATTGATTCCAGTTGCTTAAGTTCTCCATCTCTCAGACTCTGCAACCTTACAGATCCTGAGTTTGTGTGTCGTCAGTGCTCACCCTTTTCGTCACAAGCTATCAGCAACGAGGATTTTGATATTCAATTTGTTGAAGAAACCATAGTTCCTGAGATTAAAAATGCTATTAAACAAGACAAAAAATCTAAATTCGAAACATTACCTACTCTATTCCGTTTAATTATTGATAATTTCCCTCAAGATGGTTCAAATATTGTAAAGAACGAGATTTTTCCAGCGATACAATCTACAATAAAGTTTGGTGGCGCAAGGAAGACATCAGATCTGACTAAGTTAGCCGTTGAAATTGCTTCAGTTATCCCCAGATACTATCGAGATGATATTATTTCCGACTTAGTTATGAGATATTACTTGGACGAAGATCCAAGCACAAGAAATTTGGCCGTACATCTCATTTCCATCGTCAGAGACTTCTGGCGAGTCCAACCAATTCTCGAAATTTTATCTAAAGATAAATCAAATCTTGTACGCGCATCAGTCCTAATGATATTACCAAACTGCATGTGCGATGAAGATACGGTTAGAACCATTATTAGTCAAGCTGTTTCTGATTCTAACCCCGGTATCCAACAAATTGCAGCTTCAATCATCGGAAAGGTTGCTCCATGGATGATTGATGAGTTCAAGGGTCTCTTGGAAAGTGTTACTACTGTTAGATACGCGTTTCCTTCCCTTCCTGAAGTTATTTCTCAAAATTCTTTCGCCCAGATTATCGATTCGTTTTTTGGGCACAAAGATAGATAAAAACGATGCAGCCGTAGCTTTACTCGAAGCAGTTCAAGTTGCTGATATCAATACCGAAGAGGCTTTATATATCAGGCTGCTTCAGAACTGATTACATTTACCCCATTTGCATGGCGACTTCATGCTTTTTCCCTTAACTTTACTAACAAAAACGATTTTGTTGAGCTATTAGATCCTTCAAACATAAAAGATTGGAGGACACGATATGCTTTACTCAAGCAATGCGAAGAGTTCGTTCCTGAACTTGGTTCCCAACTTGTTAGACTTGCTGAAATCTACTCAGAAGATGAAACGCGCCGTTATTAGAAAAGAAAGTGCTTCTTTATGGGCTTTGCTTGTTCAATCGGATTCATCATTGGATTCAGATATGATAGAGAGACTTATGAGAGGCCCATGGCAAAAGAGAATTGTATTATGCAAAGTCATAAAACAATTTGGAACAAGTCGCTTTGCAAGAGTGCGGAAAAGCTTAAGAAAGATGATGTCGCTATGGTTAGAGGACTGTATTACTGATTTTTAATTAATAATATTGTTTGTAAATTTTTTGTTTTTAGTTTAACTTATCTCTCATTTTTCATGCATGTTTAGTAGTTGTATTATATTTTAGTATTTCGATAGTTCCGTTCTCTGAGATTTAAATATTCTTTCGTCATTATTTATCGAAATTATGGAGTAATAAAGGAATATGACAATTCATTCGATGTATTAAGATATATATTATGTGTTTTAGTGTTTTAAAAAAAGCAATAAAATGAAAACTGAAAAAACAGTTGACGATACAAGGATAACTCTGTTAATTCACTGATAATTAGTATGGGCATTTAAGAACTTCACGGTTAACACATAAACTAATGATTCTCAGATTGAAATGAATCAAAAGTAATGAGATAAGATATTTTCCAGTTCTAGTGAATCAGTCAAAATAATTTTAATATAATTTTTATGTTCTCATCTTCCAGGTAAAAGGCAATAATTGAAATGAATGCGATTCAGCTTAGATTCATTACGTTTCTTTCTAGCAACATCCCCACATATTTGTATTCATGTTTCTCGATTATTGGCGCCAATAGCAAAATTTGATTATTTTTTTATTTCAAATAATGGCAGAAATTCAAAATCATCAAGAAGTCTTTGACTTCTATTTACAACTGACCGATGTAATTTGGGAGATAGATAAAACATCAATAGAAGATATACTTACGCAAATCAAACTCGGATTCGATAAATATAATTTAAAGATGAATTATCTTATCAACATAATCAATACAATTGCAAGTCACAGGCTATGGTGCCTCGAAAAGTTTGTTAGTTTATTTAAAAGAATTCAAGAAATTTATGAAATTTCCAATGATTTAAATTTTTCATGTTTCGAATTGAAGAATATTCTTATCAAATGCAATATTATTACACAAGAACTTTCCTATGATTATGAAAAGAAAACAACAGACGAAATGTATCAAATTTTTCCAAAAAATACGATTGCTCATGCTTTATTTTGGGATGATATACAAGAATTTCAGCATTTTTCTGGAGCAGATGATTTTAACTTCAATCAATCAGTTAATTTTGAATTTTTGATTGATATGGCCGCAAAATATGGAGCTGTCAAGTGTTTTAAGTTGATATATCTTAATAATGCAAAGTTATCTATTCATACTCTTGAAAAATCATTCATTGGCAATAAGTTTGAAATAATAAATATTTGCGAACAATCTTTTTCTCCAAATCGACATTGTATAGAGAATTGCGTGAAGTGGTACAGAAATGACAGCTTGCAGTATCTGAAATCTAAATATGACTTAGATTTTTCGTTTTTAGTTTCATTAACTTCTTATAACTTTTTAATTTTCGATCAAATGTTGAACGAAGTGAATGATATTGAGTATTTAGATTGTACTGGAAGAACCGCATTTAGCTCAGCTGTTGAATTCGGTTTCCTTCCAATTGTTGAATATCTTTTAGACAAAAATCCTCAAATCAACAAAATATATGGGAAAGAAAACCCTCCATTAATCATTTCTTTATTTAAATATGATGAAAAATTAACAAAAACATTGTTAGATAAAAATGCAGATCCAAATATTACGAATTCTTCAGGGATGTCTGCATTAATGTATGCTGCAAACACATGTAATATTGATGCTATTGAATTACTTCTAAAATATAATGCAGATGTTAATAAAACAGACAATGAAAATAGATCTGCTTTGGTTTACGCAATTAAAGCTAACTTTAAAGAAGTTGTTGAAGTTCTAATTAAATATGGTGCTGATGCCACTATATCAGATAAATCTGGAAAAACTCCACTCGAATATGCCAAAAATATTGATCCAAAAAGTTCCATTACAAAAATCATCACTAAATATTTGGAGTCAAAGAATTCTGACTAGTATTCTGTATTACAATAAAATGAATAAAAATTTGTTTGAATTATCATTAGAAATACCAAAAACTACGTTTTTACCTACCACGTAAATCGTTTATTCTAATTCTATATTCGTCGACTTAAAAATGAACAAAAATTTTGTAATTATCTCAACATTGGATAAAGACAAAACAACCTGACTATGAACATATAAAGGTGCATATCCTGTAATATGTTATTCATGTGTTTAATTATGAATATATATGCATGTTATATGATTTTGTTATATAATACATGGTTTTTAAATTTTAAAACTTAATAACATAGAATATACAATTGGATCATTCATAAGTCGTTTCTTTATTTCTTTGAAATAACTAAATAAACAAAGAATAGTTCATTTTTAGAATGTTGGAGTACTGATACTCTAAATTATTTTCGCTCTCAGTATAGATTAATCTCAAATAATTAATTTGTTATATTGCAACAACAAATTGGTAAAGAATCTGTAGCTATAGTTATTCTTTATATATAATAAAATGCTTAGATACATGCCATGCAAATAGCAAAAGAACTAAGACTTCATGTGCATCCTTTCAATTTTGATAAGTCCAAAAATTGATGTAATGTTGAGGTACCTTTTTATCTTCGTCTGAATAGTTTCAAAGGAAATTTCATAGAGTAGCATGTATATATAATTGGATTAAAGCATTCTAATATTCCAAAATTCATGTGCAATACAAATATATCATCATGAAAATAATGATTTCATGATGCGCTCGCCATGTCAAATTTTTCGTATTTGCAAAACTTTTGGTATACTTAAAACTAGAATCTGGTATTCTGCCATAGGAATATATTTCGTTGAAGAATATTCTTTCTTCCATGTAAGTACATCAAATCTTAAAGAATTTAATGATTTGAAATAATATATAAATATATTTTTATTTAATTTTGAAGATATTCATCAACTTTTCCATCTATAATAGCTTGATAAATATTGTTACAAGCTTCAGCCATTTCTTCGTCAGTCAATACATCGCATGCTTTTAAGAAATCATACAGTTGAGGATGTATCTTATTACAGATGTGAATTAAAGTATTTCCAGAGTTATGAGGAACTTTATCTTTAATTTCGATCCAGATTCTGAAGAACTCGTCATTCAACTTACCTGTGATGCGGAACTCAGTGATATCTGCTTTCAAATTGAAAGCTGCAGGGAATTTTCTGGATTTGTCTCCATTTATCCATTCTGTAGCTATTTCTTGGAACTGAATCAATTCTTCTTTCGTAAACGGAAAACTTTTCTTAAATTCTTTGATTGCGTCATAATATTTGATCAGTTTCATTGCGCAGATGCACGTATTGTACAAATCCTTGGTTGGATTCTGTAGCGTATCTTTGGAATATCTCACGGCTTTTTCTAAAAGAATTGATCCGAAATCAACTCCAATCGTGTTTTCTTCTTTCCAAAGCTGAGTGAGTTGCTTGGCTTGGAGAGAATGCATAGTCTTAATGGATGTGCACGTTTTGATGTACGCAAGAAGAGATAAAGCTGTAAATGCAATATCATTCGAAATGTATTGAAGAAAACCAGCGTAAGTAGCAATGATTTCGGAATTTGGCTTGCCTAAGTTCTCATAAATTAATTGGGAGAAGTTCACCGACTCTTTGATTTCTAATTGGTCTTTTGCTGCTTCTAATTCTTTGCATGGGAAGCTAATGCTCTTGACCACATCTTTAAGACCAAATTTAGACTGGAAATATGGAATATTTGGCCTGAATTGAGTATCTATGACGGTATGTAAGGTAACTTTGCCAGTTTTGTCTGGTTTTCCGTTGATAGGTATTCCAAGTTTATAGAGACCGAGAACATCTCGAGTAATATCGAAAAATATCGTGTAAATAAAGTAATTTGAGAAAATTAATCTTAGTGCTCGCTTAACATCATTATCTGGGTCGAAAATGATAAATCCATCTTGAAGTTCTATTGATTCTTCTGTTGAATCGTCAATTTGGTAATTAATTAAATCATTGTGATTTACAAAGCATTCTGCAAACTGAATAACAAAGACATCGTTTAAGTCTGCAACATTGATCTTTCCTTCTGTGTCGACAGCCAAATATTTGTACTGTTTGGGATGATTTTTTATGTAATCAGCCAAATCATTGCAATATTTAATTAGCTTATCCTTATTTTGGTTTTTGTAGACAATGGTGTGCGTTCTTCCTGTAATTGGGCATTTGAATGTGCTTGGAAGCATGATAAAAAAATGAAATTTTGCGGAAAATTTTGACTTTAGGCAATTTGTGAAGTAAAATTCAAGTACAACTATAAGCAATTTCGCCTTACCACAATATTGGATTCTGAAAAATTACTCATCAATCTTTTGACTTGTAAAATTTTTATTCTGAAATCATTAATATTATTTAACTTGCTTTCATTATTATGCGTAGATTAGTATATGAGGACTTTTTATGTTGTAAACAGAAATTCATCAAAAGTGACACCTCAGAAAAGCTAAAATATTGAATTTTTGGAACTTTTGATAGAGCACGTTTTTAAATATTAATTAAAGTAAATGTATATTTTGTAAAGATTCTTTTTAATAAAAAAATAAAATTTTGAAGAAGAACACAAAATCTTCTGAAAAATAATATCACATAAACTCATATTATTTTCTAATATATAACTATTTTATATAAAAATCAAATTCAATGATCTTAAAAGCGAAGGATAAACCTCAAAATTTACGAATATAATGAGTGGGAATATAATGCTTATCTATCATAAAACCATATGAAATATCAATTTTTGCTTTACGCCTAATTTTTGACGACAATTAGCAAAAAATGTTAAATGTTAACACTCAGTCCATTTGAATATGAAAAATAAAATTGACTTTGATTAAATGTTTTTATTTATCATGCAATTCTTCTTGCGACCAAAGATTTGAATAAAATTTCAAAAAATAAGATAGCTTAAAAAATAATATACGGTAGTGTTTACTAATAGATGAATAGTATATAAATTCTATTAAAATGGATTTGATCCAAAAAAATATAAAACCAAAAATAATTGTTATAATTTAAATGAAGAAGGAGAGAGGGTCAAAGTTGCTATTTGTCACTTTTCCACAAGAATATAATGGGGAAAAAGTTATCATATAGTTGATCTCATTCACTGAGTTGGGAGATGCATGTAGTGTAATGTGATAAACAGTGGGATTCCTGCTCTAAGTCCTAGGTTCGAGACACATTGGCTTCATTTTTCTCTTTTTTATTGACGTAAACTATTCAATTTTTGTGTTCTCCATTCAAATTTCAGAATTTTTTTTGCAGATTTCACGCTACATTCGAAGTTACCTTTTGTAACAACCACCACTGCCTACGAAAGACGAAAGTGTGTCACGATTTCACCCGGAAATCCGACGGTTGTTTAAGAGTAAGCACTTTTGGCACCTACTCAATGAAGAAGTAATTTAAAACAATTTTATTTATGATCAAATTTTATATATTTTTTTGGATCAAATCCATTTTAATAGAATTTATATACTATTCATCTATTAGTAAACACTACCGTATATTATTTTTTAAGCTATCTTATTTTTTGAAATTTTATTCAAATCTTTGGTCGCAAGAAGAATTGCATGATAAATAAAAACATTTAATCAAAGTCAATTTTATTTTTCATATTCAAATGGACTGAGTGTTAACATTTAACATTTTTTGCTAATTGTCGTCAAAAATTAGGCGTAAAGCAAAAATTGATATTTCATATGGTTTTATGATAGATAAGCATTATATTCCCACTCATTATATTCGTAAATTTTGAGGTTTATCCTTGGCAAACCCAAATTTTAGCTAAAAGTGACAGGGAGAAAAAACGTTTAGTATTAAAAAAAAAGACCGATGAGAGCTTCGTTCGAAATATAGAGGGAACTGAGAATGCGCAACCATTCTCAGGGAATATTGGATGCTATTCCCGTTCCCTCTGTATGGAAAATTGAGGTTTTCAAAGGGAGTTAAAATAATATCAAATTTATACTAATTTACTTCAAAATACAAAAGTATTTGACAGCTAAAATTAGTTACTTTAGCAAGCCTATCAATACCCTTTTACGATTATTGTTACTTTTTCGAAATAAAAGTAAAAACAAATTTATACTAATTTACTTCAAAATACAAAAGTATTTGACAGCTAAAATTAGTTACTTTAGCAAGCCTATCAATACCCTTTTACGATTATTGCTACTTTTTCGAAATAAAATAAATTTATTATCAAAAACCTTTTTTTCTTAGTAAAAATAAACGAAATTTTTTACCTTATGAACTTTTGATGGAAATATGCAAATTTAAAATAATAAAGAAAGCCGCGAGCGAAGCGATCGGCTTAGTTCGAAGATTTTGATTCAAATCTTTGCTGATCTGTAATTCGCGGAAGCCGCGAGCGAATCGAGCGGCTTAGGTCTAAGATTTTGATTCAAATCTTTGCTTATATTCCTTAAATTCTTTATGAAACTCGCAACAGTTCCATAAAAAATTTTAAATTCTAAACTGTCGAAATTACCGATCGGTAATCACACCCTTCACATGTGTCACTTTTACAGGCGTGTCACTTTTAGCTAAAATTACCCCTACTCTTTATCCTTCGCTTTTAAGATCATTGAATTTGATTTTTATATAAAATAGTTATATATTAGAAAATAATATGAGTTTATGTGATATTATTTTTCAGAAGATTTCATTCTATATGCCTATGAAAAGTACTCTCAAAACTAACTTTTTCCTAATTATAATTAAATCTAGAATATTGTATTATGCTTAGTATTATTTCATTTTTCTCATTCAATTTAGAATTTACAAATGTCAAAAAATTGAGAGCTGTCACTTTTGATGAATTTCTGTTTATTACATTTATTGTTATGAATCAATGGTGAAAGCATTTGAGCAACAAAATGATTTAATTTAATTGAGAAACAGGTTTCAAAGTTGCAAATATAATTAGTTTTTCTTATATATGCAAAACTAACAACCTAAACTAGCTTTCATCATATTATCTTATCAAACTCTTTGAAAAATACCAGAAATCATGTAATTTGATTTTATACCTTCAAGTGTCACTGCTATGGACGCAGTTTGGTGATGTTTGCTAAGAATAAAGCTCATTCGAAGAAGTGGTTTGATAAAATTTTTATCAAAAACGATTTCATTCTCTTCACAAAAAAATGAGCGATGTAATTTCCCTTGCAGAGAATGCTGCAAGGGAAAGAGGTATCAAACCATTATATATAGGTATAATGAAGGTGGTTGATGAATCTAATAATGTTAGAAGCTCATTAAAAAACGTTATTGTTATATCAAAAACTAATTTATTAGTATTTGATGCAGATCCATTCAAATTCTTGAAAAGACACTCATGGATTCAACTAAATCATATTTCATATCAAGATAAAACTATTCAATTACAATTCGATCAAGATCGTTATAATTGGCATTCTAATGAGATATATTTAGTCTTGCCACCGATATCTGAGTCAATCCAGCAAATACTGAAATATACAGAATTGAAAAAACTCAACTTTTCCCCGTATAAAGATCAAGTTTTCAAACCATCAGCAAATTCGGCATTACAAAGAGCTAGGTCATACATAAGCAACAATAAACTTACAATAGACGAGAAAAGTTTCAATAATTTCGAAAATATTTTTTATACGTCACAAATATCAGTAAAAATACTAAATATTTCAATACAAGATGATATATGCAGTTTGATAGCAGATTCTCTACCACTTTATCCAAATTTACTTGGAATTGAAGTTTCAAAAATTCATAACGTTGATACTTTTGAAATTGCAAAAGCTTTTGCCAAAGAAAGATGCAGCATTGAATATATGTCTATTGAAGGTGAAGTTACTTCTACTTTTAATCGATTTGTTTCATCTTTAAAGCATAATAGATCAATTCCAATTCATGGGATTGGTTTTTCGAATAGTAACTTTACTGAAGCGAATCTTGATCGTCTCAAAGAATTAATTACCCGCAAAAATATACGATCTCTTACTTTCAATAAATCTATTACAACAAGAGCCATGAAACACTTCTGCAATTCATTTTTAAATAGCGAGATTGGAGATAACTTAGTTTATTTGAACTTAAACTACTCAACAAATATAACTTTGTCTCTAATTTTGCCAAATATAATTTCAATTCAATATTTATCGTTGGAAGGTTGCAATTTAGATATAGTCAAATCATTGATATCGATTTCTAAGTACAGATTTCCCAATTTAGTCGCTTTAAACTTATCAAATAATCAATGTGAAAATTCTGTAGGAATGGCAACGATTAAGCTACCGCCATCCATCGAATCTTTCTCAATGAACAATATAACATGGGGTAGTGACTCTTTTGTTACGTTTTTGGACTTAATTTTTAGTACATATAAAAATGGTCTCAAACTTTCAATATCTAATGCACAAATGGACTATGATAGTTGGACAAACGTGTTTGATTTCCTTGGAAGCATCCCTTATTTTAAATTATCTTCATTAGTGTGGGATAACAATCCAATTGTGCAGCCGTTCATTGAATTCCTGGAAAATAACGAGAATATTTCGTATCTTTCATTAAATTCGTGTTTTGAAGGCTCAAATTTCTCAATTTTCAAACAATTTTTACAAGGACTCAAATTGATGAAAAACTTGACATCTCTTTCCATCAGAGGTCATAATACAAAGACAATTTCCAAGTTCTTGAAAGATTTTGTTGATTCAATTCTTAATTCAAAAATTGAATTTTTAGATACTTCAAATAACGGCGGTGGAGAAGATTCTCTCACTTATTATGAAGATTTGCTACTAGAACCTTCTTCTCTAAGAGTTCTAGTCCTCGACGGCCTAAATCCAACAGATGCCGAAAGATTTAAAGATTTTCTTGAGGTCGCGACTGATTCAAATGTGTTTATGAGCTTCCCATTCGATGATTCCGAGTATCTCGTGAAAAATGGCCAAATTGCAAGAGAAGATATCAAAGAATTTATGGTAATTATGAATTTGGCCAAATCTTCGTCCGAAATGCTCAATGTTTTCTATGAAGAAGAATGTCCGTCATTTCCTTTATACGTTGTTCCAGAAAATATTCCTCAAATTTCGCAAAAAACTCCAGAAAAAGTCAAGTTCGAAAAGCCGAAATCTCCTGTTCGCGAAAAGAGATTATTCGAACTTGCCTCATATTCAGAAGCCAAAACTCTTGATCCAGATTTATCTCTTTCAAAATCTCGTCAGCGACATCACTCCAAAAAGTGCCAACCGAAAATTGTTGATATAATTTACCAAACAAGAAAAGAGGAAATACCGGTAAAAAGTCCGAAATTCGCTAACGAAATCGTACAACTAGGACCATCAAAGACACTAGATCCCGAAATAGGCCTTCCTCCAGAGCCAGAACAAAGTTTATTATGTACTAGTGTAACAAATGACGAGCAACAGACAGATGATGATGGTAGATCAGGAGCTGCAACAGTTGGTGATCCAATGACACTTGGAGAAGCTGTTACTTCCCAAGTTTTGAACGATGAAAGTTATAATCCAAAGAATATTCATCAGAAAACAACGAGAAGAGAAAGAATATCGTTGTTTAACATCGAAATAGACTCTGATGAAGACGAATTACCTAAATTTGTTCGTCAAAGTCAAGATGATGAAAGTGATCAAGATGCTCCAATGCAAACAATGCTAATGGAGACTCCAGCCAAACAACAAGAAGAACCACAACAAAGAAGACATAGGAGAAGAAGGAGAAAGAAAGAAACTGCAAGCCAAACTAAAAATTATCATGATCAGTTTAACTGGGAATTTCCAAACATGAATCAGAACTTTGAGGAGGAAGAGGAAGAAGACATTTGGGAGAACCTTGATAGACATTTCTCATTTGATTCAAACTTTGATGAAATTCGAAACACTCCGCCTTATTACGTGAGAAAGAAATAAGATATTAGTTTTATATATATTGTTTTGTTTTATTTAAAGTTAAAGATAATAATAATTCTGTTTTTAGTCTCTAAATTAACAATTTTCATATCAAATTTTACTAAAAATAAGTGTTAATCCATCGTTTTTATCCTATTAAGTTATTTAATTTAGGTATTATAAATTTGTTATTGTATTATTGATCCCTCATTCAAGAAAACAGATTTGATATTTCTTCAATTTCAACTTAATAGTAAAAATGGAGAATGAAATATGATTTTGTGCTCCAATGTTGGAAATTGATCCGTTAATTATATCTTCAATGGCATTAGATTTTGAATTTTGAAGAAATTTCCTTATGAAGGACTATAAATGTGAATGAAATGTGATTTTTAGGTCCTATGTATGAATTCTATGTTATAAATGGATCGAAATTATGAAATTGAATTTGATAGAAAAACCGTTCAACCATTTATGTTTGTTTTTATTGCTTTTGGTGCATCTCGCATATTCTTTCAAGAGAATTTCGATGATTACAGTCTTAGCCGTTGGCAGAAGCCAGGAAAAGTAAGAAAAGGCATTCAATTAGGAACAGTTAGAACTTCAACTGGTGATTTCTACGGTAATGAAGTCAAATGGAGAGGTATGGAGACAATGGATGCTCATAGATTCTATCTTTTAACATCAAATTTCTCAAAAGTCATGGATACAAGAAACAGAGATCTTATTCTTCAATATTCCGTTAGAATTAACTACAATGTCGATTGCTCAGGTCAGTACATCAAATTACTTGACAAGTCTGCCGACACATGGACATTTTCTAACAATACGAAATATGAGTTAATGTTCGGACCAGATATCTGTGGTGCCACATTCCGTAGAACCCAAGTCATCATCCGCTACAAGGGTGCTGAGTATCCAACACTTCGTCCATTAAATTGCATCAAAGATCACTTATCTCACTCATATACCCTTATTATTCGCGCAAATAACACATACGAAGTCGATATCGATGGCGAGCCAATCGACCAAGCTACTCTTGCCGAGAGATTCGACATTCCAGAAGATTCTCAAACAATGGATCCGAAACCAGCCGATTGGGATGATGAAGAATTCATTCTCGACGTCAACGATAAGAAGCAAGATGATTGGTCGGACGATGAATACATTCCAGATCCAGATGCAGTTAAACCATTCGATTGGGACGACTCCATTCATCCATGGGAAGCTCCTTTGATTGTCAATCCTAACTACAAGGGTCCATGGCAACAGAGGATGATCAAGAACCCGAATTACAAAGGTCCATGGCAACCAGATGTTGAAATCTTTGGTCACTTCAATTCTCTTAAGTATGTTGGCATCGAGTTCAAGCAATCATGCCCAGGATCTCTTTTCGACAACTTCCTTGTTACAGATAATGAAACAGAAGCTCGCGAAATTCTCGAAAACAATTTCTTGCAGTACAAGCTCCAGGAAGTCAAATCTTTCGATGAAAAGAATAAGAGAGAGGCAAAGGTCCAGGAATTGGAGAATATAAGAAGAGATCGTGACATGGAGAACCACCACGATCCAGATACTTTCGAGGATGGAAAGGGTGAGTCAGAGAAGGATTACTTCATCGCTAGACGTAACCAGGAAGCAAGACTTCGTAGAAAATATAACAAGGGCCAATTCGATGAGCTCTAATTTTATTTTTTTGATAATTGAATTTTATAAAAAGGTTGATAATATTTTAAATTTATTTATTTATTATTAAACTTATCTCTGTTTTGAGAATATCTTTACGTATCATTGAAATATAATTTTTAATCAATTGTATCTATAACCCTTTGAAAGCGTTGTTGAATAGCCAATGAGAATGTAACTTATGACATTTGAGTTGAAAGGCTAAAATAAGGAAAAAAAATTGTTCAAGTTTTCCTAATTCTCTAGGTTTGGTAGCACATATGTCAAAAGATTCCATGCTAATAAAAGAAATTTACTGTTCTTAAGCTACTTCAAGCCATTTGAATGCAAACACAAAGACCTATTCACATGAATGAAGCACTGGTATGAATTTTTACATAGAAATATTATGAAAACCAACTAGCAGAGGGGAAAAAAACTCATATTTTGAAAAAAGAAAAAAAAAAACATATATCTTTTTGTTCAAGCAAGATATAAAAGATGTAATTAGAATTATATTAAATATCATTGCTTGTGATTTCAATGTGAATAAGAAAAGATATTTAAATCGAAGATATAAAAATCATCGATTTTTTCTTTTTGTTTTTTTGTATTTTACTTTTTGAATTTCGATAATGTTATGTTTATATTATAATAAAAGCAATTTTATTTACTTTTGAAAGCTTAGATGTTCATCTTCCTCCTGCGCCAGTGGCGTGTGAGAGGATTACGGATGTGGCGAACGCCAGTCATCTGGCGGATGAACTGTGGCATTGGGCGGTTGACCTTCATAGCCTTGCAAAGGATGCGCTTTGTTCTGAGAGTCTTATGGGCTGCCATAACAAAAAGGAAAGGCCATGACGATTATCTTTTCTGAAGAGGAAACGGTTTATATAAAAAAATCTTTTTGTCTTCAGATTAAGATCACAAATCTAGTATATATTTGAAATTTCAAGAAATACAAAAGATTGGTTTTGATCAATTTTTTTGAAATTTTTTGCTTGAGGCATTGATGAGATCATTAATGAAGATCTACTATATTCCTTCAATGAAAATCATTTTTCCTATCCATTTCAATCAATAAAGGATAATAACAATTTTGAGCGAATCATTTTCTCTCATGAATAGAGGTCAATATACTAAATGCATCAACTTGCTGTAGACATTAAATTTTATGTCATATCCATAGTCAGATTTGCAAAATAATTTGAGATGATATTAGATAAAAAGAGAAGATTATTTAAAAGATAGATTTTAATAACATATATATATAAAAATACATACAAATAATAAAATATTAATAAATAAAAAAAAATCTATGCGAAGAATATCTTTGCCTTATTCTCAGAACCATTGATATCTATTCTCAACAATCTATTAATTATACTTGCACGTGTCAAGTACTTCGTCATTAAAGGAATTCTTGAATTAACCATTTCTCTTGCGTTAATTCCACTTGCTTTGCTGTACATCTTTGCAACTTTGATGAATGTTTGGCTGTTCTTGTCATTGAAGAACTTCTCAACGATTGCGGTCAATTTTTCAATGTCGCAAACTAATCTGAAGAAATTATCAGTTTTAGAACCGAATTTCGCAATTGCTTCATCAACCATTGTGTAGAAGTCATCGCCATTCCTTATGAACTTGCCAAAGAAACTGTCAAGAAAAGTGGCCACTTCACTTTTGACAACATTTGAACACTTTGATTCAACTTCGAAAACAGCGGCATCGACAATTGCTTGTAGTGATGGTTCCACGCCCTTTGGAGTTGCCAGGAGCTCGTCGAGTTCGTCACTTGATCTCGCGAAGTAATAAAGAGCATTTGCGAGGTATTCGTTGACGATAAAAGTTCCGATTTCTGATTTTGAGAGAGTAAAAATGGGAAGTACTGTATTTATGAACTTATTGAGGACACGGAGGTGGCTGACTGAGATCTCTCCGAGTAAGAAACATATGTTTGACCTGGAAATGTTGAAATCAATGATCGTTGGTTCACTTTTTTGGGAAAAATTGATGGAAGGAAGTTCGTCAAGGACTGGATAGACATCTGAGAACGCTTTGACCTTCTCTTGAACTCTGTATCTATAAATAGCGTATCGTAAGATATTTTCGGCACATCTGATTTTCACAAATTTTGAATCTCCAGATTGCCTAACGTATTTGAGGATGGAAGGTGCTTCAATGGCGTAGAGATCGTTTATGGCGTTGTATTGTAGAATTCTGGAGTTTGTTTTGATATGAGAGTTAGCGTAATATGAGATATCTGCTGTAACGAACAATTCGAACATAGATGAGGCGTAGCATTTGATATATGAGTAGAATCTCTCAAACTCGGACATCTTTCCTGTATCTCCACCTTCACTTCCGACACGAGTGGATTTTGCGTAAGTGTTCAAGATAAATGTCGATGGGAGAGGGCTGATGAAAAACTCTGTTGGGACGTAAGAGTGGCCAATTATCTCCTCCTCTTCTTCTTCCGAGTCGTTTTGGCTTGTTGAAAGATCTGTTTTTTCTTTTGGACGATATCTGATTGAAGGAGGTGGTAGAGGAGTCACTTCTGGATCGACGATGAGGTTTCTGACGTTAAAAACAGGATGTACCTTATCGAACATCGGATTTGGATGAATTCTTGAGGCGATGCGTAGGCCATTTACTAGTAAATATGTAATAGATATGTTTTGATATTTCCTTAGAAACTTATAACTAAGAATTAACGAAATTAAATCAACTCTCCTTACATTATGTTGAGTTGCGTTGATTATTGTGGACAAAAATGATATAATGTAGTATTCTGGTACGCCATTTTCAAGTAACCGTCGAATTATTTGCTCTAAGTCGTTATATAAACGAGACATTCGAATTGACTTGCGATCTGTCAATGCGCGCCAAATTTGATTCACTGCATGATAGTTTTTGAGTATTTCACCTATAGATTTTATGGCTTCGTCTGGTTGTATCAGGCCAATTAGTAAATTTTCAAGAATTCCGCTAATAATTTCAACAACATTCTTGGATAAAAGAAGCTTCGCAATAAGACCGAATGTTATTGCATTTATCTTAACTGAGAGCGTGTCAGCACTCTCAAGTTGCAATGCAATCATTCCAGTAGCTTCCGACATGTGATATGATAAAAATTAAATAAAAATTTGATTAACGTAGCAAATGCTAAGGTTGTTTACTTAATAGCATATTTCATTAGGACTGCGACTCCCGGTGATAAAAGAAGTTCAATGAGAAAATTATTATTCAACATTTGGATTTCATATTTTTTCTTTTTTCCAATTTCCATAATTTACGTCTGAGGGTTGAATTAAATTGTGGCATCATATTATATTGAATATATAACTGATGCGGTACGAAAGTTATTTGAGAAATCATTAAAAAAATTACATATGAAATTATGAAAAAAACAATTGTTAGGTTAATACAATGATTAAAAAATCGCTTTATTTTTGTTCTGGATAAGCTGGAGCTGCATATCCTTGTGGTGGTGGAGCTGCGTAGCCCTGTGGAGCAGCGTACTGTGGAGCTGCATAGCCCTGTGGTGGTGGAGCAGCATATCCTTGTGGAGCGCCCTGTTGTGGGTATCCACCTTGTGGTCTTTGTGGAAGAAGAGGAGCATTCCTCTGCTCGTTGAAGTAGAACTCACTTGGTGGAAGACCGCATTGGCCATTCTTCAATTCACGCTGGTCTTGGCAAATCATGCAAGGTAAGCAGCATACCATAACGAGGCAGTCGCCGAATGTTTCACGTCTCATGTGTCTGCGTGTACGGATGACCTGGCGTGTCCAATATGGGGAAACGAGGCAGCATAAGTGACAGAGGTTGCAAGATTCGCTACGTGTCATTGCCCAGTTGTTAGCAAGTGCGCAGTCCAAGCAGAAGCAAACATAGACGGTAACACCGCAATCTTCGAAGCAGGAAAGAAGGCCGTATGAGAATTCGGGAGCTTGAGCCATTTTCACAAAAAATGAAATTTGACAAAATTGAAGTGAAGTAGATCATCACAATTTACTTTCTATATAAGGATAATAAATTTGTTTATTTAATGCTCAAAATAAAAATTGAATTGGACGATCTCGTTAATCTTTTGATTTATTAATTTACCCGAAAGACTATCAAATTTGATCAAAATTGAATGTGATTTCGGCATAATTAGAAAAACCATATTTAAACTATTGTTAGATTTTTGAATATTTTAATGATTTTGTATTCTTAAGTTCAATTGATCAGACTTGATAGAAATTTGATAAGTTTACCTAGCGTCGAGTAAATTGGATATTTTACGTAATGATAGTTTTACCCTTTGAAATTTTAGAAATTTTTTCTTGAACCTTTCTTCCGAAAAAGAATCTAAAAAGTGAATAAAATTAACCACCGGATCTGGACCTTTATTTGGATTTAAGATCCAAAATTTTCGTAAAAAATATTTTCCATCAATTTTTTGAAAAAATTTTGGATTTCGTACTTTTAAATGAATAAAACGTCAATATATATATATGTTAGATGAAATAGACTTTAAATTCACAATGTACCATCCTTCTTTTTTTCTATACCTCACACATATTCACAAACATTGCATTCAATTCAATTTTTCGTGTGAATTTCTCTCTGTTTTCTAGGTTTGTGCTTGGTGGAGACTTTAATCATGAAAATAAGCTTAGAAAAGATTCGACAATTCATTTTAACTCAAATAGTCAAATACAAGTATCTTATGGTCAGACAACAAGATTTCAATATAGGTTTAGTTCATAAAATAGCATGTATATAAAAATCAAAAATCAATATAATGGAACGGTCTACTTTCTAACTCGTGTTTAGAATAAGGCTTCACTATATACTCTATAAGCTTGATGACTAGTCAAAATATACCTTTTTCTCCAGAAGCATTACTTCACGTTTGGATTGAAGTGTAAACTAATCAAAAAATATGATCAGAAAGTTTTATTCAAAAATAATAATAAACATGTTCTCAATATGCAAAATCTTTAAACTTTTTGTAAGAATAGCAATTACCTTTTTCAAAAAAAATCATGGATGAGAGATCGGATTCAACCTTTGTTTCAATGAAAGTTGTTCTCATTGGAGCATCGACTGTTGGAAAAACAAGTCTTGTTAATGTTGCAACTGATGGAACATTCCAAGATACTCAAGCTCCAACGATTGGATCTTGTTTTGTTGTTAAAAAGATCAAAATTGTTAAAAAAGTAATCCGATTGCATCTATGGGATACAGCAGGCCAAGAGCGTTTCCGTTCCCTTGCTCCTATGTATTTTAGAGATGCAAATGTTGCACTAATAGTCTACGCAGTGAATGATCAGAAATCATTTGAGGATGCTTCTGGATGGTATGACTGTATGGAATCCGAATGTCAAACAATTCCTTACTTATATTTAATCGGAAATAAAATTGATTTAGAAAACGAAAGAAATGTATCTCATGATGATGGTCTTTCTCTTGCCGAAAAGATAGGAGCTCAATTTTTCGAAGTTTCTGCAAAAGAAGGAACAAATGTTGATGAACTATTTCAAAATATTGCCGAAGCTTGCATTAAGATTGATGATGATTATCACAATATGGTGCATGACGAAAAATTACTCGAAAAACAACCGAAAGAAAAGAAAAGCTGTTGTTAATTTACTTTAACAACTGAATACATCATTTTATGCGATATGTTATTATTGTGTTTGCGAAAATATTTTTAAAATTGTATATTATCTGTCTATAATCTAACATATTTTTTATATATATTATTTGTTTTGATCCTTCAAAAAAGCAATTGTGGCATTGAAACTTATCCACATCTAGCGTATGTGTGAATCATTATTTGATTACATTTTAAATTGAGATGAATAAAATTTTTTGGATCTAACTTTTGGTTATTGAATCATTGTAGCAAACCATTAGCGCTGATATAAGTGATAAGTCTCTCAAATCAATATGAAGACTGAAATGAAAAGATGATAAAATAAAAAGTGACAAAATTAAATCTTTACAAAAGATGCCAATAATAATAGAATCGACTAATTTCAGCATTTTATAGTAAGGCTATGAAATGGCAGCAAAACTTCTCATACGACACATATCAAATTTCTTGATGATCAATTTCGTTATTTCATTTTTGTCTCACATTTCGATTCAAATATGAAAAAATAAAACTTCATTCAGGAGTATTACAAATTCCATAATTCGTTTGGAGCCGCAATCCCATAATTCTCCTATCAAGTTGTCAATTTTTCATTTCACATGAGCCGCCTTCCTCCACACTCAGGACATGGTGGTGGGAAAGGAATCAAAGTTCCGGCCTCTGTTAGTGTAAATAGTATAACTAATGAACCATCTTCTGTTTTTAAAAGTCCTCATGCGCATAATATCAAGAAATGCTCAGCAATGATCGAAATTTCGTGGGATAGCTACATCAATGCCGAGACATTCCCAGAATTCAATGATGGGTACCGAGAAGACTTATTTTTCGACAACGCTGACCATGATGCATTAATGGAAGAGTCCCAGTATGCAAGGGAATCAGAAATGTATGAACGTCAAGAGCGAAGACGGCGACTTCACTCCAAGTATAGTGAAGCAAAATCAAGAAGATCTGCGATGTATCCAAATCAACAACAACAAAATGCGGCTGATTGCATTATTGTAGGAAACAATGGTGTTAAATATGCTGTAGTTGGTAATCTGGGACATGGCCAGTTCGGGCAAGTGTATGCGGCAATAGAAGTCACATCAAATTTAGCTAATAAACCAAAATACGCTATAAAAGTTGCCAGACCAGGTCCAATGTACAGACAACAAGCATTTCGCGAGGTTCAAATCTTAAAACAACTACAAAAGCTTGCAACGCCTGATGAATTAAAGTATTGTATTCATTTTGTTGACTGGTTCAATTTTAACGATAGATTATGCATCGTCAACGAACATCTTTACATTAATCTCTTCGAAGTCATCAAGAGACGTGGTTATAGAGGCTTACCACTCCAATTAATTCAATCCGCAACAAGACAACTTCTTTTTACTCTCAAGACCTTAGAAAAATGTAACATCGTACACTCAGACATCAAGCCAGAGAATATTCTCCTCAAAGATGATAAAGGAAGCGATATAAAATTGGTTGACTTCGGTTCCGCGAGATTTATACAGCAACCAGCATCCAATTACATTCAGAGTAGATATTACAGAGCTCCTGAAGTTGTTCTGGGCTTGGATCATGATTATAAAATCGATATATGGAGTGCAGCTTGCGTTGCCTTCGAATTGTTCATTTCTATGCCACTTTTCCCAGGCCAAAACGAAATCCACCTACTGGAATTGATCGTAGCCTTTCTTGGCGAATTTCCACCCGAAATCGTCAAAAAATCACCGAGACAGAACCTTTTCCAGAACGGAAAGCTCAAGAGCGAGGAACAGGTATGCATGGAAAACGGAACGCAGCCAGTGTATTTCCAGAAATACTTCCAATACGACACAATGGAGGAAATTATCCTTCAGTACGAGTACATGTTCGGTAATACACCTCAGGCAAGGGAAAGCGAGAGGAAACGTCGCTTGATCTTCATTGATTTCTTGAGAAAAACTCTCAATTTGAACCCAGAAAAGAGATTGAATGCGACTGAGGCTTTGCAACATCCTTTCATCACTTCTTATCTTAGTAAGTTGTAATTTTTTAATATTTGTTTGATTTATTGTTATGAAACTTTAATTTTTTATTTTAATTCTTATTTTTCTGTTATTCTTTATATTAGTTTTAGCTAAAATTTGTTCTATTTTTATTATATTTCTCATTATTTATAAAATAAGTCAATTTTCAAAGATATCATAATTTTGAAATTTGAAGGACTGTTCTTATATTGAAGCTCTGTTATTTCTAGACTAGTGTATTTAGCTACAAGATGAAGATTTGCTTGTTAATCTGTATTAGAGGATGGTTGCATCTCGTGAATCATACATCATAGATAGATATAAGCAAAGGATCCAGACATTTATATATTTGCCATTAAATATTTAACGTCAGATGAAAAATAAATCTCTTTATCTTCTTATTTCTAATAAGAACATACATTATTCTGATTTATATTCTCATAAGTTTCAACATATTACTAGATCGCACTTCAACAAAACAGTTTGCTTGTGATTTTAGAGAAATGATTCGAAAGTGAATGAATACATTTTAAAAATGAAAATTCCTTAATTAATTATGGAGTTCTGGTTTGATCTTTAACTTCTCTAAATTTTGACAAAGTGAAGTTCCTTCCATTTGTAAAATCTGGCTTTCAAAAAAGCTGTCGTTCCCAATGATATATGGGAGCATTACTACGGGACACCGATACAAGAACCTACCACCATCACAAATAACACAAATATCACTCTTTCTTCAAATTTTTTCTTACTTTCATCAAACTTCAAAGATCTTTCAAACGGTGTCGTTTACTGCTTATATGTTCCTGACATTAAATTTCTACATTCTTTATGCTCATTCGTTAATACTAGGCGAACTAGTATTGGTGGCGGTGCAATATACTTTTGGGCCCAAAGTCCCATGGTTTAAGATCGCTTTTGTGCCATCAAATGCTATTCAGCTAGTGGATTGTTTTCATTTACCTCTCATTATTATGAAAATATAAAAGAATATATAAATTCAAGCTCTATTTGTCTATGCTCGGGTCCTAAAATAAGTCATTCCTGTATAAGCCAACAATTTGGAGATAAATATATAATTTATACAAATATCACTAAAACAAAATGTCAAAGCACTGCTTGTTATTCTTCTCTCTATAATACAGTTAAGGCTCCGGTCCCACCCTCTCAATTTTAAAAGTTTTAATATCCCCGGCAATATGAGTTTTTGATACTTTTATTTTAGTATATAATATCATTATGTAATACACTATAATTTGGTATATTTAAACTGAGTATTACTATTATAGTTCATCTTATATGAGAATTCGGTATTTTGACAAATTTCAACTTTGACCGGTAAAAGTAAACTCCTTTTTTTTATTTAGGTACCCTATTCAATTTCTATCGTCACCATATGGAGAGGTCAGGCCCATATCATAAAACATTAAGTTTGGACTTACTAAGACATGTAAGAATTACCTTGCTTGTATAGGGGCATTAAATACTTTTAGATGCTAAAATCTTCAAAATTAATTTAATTTGATATTCAAAATATGCACGAAAACGTAAATAAATACGGATCTAGCTCTCACATATCTCTATTTTAAGCATTGATAAGTATTTCTACATTCTATTTTAAAAAATATTCAAATTTCACAATATTCTTTTCATTGATAATCTACATATTAACGAGAATAATATAACTTTTCATGTGTTTAGAAGTTCTTAGCTTTAGTACTGTATTGTTGAAAAAATTATTGAAGACTTTTTTCTTTTTGAGAAATTAATGCAATAACCAAAGAGGAATTGCATATGCTGCGCACTAAAATTATAGAAATGTCTCTAATTAGACACAAATAGAGATATTCGGAAATAAAAATTTGAAATTTTGATCAAAAACGCTATTTTCTAATCATTTTTATTTTAACTATATATAAAGTATCTTTTTCTATAATTTATACTTGATGGTTTAAAAGACGTTTAGACTCAAAATTTTACTGCATTTCATGTGGTAACTATGCTTTATCACTAACTACCTCCTTGTTTCAACCCTGAACAATATATTATACCTCCCAATGCAGGTATTACTCCAACAAAATTAGCAATTTGGCTATTGTCTAAAATTTTCTCAAAGAAAGAGGAGTAAAGTCCCATTTTTAGAATTCGAGTTATATTAGAATGCAACTTAGACAAAAGGTTACAGTTTCAATACACATATTCAAAAAATTTGCATTCGAAATTTAAGATAAAGTACAATTTCCAAAAAAGAGTATCGAATCAGTGCACAAATATGCATTTACATGCTTACACTAGCTTGCACTAGTATTAATAATTTTGAAATTAATTTTCAAATTATTCCCATACCTTTTGCAAAATTATTATGCTTATGATTCTAAGCATAGTTAAGCGATCTCGAATTTGAATTGCTAAGAAAAAATAATTAGTAAAAAAAATTGTCTATGCATTCTGTATGATGCTACTAACTATATTAGCAGCATACCTAAAATCTTTTCAATATTTTTGAGGGAATTTGAATGGTACCGGTTGAGAGCTTTTTTAATTAAGGTACTATTTCGATAGAATTTGAATGGTACCCCTTCAATTTTGTGAGGGACCCCCTTTCATTTTTTGAATAGGGTACCTTAAATGAAAAAAGGACCTTATTTATAATCCAAAAAGCCCACGACATTTTATAGCATATTAGTGATACATTATATTATTATTAGTAAACTTGATTTGCAATCTCTTCTAGATGAGTTATTTGTTTTTTTTTTTGATAAAATATTAAAAATCACTTTTTGACAGAATCTAAAGATTTTTGATTTGTAAAAGTTTTAATAATATGATAGGGTTAAAACATACTATCATAATATTGTGTAATCATATAATATTACTTTATCGCTAGATATGTCTAATATTCAAAAAATGTATATTAACATTTTTTGTCATATCTTGATAATAAAGCAAAAACTCTCAGTTCCCCTTCGACAAATTGTTAGAATGCAACTAAAGTTTATTTTGATATAGTGAGCTTGTTTCAAAAAAAATATATGAAAGAAGAATTAGATTTGCAAAACCCCTATAAAAAACGATTTTTGCGTCGAGAATAACTTCATGCTCGATTGATAGATATGATAATAAAAATCATATATGATAATAACTTAATATGGGCAACAATATTGTATTAATCACTTTGTGTCAAAACGGTTTTCGAAAATTAAGTATTCAATTTTTCAAAAATCCATTCAATAATTTGACTTATAATTCAACGTATAAGAAAAAACTCTTAGTTCCCCTTCGACAATTTGTAAAGAAAATTATATAGTTTCTATCGGTACTATTATTATATTCTACATTCTTCGGTATTTCGAAGAATTAGGTTTGCAAATTTGATATTTTTGATGTATTTTTTTCAAATTGAGAGAATTTTTGACGATAGAAGATGCTCATTTTTGAACTACAATTTTGTATTGATGTGCATGATAAAAATTTGAACTTATATCATGGTGAAATAGTATAGGTCATAAAGTATTGATTTCCAAAAGAAACTATCAACTAATCCCTTTCCAATATGTTTAAACAAATCGATTTTTTAAATTTAATTTAAACCTTAAACTCAATTTATTAAAAAGTGACATTATTTTTATTAGAATTACCAAAATTCATATTCATATAATTATCAAATGATTGAAAATTGTTATAATTGGTTACATTATATTCATTTATGAATTTACTATACTATATACTTTGCAATTTAAAAAATTCAAATTTTCAATTTTTAAAATATCATTATTTATCATACATCAAATAGTAAAGTTAGTATATATCATGTTTAAAACCATAATATCGTCAAAATCGAAAATTTTAAAAACAAATAATATTTAATTTTCACAAAAGATTGGTATATAAGCAATCTATTGGTATATTTTTACTTCTTATTAGATGCTCGTCCTAACTATATGCAGCAATCATGTAGGACCAGAGCCTTAACATCGACTTTTGTTGTTTCATTTCTAATGAAAATCCAGAAACTACAATTTGTATGAAAATAGAAGCTACGCCTAATTCAACAGTCAAAAATTCTATTTTCCGTAAGAACAAATGTCTAATTTCAGATTCAAATATGGGTCTAATTGAATGCCAAGTTGCAAATCTTGAATTTTCGGAATGTATTTTCTTAGAAAACACTGCAAAATGTATTTTTACTGCATTTAATAAAGGTAATATTACAGTTATACACTGCTTTGGAGATAATATAACTGCAATTGGTTTTGGTGGTGGTATCATGAATACAAATGAAATGAAAACGCAATCATTTAATATTTCTTTTCCTTTTTATTCAATGATAGAATGCAAAATAGAGAGTCAAAAGCCATTTGAACATAAAAATAAGAAAGGAAATATCTTTAAAAATATTTTTTCATCTCAATGTTTTATTAATCTCAAAAGATAATAAACATAGATATATATCTCATCAAAATGATATATTATGATAATTATTAAACGTGTGTAACCATTAAATTCCCCTCTTTGAGCTAAATTTACATCAATCATTGTAAGTTATAAGAAATTAATGCTTCTGCATGTTATGAGTTGTTCCAATGCTTCAAGATCTTTTATATCTTGTTGCATATTGAATAGGATTATATCCAAATGCATTAAATTTTTAATATTCAACAAACACTTTGTATTTATTCTATGCTGCACATTGAAACTTTTGAACGATATACTTTAATTGATATTTACATAATCTATAAGAAAGAAAACAAAGTTATATATATATTTCAGCAATACAAAATGAGATAAATGTGTCTGAAGAAGTATAGTATAGATACTTTTTGTTGATGTAGCTACAATGTCCGGATACATAGGAATTTTATCAAATGAATTTGGAAATTAATGAAATTTTTAATAATTAGAATGTGAAATACAACTTAATACGTTTTGATTCTTAATATAAGGAAGATAACCTGTGCTTTACAATTATCCTATTTAAGATTTGATGTAAATTATTCAAATTCTCTTTAACGTACATCAGTAATCAGAAAATATTCAATGAGATTTTTCAAACTAGATTTTGTATGGACTCCGCTTTTAGCTATTCTGGGAAAACAGTAACAATCCAAGGAAATGATTATTACGTTCCCCCGTTTAGCAAATGGGAGGAAAAATGTAAATGTGGTCCATGTCATATTGCTTATTTCCCTGCAATTGATAAATATTTTTGTAATCAATGGGAATGTTCATTTTTATTCCCATCAATCATTATAATATTAACTACACTTACATTTGCATTCGGCGAGTGGTCCTTAACTTATACAACTAGCGGAACATTAACAATAGTCCTTTGTATTATTGGTGCTTTGATATATATTGTGTGGTGGGTTGCATATCTACAGTCCATGTGCAGATCAGCTGGATACTTGCCATGGTATTGGTTTGTAGAAAAAAGGGAAGAATATACTTATGAAGAGCAAATGGGCGGTATTATTACAACTGATGAGCAAATGGAATTCGCAAGAGATTTAGATAGACCTGAAAGAGCGATTTTAAGTGCTAAAGCAAGAAGAATCGTTTTACGCGCAGATCATATCTGTAAATGGATAGGAAATTGGGTAGGTCTCAAGAATTATCGATTCTTTTTCATACAGTTAATATGGTTTGTCATGTTATTTATCTTTTTCTTCATAGTTTGCGCTTTCGAAATTGTCGATATGGCGAAAAATGGATGGCATACGTACCCGCCGCGTATCTGTATGTTTATAGTTTTCATACCTGTTATGCTTTTCTTCATTTTCTTCTTGATTGTCTTTGTCAGACACGTAAGATATCTTGTTACAAACAATACTACGGTCCACGAGCTTAAATCAGAGAAAAGCAATGATTTTACGAACCCTTACGATCTTGGATGCTGGCAGAACTGCATAGAAACCCTTGGCCCGGCCAAATATTGTCCAATTTGGTTTTGTCCGTGCTGGATTCCTCGATCAAACGATGGCTTCACTTGGAGAAGGAATGACCAAGAGGAGCAAACGAATCTTTACAATTACGATGACCATACAACTCAAGATTCCGAACAAATCATTGAAATTGACTCTGTTCCTCCTTCTGGACAAGATTTCTTCTTCCCAACTGTTCCAAACCCAATGAATTCCCCAAGAAGCAGCTACGATGATGGAAATGAGTTCATTTCTCCGTCAAATCAAAATCTTTATCAAAATGAGAAGCCAAAACCAGAAAATAAACAACCAGAAGAGAATAAAGAAGTTAAACAAGAGCAGCAGATGATCAAAAGAATGCCAGCTCCTCCAACAAAGCCAAATTCAAATCTTATTCCTTCTTCTGAGCAAAATCAAAACAAAACTCTGCCACAACCGCTTCCCTCACAAAAAGCTGATGATCAGCCGCCAAAACAAAAGCGGAGAAGGCACGTTAAACAAAATGAACCAAATAATTCACAGCAAAATGGGGAAAAGAAGGCACAAGAGCCAAGGAAAAGGAAGCAGAACCACGATGGATTCATGGATGCCTTGGTTGATAGGACTTTGGATGGAGAAGACGACGATGATTTTGATTTATACACAAAAGGAGAAAAAGTTGCACCAATTCCACCGAAGCAGCCTGTGAAATTAAGAATTAAGCAAAGGAGACAGACATCTGCCGTTCCTCCTCCTCCAAATAAAAATACAGTTCAAATTGGACTTCCAACCAAGCCAAATCCGGCCAAACCAGATCAGACAGAGATCAGGCAATCGAAGACATTAAGTAAATTGCCAAAAATGAAAATGCCGGAGCCTCCAGGAAAGAAAATTGAAGAAAAACCTGTTTCTGACCTTCCTCAGAGGAAAAAGTCAAAGCCACACTCTAAGAAAAACTCTGTTTCTAATCAGAACAACGCTGACGGACTTCCTGTGAAAAAGAAAAGATCTAGATCAGTGAGGAAGCCACGTGAAGAGTTCCCACAGCCATAATTATATTTGTTATAGATGTTGTATATATATTAGTTATGTTTTGCGATATTAAATTTGTTTTTTAGATCTTTTTTTAAATTTCCTTTTTTTTTTCAAAATGAGATCTCATAACGAAACTCTAATCAAATGTATGCTTACAAGAAAAAATACATTTTCTTAATATCTTCCTCACTTATATCTTCTTATATTAATTTGATTTCATCTGATGTGTAGAGAAGAATACAAATTCACAACGAAATTGTTTGATTTATTAAATGTACATTTCTCATCATGCACAAATTTTGTGGGTTCTAAAATTCCATTTTCCAAAGTTTCCATATTTATTTCATTCAATGAAAATATGCTCAATACTCGCATCAATCTATGTAGGTACAATGTTCTATAGATTGTTTCCTCTATAGCTCCTCAGATAGAAAGATGGAAACGCCAAAAGTCTCTTTAGAATTGTATGTCTTCTCAAAATTATCTATGGAATAAATGTGGAGTGCTAAATCCATCAATTGATATGTTAGGTGACATTGTTCTCACTATAAAAAAGGTACTTTTTCCTATTTTCTTGTTCCTATTTAGCCCGAACGAGAATTTGAAGACAGAAATTTAAACATTAAATTTATTGTGGTAAATTTTTAGAGTCTATATTAAAAAGTGACTTTTTTTAATACGACCTCTCAATTTATTATCACTTTTTCATCTTTTTTTATGTGATTTGTCTATATAATGTGGGATTGCACATATGATCAGAACTCATTCTTGTGATGATCATATTATGCAATGGGCATACTATTAAAGTTATATAAAAATCAATATTAAGCATTTAGCAATATATTAATGTTTACTATAACAATTAAATTCGATATAGTTAGGGGAATATATATATAAAATGGTAATGACTATAATTGAGTTTTGATCAAGATGCTAATTTGAATTAGAATGAATATATCGAATACACATATTTTTATTATTATATATGCGTTATATTGTGTTATTGATGATTAATGTTCAGTAAATATAGTCAGATATCATATTTTGAAATTAAATTATTAAATTATTAATAGATAAAAATAGGATTTGATGATAGACATTAGATATATATTATGATATACTTAGAAATACATGTATTTGGATTCATAATGAAGGTAATTAAACATATTATATGTTTTTGATATGAAAAGAAGAGTTAGTAACGTATATAAATTAATATATGGTTACATATTATAGAATTAATATTCAAACTGATAGATAAATGATATTAAGAATCAAAAATTCAAAGAAATCTTACTTTTTTGTATCATTCAAAATTGAATGTAATAAAATCATATTGAAAATAAATTAAGGATTTTCGCCATATTTTTGATATAATATATTATTGAACTCTTTATTGTATTTTTATTGCTTTCAATTTTGAGACAACTTTTGATAAAAAAATCTTTTCAAAATTACTAGATATTTATTTTGTTATTCAAATAATGTTCGTTATAAAATTATTTTATAAAAGTTTGAAGGAGATTTCAAAAATTCATTCCTTATTTAATTTAGTGAGACCTTATGTTATTTAAATAAATCAACCGATAAATTTCCTAATAGGTGTCAAAAGATTAATTCACATCCAAGTCAAATTAGGCTATAATGTATGTAGATGAGGACTGTCTTCAAGGCAGTCCTCATCTACCTACATTATATAACCATGTCTCCCATATTTTTATTTGAATGTGAATGTGTAATTCTCAATTCCAGGACTGAGTGCATGGTTGCAGCGGGTTACTATATGCTCTTGCATCCATGTAGTCAGATCTGGAAATTGGCTTACTTTTCCTTTCGATGCGAATGTGACTAATACTTTTCCAATTGTGCACATATAAGTGCAGGGTACATCACTTGTACCCTGCATTTATGTGTGAAGAACTGAAAAATGACGTACCTTTCATGAAGAATATCACATAGTTATTTTATTTTGAAAAGGAGTTTAAATTTGTAAGCTATTGTTCTATTACATTGCAAATGCAACTTCCTTTCATCAATAATTTCATTTTAATAAATTATAAATATCACATTTAACATAAAATTCTCAAATAATACTCACTTTCTCATTTTGATCATAAATATTGATACTTTATAAATACAAAATTTTTGAATTCTTTATTTTTCCTATGAAATTTATAGTTTTTTGTTTGAATTTCCGAATTTTCAATTTTTTTTGGAAATTTTTATTCAATTTCGGATTTATTTTATTCTATTCTTTATATATGATAATTTTATTCAAGTTTATTATTTAAAAATTTCAATACATACGATAATTTTTCATTCAATTTTTAAACGAATGTTTTGATGGGATGAGCTTACTGAGCATAAGCTCATCCCATCAAGATATTGCATCAAAACTCTGGCCTTCATCAAGGCCAGAGTTCATAATTCATCACCTCAGTGCCAAGTTCCTCGAAGGTCGTCCTCATTAGGATCGATCCGAGAGGAACTTGGCACTGAATGAAATTCACAAGCTCTGGTCTCAGAAAATGCCAGAGCTTCGCAAGCAATCCTCGGGGCTGGTTTCCTCAAAGACCGCCCTGATTCGGGGCGGCCGGAGAGGAATCCAGTCCCGAGAGAGCGTTTATAGGAAGCTCTGGCCTTTTTCTGAGACCAGAGCCTGCAAATACAATCCTCAGGGCCGAGTTTGAGGGAGATCGTCCTCCTCTCGGCCCTGAAAGACCAATAGACAAAGGTTCTGGCCTCAACAGGAACCAGGGCCTCGCATACAATTCTCAGGGCCGGCTTTCTCAAATGCCGTCCTGATCTAGGGCGGCAGGAGAGAAGTCCGGCCCTGGGAAGCAGTAAATTCGAAGCTCTTGTCTCTGCAGAGGCCATGGCCTGCAAATACCATCCTCAGGGCCGAGTTTTGCGATGATAGTCCACATGATAGACCGTCTCGCAAGAACTCGGCCCTGGAAGACATAAAATCACAGGCTCTGACCTCAGCAGGGATCAGAGTCTCGCTTACAATCATCAGGGCCGGCTTTCTCAAATGCCGTCCTGATCTAGGGCGGCAGGAGAGAAGTCTGGCCCTGGGAAGCAGTAAATTCGAAGCTCTGGTCTCTGCAGAGGCCATGGCCTGCAAGTACAATCCTCATGGTGTAGTTTCGACCTGATTGTCCCTCATGAGGACGACCAAGTTAAAACTCTGCCATGAAAGAAAGGAACATGCATGCTCTGGATCCTTATGAGGCCAATACATTCCTAGAGGCCGAGTTTTCTGAGAATTTCCACATCACGGACAATTCTCAGCGGAATCCGGCCCTTGGGATCATTAAATACGAAGCTCTAGCCTTTCTTGATGCCAGAGTCTGCAAGGTTAATCCTCAGGGCTGAGTTTGAGGGAGATCACCATTATCAAGGACGGTCTCCTCTCTCCTCAGCCCTGAAACACCTACGGATACAGGATCTGGCTGTTGCTGAGGCCAAAGCTTCGCTTCCTAATCTCAGGGCCGTTTTTCTCAATTGCCGTCTTGTTCTTGGCGGCAGGAGAGGAATCCAGCCCTGGAATCGATAAATACGAATCTGTGGCATCATTATAGACCAGAGTCTGCAATTTATTTTATATAATATTTTTTTTATTTATTATTTTTTTTCAATGATTTGTTTTTAAAGATTATTGGTACAGTATCTTTTAATATTTAAGTAAAATAGCAAAATACCCTTTGAAAAACTATTGTCAGACAATATTTTATAATCTCTATATTCATTCATAAAAAAAAATACGTCTAGTAATGCTCTGCATAAGTGGACAATAAAGTAATAAGATTGCTCTTTTATATAATAGAATGCAATTGCTCATTTATTAAGGATATATTTGTAATCAATTGTGATCTATTTAAGAAAAATAAGAAAACAGCACCAAATTCATATAGATGCATCTGTATATTCTATATTTTATAGCTGCACTATTACAATTGTTGAAACTAAATCCCAATATTCTCCGCTCATTAATTGATGAAAAAGTGATAAAAATTTGAGAGGTCATTTTCAAAAAAGTCACTTTTTAATATAGACTCTAAATTTTTAATTCAATAAAAATTTGACACTTATGAATTTCACTTCATTTTTTATAGTGAACAATGTTAGGAAAGTTCATAACAAGCGGTTATGAAGAGGAATTAGAATTTGATTCTCTTGATATAATAGGTTTTCAGTACAACACATTTTTAAATTTTAAAATTAAACAAGTTCTAAAAGGCCACTCAAGCTCCGACATTGGATATTCATTTCCAATTGAAACTAAATCTACTATTTCAGATATTCTTTTTGTTATTGGTGATAAACAAATCAGACCTCAGCTTAGAATGTCAGAAGAAGCATCCAAAGAATATCAGGAGTCAAAAGAAAAAGGATATTTATCATTGCTTGGAAGAAATTTATCAGGAAATCGTATCATTTTCAATTTCGGAAATTTTCCAGAAGAAACAAAAATTGAGGTCCATTACACGATGTCTTATTTGGCAGAAGTAAACAATCAAGGATTTTTCTTCAGATTCCCTATTGCATCAAAAGATCAGTATGGTTATGAAACTTCGTTGCCGGGATCAATTTCATTTTATCTCAAAATCAAAACAGATAAAAACATAAGTAAAATAGAAGCAAACAAATCAGCAACAATCAATCAGTTTGATAATCATAATGCATTCATCAATCTTGACAAATTTGAACCAGCTATCTTTGTTCAAACTTTGATAAGTGATCAAGACAAAAGCACTGCAGTTTCAAGTGATGATTATATAGCAGTATCTACATATAAAGAATTTAGCTCCAAATCAAATGGCTATGAATGCAAGGCAGATTATTTCTTTGTTATTGATTGTTCCGGATCAATGAAAGGCGATCGCATCGAAAAAGCTGTTAAATGTATGCGTCTTATTCTACAATCTCTTCCTATGAAGTGCAGATTCTCAATAGTATGTTTTGGATCAGAATTCCAAACATTATTACCAATTGTTGAATATAACAATGAAAACGTTTTGCTTGCTATGAATCTTATTAAATATATTCAAGCAATTATGGGCGGAACAGATATATACCATCCATTGGAATATATTTTCTCACAAAATGGAATGACAAAGAAAATTTTCCTCTTAACAGATGGCGAGGATAGCAATTCTGAAGAAATTATTAGATTAGTCCAAGAAAACAAACAATTTGGAAACATTTACACGGTTGGAATTGGAATTGGTGCAGATTCTGGTCTTATTAGGAATCTTGCTGAGGTAACAAATGGAAAGTGGACATATGTTTTAGATAATGAGAATTTCAATGAGAAATTAATTTCATTACTTTCTTCATCTATTGAAAATAACTCGGTAGATATTACAATACATGCAAATGAAACAATTGCTGAGACAATCCCATCAAATCCATATCCTTTGTGCTCGAATATTTCTCAAAACTATTTCATTAAAGCACCTTTCTGCGAAAATGTTTTGATAAGTTCAGAAGAATTTGATCTGCTTGTTCCAGTAATGAAGATCGAGGATGGTATTGGAATGAAAAGTCTATTTACAAAGATGATTATTCATGAGTATGAAACATATTTGAGAACTCATAATGATGAAGCGATGAAACAAAAATGTATTGACCTATCTATATCATCTGGAATTCTCTGCAAATATACGCATTATATTGGTTCAATCCCAGAAAATGTTGTTCAACTTATTAGAGAATTCTGGAAGTATCAAAGTGGAATTTGCTATGAAGCAACACCATCTAAGAAAGATTATGAAAAGATGCAAGACATATTCGTTCAACGTCATATGACTCAAAGCCAAGAACCAATTCAAGAACCAAACAACGAACAATATGATATTGAGATTGTTGATGATCGTGATGAAATTGAGAAACAAAATATCGATGGATCATGGGATCGGTTTGATGCAATGGATTCAGAAATTAAAGAAAAGTATGGTGAAAAAGTTGCTGCTACAGTTGCAGCAATCCTTTATATTATGAGATATCGCAAATCTCAGATTGATGAGCTTTCGTTAGTTCTCAAGAAAGCTTATTTCTTCTTAAAGAAAGAAGTCAAGGATATTAATTGGGAAGAATTTATTAAGAATAAGCTTTAACATCAAATGAATAATAATATTTAAACAATGATTGACTAAAAATGAATAATATCTTAAATTATTTCTAAAAGATCAATATATTCACATAATGTTTGTTAATATATTAATTTATGAAATTTTGATGTTAAAACGGAAGTCATTCAAGCAGATTCATTTCGGTACGGTTACTATATCAAAAATGTAAAGAATAACTGAAAAAAAAATAATGGAATCAAATATTGAATAATAACTTCAATTTTTTCTTCCTATATATATATTTTAAATATTGTTGGATTTTTTGTTTTGCGTTAACTCCAATTCATGTTTCAAAGCTCAATCGGTATAAAATTTATCTTCAATATTGAAATCAAATGAAAATCATATATGGAATTACTATGATTCATGTGTTGACAATAATGGGCATGATTTTGGTCGATATCTTTGTTGTTGGTATATTTCATGAAATCAAGTAAATATCATGAAAAAAAAATAATAAGGATAAAAAGAGAATCATTATCAAAAGATAAAGTTTATTTGAGTTCAAAAGTTGAACTTAGAAGCCACCACGAAGACGGAGAACGAGATGGAGTGTAGAATCCTTCTGGATGGAGTAGTCCTGAAGTGTGTTGCCGTCTTCGAGCTGCTTGCCTGCAAAGATCAAACGTTGTTGATCTGGTGGAATATCTTCCTTGTCTTGGATCTTAGCCTTGACGTCCTCGATACGATCTGTTGGTTCAACTTCGAGTGTGATGTGCTTGCCTGTGAGTGTCTTGACGAAGATCTGCATACCACCACGAAGACGGAGAACGAGATGGAGTGTAGAATCCTTCTGGATGGAGTAGTCCTGAAGTGTGTTGCCGTCTTCGAGTTGCTTGCCTGCAAAGATCAAACGTTGTTGATCTGGTGGAATATCTTCCTTGTCTTGGATCTTAGCCTTGACGTCCTCGATACGATCTGTTGGTTCAACTTCGAGTGTGATGTGCTTGCCTGTGAGTGTCTTAACGAAAATCTGCATTAAGAAAAATGAAGTGCAATGATTTCCATCTCAAAATTTGACTTCTTAAAATTTTTTTGAGAGAAGATAAATGGTCGCTTAGAACTTGAGCAAATAAAAAAATTTGAAGATGAATTTGATCAAAAATATCCAATCAAAAATTACGAAAATGAATTTGATCAATTCAAGTCAAAATTTGATGAAAATTTTGCTCAATAGTATATTTTGGATATAATATATTAGATATGATATTAAAATAAAAAATAATTTTTGAAACGATATCTGAAAAATTTTTATGTGAAAAAAATTTCCATACTCAGATAACACTTCATTTTTCTTAATGCAGATTTTCGTTAAGACACTCACAGGCAAGCACATCACCCTTGAAGTCGAGCCAACAGACAGAATTGAAGATGTCAAGGCTAAGATTCAGGATAAGGAAGGTATTCCACCAGATCAACAACGTTTGATCTTTGCAGGCAAGCAGCTCGAAGACGGCAACACACTTCAGGACTACTCCATCCAGAAGGATTCTACACTCCATCTCGTTCTCCGTCTTCGTGGTGGCTTCTAAGTTCAACTTTTGAACTCAAATAAACTTTATCTTTTGATAATGATTCTCTTTCTTTATATGATAACATTCAGCTATCCAAATATATGCAATTGATTTTAAAGGACATTTCTAGAATTTTCAGTCTTTTGTAAAATAAAAGATTATGATTCACAAAGATCCACAGATGAAGTACTCCGAGGATATACCCAACAGCATTATTTAGGCTTCACAAATGGCTAATACCACTAATGTAAAGAAATACTTTAAAAATTTCATTGAATATAATAGAAATTGGTTTTCGAATAATTACAATTAAATACCTATACAAGCAATAAGATATGTAGTGCTAGAACATAATGAATTGAAGGAATCTCTATAAGAAGTATTTTCTGCAGAGAAGGAAAAATGAGAAAAAATTGTTTTTCTAAAAGGACGATGACATACTACTGAAAATTAGTCCGACCGTGCTGAGTTAAGAGCTTTTCGCATACATATGAGTCTTATATATCCTCACTGACTTATAAACAAAATAATTAATCATAAAACGCGAATTTGGAAGGTAAGAAATGTCTCTACATAATTCTTGAAAGGTACATTATTGGGTAAAAAACGTGTAATCCAAAGAATTTAATATAATTAAGAAATTTATTACAATTCGGAGATGATACTAATTTCAGATCCCAGGAATCTGGATTTTCATAGCATCAAATACGGGCTTGAGCATTTCTATGGAGGTGACATCCATCATTTGGTAGCGTAAAGCTAAAAGGACATAATGAACTAGTAATGTATTTATTACTGGCTCAATGTTGTTATCCTTGATGGAGGAAAAATGACAAACATAGAGATGATTCAGAAATCTTGTAGTTCTGCGGTAAATCGTTTGTAGGACAACTTGAGCTTCATCTCCGAGTTCTGCATTATCGGTTTTAGGGAAAACTTTGGTATCACCGAGTTTACGTTTTGACCAAGTTATCAACTTGAGTAAATATTCGGATGGAGACAATTGAACCGGGTCTGTTGTGCTTTCATCTTCCCAGAAATAGTGATAGCGAGGGCCTGCATTGAACATCGGGCACGTTTCACTTGTACAGAAAAGAGAACAAACTTGATAAAGCTTATCAACTCTTTCTAAGTAATCAATGGCACTAACTACGAGAAAATCGTTCAGAGACATGCCCTCTGGTGGCTTAAGGAGTGGTTCATAATCATCAATTAATCTAACTCCAGTAACTTTCTTCAGCCTGTCGTATTTCTTAGTTAAAATTGTCATATCTCTGGATACAAGAATTGTCTCGCCTATTGTACCGGCTTTCTTGGTGCTTTTCTTCTTCTTCGGAGGCATTTAAATTTTGAATAAAGAAAAAAAAATTTTTCTTTTACAAAGCTGCTATTCACAATATGAAAAATATAAAATTTGATATGAGCTATTAATGGTTCATTTATTTTTCGTGATAAAATATTGATTGCTAACATTTTTAGGAGAATTTGAATGTAAGATCAATAACCTTTTTCATTTTACTCGTTCTGATAATCACAATCCCTTGTGGCAAAGCTATTCGTATCAAAACTGTCTCACCTGAAAAAAAAATCAACGGCAGAATCTTCCAAAAAAAGCAAAATATCGAAGGAATAAGGGCTCATCAACTACACAAAATAAGTTTATTGACAATGCATAATGGTTTAATGAGTAAATTCAAATATATTTCACAAATAAGTTAACATTGCTCAATTAGGAAAAGGATATTATGTACTGCTTAGGTAAGCTATCACTGATATATACGTATGTTTCAGCTTTCAGAGATTGAATAAAATTTGAAAAACTTCAGCTTCAGGTAGGATTTCTACTATTTCGTATTAGAATGTACATATACTATCGATTATCATCCTTAAATTTAGATAGATTCGTTTATTGTCAACAGATATTTTTAATCAATATGTTTAGAATGTTATTTATGATGGATAAATTGAGTCTTCATTATATAGTACAGTTGTTTACTCGAATAATGTGTAATTTATTCGATAAACTTTCGCAAAATGTAAAATAATCATGCGAATTTAGTAAGATACTAGAATGAAACCTATAATATGAAGAAATTTTGAATGTTTTCTAGAAATGTTTGAACACTAATGAGGATTTTTAATAGTAAACGTTAAAATTAAGAAAATAAGCGATATATGTGTGTTAATAATACATTTTGAAGGCGGATTATATAAAATTGTCTTAACTTTGTTCGATTCCATGATTGTAAATCCTTGCAATTCATTAAAATAATGATCAATAATATTATTGAAGAGAATCAACCCAGAGAACGTCAAATACAGCTTCAGGACAAGCTTTTTGAGTCATATTAAGCATCGCGATTTTTCCAAAAAAAATTCAAAATCAGGAAAATGAAACTAAAATCAGCAATTTTGCTCAATGAAAAATGATTTTTGAATTTTTTTTTGGAAAATTTGTTATTCAAATCAATATTTCTTGAACTTTTCTAGGGTAAATTAGGAAACTAAATCTGAAAATTTGTACTATTTTCAAGGGTAATTTGTGTATTGCTGTTAGAATTGAGATTGAAAATAATAATAATATCATAATTTCAAGATTGCTAATATACATTGAAAACAATATCGTTCTTTCTATATAAACATATATTTAAGCATTTTATTACCCAAGTTTAAAGCAATTTCATTAAAGACAAATCATTAACAAGCAATATTGAGAATTATATATGGATAACTTAAAATTCATATTTCTGTACTATTTATTGAAGTATAGGAAAGGAAGTTTAAGCTATCAATATATGATAAATCTGTTTTATTTGTGAAATATTGTATCAATTTCTTGATGCAGACAGCTGTACAGCATCTTAATATTAGTAATCAAACACACTTAAAGCAAACATTCTTATATCAAGTAAATAAACCAAACAACAAAACATTTATCTAAAATTAAGGAAAAATAAAAAAACAAACAAAATAAACAATATACATATAAATGCTGAACATCATCTAATTCAATTATATTGTTCAAACAATAAAATTATTATATGAAACTCCAACAGGAGAAGCATAAGCGACAGTTCCAAAAGGTCTATCAACAGCGCTAATGACATGCTTTGTTAAATTATACCATGACTGTAGTTTTTCAATTTCTTGCACGCCTATTGTTTTTTCAAAAATATCCGTTGCCCATAATGAAAAAACGTCAAAAGAATTCATCTTAAAGCACTGGAATTGGGATACAGAGTTGTAATATATAACTGATTTGACTTCACGGGTTTCTCTGTCAAATATCATCGTAAGAATAACAGGTTTTCTTTTTTCTATGGCTCGTTTGAACTCTATACTGTCAATGGATGCAACAACTGCTAACTGAAAATCTTCAAGTTCAATATTGAGACTTGAATTAATAATTTCTCGAAACATCGTTTGAATTGTGGGTCTAACTATCCTGGACATCAAATGTTCATGGTTAACTAACCATGTATTCAGAGTATGGCTGGTATTTCCGGAGAATAAATAATAAAAATTTTCCGTATTTAAAGAACTTAGCCTTTGGAAGCCTGGTTCGTAGTTGAAAATCAACCTTTTAACTTCTCTTGATATAGCTATGATTCGCTCGTTGATTCTTTCATTGATTTCGGGATGAATCTCATTATTTTCTGAGTTTTCAGGGTTTTGAGGCTGATTTTGTGGATTACCAGCATTATTTTGCTCTTCATGGTTCTGATTTTGTGGTTCAGGATTTTGATTTTGCATTTGATTTTCATTATTTTCTTCTCTTTGGCTGTTTTCAGATTGATCTTCACTTTCATGATGATCAGGGTCAATATTACTATTATTTCTAGATTCTCCCAAATTCTGAGGAAATTGATCGTTTTGTAAATCTTCCTCTGAATTTGTTTCTACTTGGTGTAAAATGTCAACATTTCGCATACAGAAGTCAGTGAGTATCCCATCGATTGCGTTTTCTAAGTTTGAATGGTAAACCAAGAGTACTGAGTTCAAATCAGTTTTACGAATTTGATAAAACATCATTTCAATATTAGGCTTGATTAAATTAAAGTTCGTATTAAGCATCGTTAATCCCAGGTAAAAGCAATTCCATGGCGCTTGGATATCAGTCAAAAATCTGCTTTCTTTCGTATGACATGCGCCAACTTGGTCTAATTCGAGTCCTCTGAGCTGGAAATATACGGCTGACGGAGTCAGTGATATAATATGCACGAAAAAATCACAATTATCCGATTTAAACAAGTAAATTGAATTTTCATCGACAAGACCTAACATTCCCGATTGTACGGCATAACAGAGCCATTTCTGAAGGAATCTGTAGCATAACATAAAGGAAGGACCTTCAACAGGAGACTCTTTCAGGTCTAATTTCGTAATTCCGACACTTGAATGGCTCGGAAACGCAGACCAGAATACATTTGGTCGCGGGGCCATGAGAAATTCGGTTACTCCGTAATTTTTGTCTGCATTTAATGTGTTCCATAAAAAATTCAACAAAATTGAGACAAATACCTGAGGAACGTTGACTACTCGATCAATAAAAGGTACATGGTTGCCGATAATACCTATAGTATTACCTAAAGCCTCATCAAATTCAAATGTATCGTCATCTCTTGCTGAAAACGCAGTTCTCTTGGTTAAAAAGATGTATATTATGCTATACGCATTAATTGCTTTGTGTGCGAGCCAATTACATAAGAAATAATCGAAAATTGGTGTATGAAAATCAATTTCCAACAAATTTCTGAATGTATATGATACGGCGAAGCACAGAGTGTTTGATGATACAACATTGATCATGTTTGAAACGAAAATTCCATATAACCATGTTGGATATTTACTTCCTTCCAAAATTTCCTTAAAAATCAAGAAACAAAGGACGTATTGGTTGACAAGTCTTGATACAAAGTAAATTATCTTATTTACAATCTTCGTATCCCTCTCAAACCTGATAAAAATTAAATTATATTGAGCATTTGTCGAACAATAGTAAGCGGCTGCATCTAATAGAATAACTACAGTTGCTACAATACGGTTGGCATCTTTTTGGTAATAAAAAGTGTGTAGAATCGAAAATCCTGTAGTTAAAATTAAATTCCACACAAAAACGAGGAATTCTCTAAAATCGAAACGAATAAATGGTATATTAATGACTACAAACGCTACTATAATCAATACGCATGTATTAAACTTATTATTCCACTTATAAATAAAATGAGATATAATTCCAACCAAAACTCCTTTGATTGTCTGCAAAATACCTAATAACAATGATGGTGAACCTTGATAACCAAGTACAAATCTATTAATTCCTTCTAAAAGATATAAAATTACAAGAGATGGCTGCAAAAGCATGCAAATACTGATTAAAGGGGCTGCGTATATAAATATCTTGAATACATTGATCAGAAATGGTACAAATGAGTCGTAATCTAATGAAATATCTAAATTAAGATGGGAAACAATTTTTGGAACGAAATTATAGAGATTTTCTGTTAAATACATAAAGAATAGAACTAAAGAAAGGTAAAATGGTCGAGCAATTCCGTTTTCTAAATGTCCGTAAGTTAATGAGTAATATTCTGTTGGAGGAGGCTGAATTGTTGAGTAAATACAGGCTCCTGATACAATACAGAGCCAGAAGTAGTCTCTACTTGGGAATAAATGCGATTCTTTTGCTACTAAAAAGAGTTGGATTATTAATGAAATATAAACCAATAAAATGTAGAATAAATTGCGTGGGAATGGAAAAAACTCGAAAAAGGATTTGTTGGACAATGGGAATTTCATGATTTTTGATCCTATTCTTAGATAATTATGTTTTGTTTCGTTTTTATGTTTCTGTGCGACTTCTCCGGCAATCGAATCCTTCATGAATTCGGCTAACGCGTATACTTCGCTTGGTTGGAATCCGGAGTTGATAAGATCAAAGGCGGTTTGCTGTAATTTATCTTCTTCAAATGAATAGAGATTCCTCTGGGCCCAAAGAATCTTGGATATCCCAGGGGGAGGACTCTCCGTAGGTATATCTTCTAGCGAGTCTGATGACATTTCGAAAGTTTTATTGACCAATTTGGAAATAAAGTATAATATTAATAAAAAGATTACGATAATCGATGAGTATATCAGTGAAAATAGTAAACATGTGAAATTACTCCATTTATATCTTTGTATCGGAATATGGCAGAGCATAAACAAGACCATGACGGCTAATCTCGTTAGTTGTACGGCAACTCGATTTCCTGGTGTGTACCCAAAGCAAAAGCATTGAAATATAAGACGTTTATGTTCATTAACTTCACTTAATTCTTCGGAATTCATACAAAAATGCCAACTAATTGAATTTTATTTTGAAAAGATAGTATCAACATTCCAATAAATAAAAATCAGTTTGGTTTTTTATTTGACATTTTGAGGAGATTTCAAAAGTTGTAATTACTTTTTCACAAAATTAAGCTAATTAATTGAATGGAATACTTATATACGCTCAAATTCCAAAACGAAATTAGTGAGAATCGCAATTTTTAAAAATTTCTAATTTCAAATTTGATATTTCATTTTCGTAAATTCGAAAAATAAATATATAATTTGAAACCAGAAACAAAAACAACAAAACAAAGGATATTTTTAAGGTTTGCAACGTCAAAATTTCAATTGAAAGGGTTCATAAAATTTTGAAAAGCTATAAAAACATCAGAAATAGATTAATTAGATATTCTTCATTGCTTCTGGTTATTTTCAGTGCAAAATAATCAGACTTTATCGTATTTCTAAATTTTCCTTATGGATGCAAAAACACTTGTAATTGAAGTACTTGAAGCTCGTTCATTATCACCATCTGATATCAATGGTTGGGCAGATCCATTAGCCGTAGTTTACCTCGGTAAAAAGAAAATCGGAAAGACCAAATTCATTCCAAGAACGTTAAACCCAGAATGGAACCAAAGATTCGAAAAAGAGGATGCAGATATATCAGATGATATCAGAATCGAAGTCTGTGACCATGATATCGTTGCTTCAGATACAATGGGTTGTGTTCAAATCCCACTTTTAACATTTTCCGATGGAAGGTGGACAAACCAATGGTACAGACTCATGGATGATAACAACCATCCAGTACATGGCTACATCCGTCTGAAAATACAATTAGTTGATAACGCGGAACTCGCGTTTCGTGAGTCCGAGCATAACAAAAAACCAGAAGAGGACGACGAAAAAAAACGCCAAGATGAAAAGAATGCCGCTCTTGAAAGAAGAAGAGCTTTAATGAAACAACATCTCGAAATGGAACAAAACCAAGCTATTCACATGGAAAATTTCAAGGCACAACAAAACGAAAACAGCAAAATGAGAAAACAAGACCCAGCAGACGTAGGACAAGTTAAACAACAACCAATTGTACCAGGAATGGTTCCTCCACCAAATCCACCACCATCACAACCAGCTAATATTTAAAAATTGTTACTTTTTATTACAAAATCATTAATATTGTTAATGTAAATCGCCATTATTAATTTTTCTTTTACTATATCAAGAGTTAGCTTATATTCTATGCTATTTTCGACATAAATTATACTATTATGTAGTCATAAGACCAAAATCAAATACTCTTACAGGATATATCAAACTATTGTATTTTCAAAGTTTTTCCAAATCATTACTGAATGAATATTTGAACAAACAATAAAGTCTACATCATCAGAGTACAATTCTATCGGTCATTTCTCTATACCCCGAATTTGATAAAAATTATATTGAAAGATTTTCAAAGCATGAAGATGTGACAGCAACATTTACCAATAAACATCAAAAATATAAGCTAATTATTCTTGTTGAATAAAATAAAAATTAAAATATTTACATGATAAAATCATAAACAATAAAATAGGACATATAATCAATAATATAATCACATAGAAAGATCCTTCTCCATCTTTCGAATAATACTGAGAAAATCAATATTATTTGATGTAATTTTCTCCAATAACGAAGAATATGCAGCAAAAATCATCATATTGGTTCTCTTTGGGCAGAAATCTGTAGGCTGCTGGCATATCTTGCTAATTGATTCGTATAAAACGCTCTTCTGCGTTTCTGTTGTATTATCACCGAATTCAAGTAGTTTATCGATCAAATCAATATTACAGCTTGATTTCGGAGAAAGAATACTTCGAATACAGGTGTTGTAGATAATTCTACACAAAGTTTGCTTGGCAAATTCTGAATCATATTTGTTAGAAAGCTCGTGGTACAAAATGAACATTGTTAAATGAGAGTAAATGTTCATCTTGAGTTGTACAACGTTTTCTAAGTAAAATTCAACAGAATTACCGCATGGATGATCAAAAAGTTGTAAAAACTTATTGAAATCATCATCGTGAGTAAGATAAACGTATATTACGTTGAAAATAAAGGAACTAGGACCAAATCCAAGATCAGATTTCGGATTTTGGCTAAAATGATGGCGTAAGATTTGGGTAAAGATATAATCGAAGTTAGATTGCGATGCAACACACCATGCATTAATAATTGCATTGGTAAAGTACTTTTCCGGTATCATATAATAGTAAATTAAGAAAGTCTTATTGAAAATAACTTTTGAAAAGTATCCAGCTGCAAGATTCGTGTTTGGAGGGACTTTTCCATTTGCAAGATACGATAAGAAAAATGACTCTAAAGATGATTTGTGGGAGTTCTTGAAAACCATATCAAGCATTTCGCGTTTAACTTCTAAAATGAATTTGCGCTGATCAGTTCCGATATAAATGTAAAATCTTTTTTGATCGATATAATATTTTGCGCTTTCAGGCAAAACTTCCATGCGCTTGACATCTTCATCTACTAAGATACTGTATGTTGGAGAAAACAAGAAATATTGCTTTTGCAGCTTTTTACGAGAATCCGGTTTTAGAATTAGGAAAAATGCCTGTAGATTTGAAGGTATGGCTGTCAAACCACGCGGACTACTTATTTTCGCCATAGTTTCTGGTTTGCTGTCCTTCATTTCAACATCAAGACGAGGAACAGACAAAGATCTAAGCGAATCTCCTAAAGTCGGGGCTCTTTCATAAGCTATTTGAACTCGTGGCTGCATAGAACTACTTAGAGATGAAACCCTTGATAGTAGGGCGTCATCGGTATTCAAATTCATTTTCGAGATTGACATAACGGCGATATTTCGATTTCTTTGTCGAAAATATTGCACAATATAGATTGATCATTAAAAACAATCAAAATATTTAAATAGTATTCAAAATTTTTCAAAACATTTACGTTACATTGAAATCTTTGCCGAACTTGACTCCAAAACAGATAAAATATAATAAATAATCGTCATAAGAGCAACTTCATTTATCCATGTTCCAGAGATCCATAAAACCCTCGAAATCATGAAAATAATGAACTTTTGAACTAATCAAATTAGCATTTTTCGTTGGTGACTCTTCCTTCACATTATATACCATCCTCACATCATGATTTAACAAATTATGCTACTATGAATACTCACAGATATCATTATAGCATCGAGTGGGTATATCTTGATATGTAATGAGAATTTAATTTATAGTTGACAGCATATTATCATTACCAAAACTAATGTAACTATGAAACAAAAGATATTTTTTCCTATTACATAATCTATTACCATAGATTTCATATATTTTAGAAGTTGGCATGACAATTAAGTGAATACATCACTCTATGGTTTGATATATAGTTATGCTTATATAGTTAGCTTTGATTTTTCGTTCTATTTCATATCACTTTCTTAGAATCTTTCCATTTCTAATCCTTCGCCTTGTTTATTCATATTATCAAGCATTTCAATCAAATATATTAAATTGCTGGTACATCGCATAGATTATCCTCACATCATTGATTATATTTAAAAATCTATATATTTATTAGGGAAGTTGGATACAAAATCATTTTAAGCATGTTCAAACATCAGGACGAATCATAAGATATATTATCACTGCTAAGTGTTTGATTGTAAGAAGCCTTACTAGCATTTAACTTTATTCATACATATTGTGCATGAACATAGAATTATAATTATAAAATCAATAAGCAGAATATAAGTTTAAAGGAATTTAAAAAAAAAAAAAAAAAAAAAAAAAAAAAAGGTAGTGGGGCTTCCAGGCACTTCGTGCCTTCTAGCCCTGAAGATGTTTAGTATAAATGAAGTCTTAGAGGACAAACATGACTATGAGTTTTGATATGACAAGATAGAATATGAGAGAGGTCCTATAAACCGGAGAAAGTGTTATATAAACATCTGTCATATTACTCAGAATATTATACAGAATTCAATAAAAATATATTTTAGGTGAAGAGGTGAGATTTCACCTGTTTTTTCACCTCTTTTCTCACCTCTTGAATTTTCATGAATTTCATCGTAAAGACTTTGTCAAGATTTCATCGTAAAGACTTTGTCAAGATTTCATCGTAAAGACTTTGTCAAAACTTCATCGTAAAGACTTTGTCAAAACTTCATCGTAAAGACTTTGTCAAAACTTCATCGTAAAGACTTTGTCAAGATTTCTTCGTAAAGACTTTGTCAAGATTTCTTCGTAAAGACTTTGTCAAAACTTCATCGTAATGAGCGTAAATCAGACAAAAATATATTTTAGGGTAGAAGGGTATATCTACCCCGTTTTCTACCCTCTTTTCTACCCCATATGTACTTACTGAAAAAGTATGTGTTCCATCTGTCATTTTACTCAGAATTTTACACCAAAAATAATGTTTAGGTGAAGAGGTGAGATTTCACCTGTTTTTCACCTAATTTTTCACCTCGTGAATTTTCATGAATTTTACACCAAAATAATGTTTAGGTGAAGAGGTGAGATTTCACCTGTTTTTTCACCTCTTTTCTCACCTCTTGAATTTTCATGAAATTTACACCAAAAATAATGTTTAGGTGAAGAGGTGAGATTTCACCTGTTTTTTCACCTAATTTTTCACCCTCTTGAATTTTCATGAAATTTACACCAAAAATATACTACTAGGGTCATTTACGAAGAAATCTCAACAAAGTCTTTACGATGAAATCTTGACAAAGTCTTTACGAAGAAATCTCAACAAAGTCTTTACGAAGAAATCTCAACAAAACATAGACAAGAAAGTTCATGAGAAATTAGATGAAGAAGTCTTAACAAAGTCTTTACGAAGAAATTCATGAAAATTCAAGAGGTGAGAAATGAGGTGAAAAAAGAGGTGAAATCTCACCTCTTCACCTAAAATATATTTTTGGGTCATTTACGAAGAAATCTCAACAAAGTCTTTACGAAGAAGTCTTGACAAAACATTTATGAAGAAATCTCAACAAAGTCTTTACGAAGAAGTCACAATAAACATCTGTCAAAAACCGCTTTTTAACTTCACTTAAAATGCCACGTAAGCTACGTAAGAATATACGTAAGAGGAAGAGAGCATTGAAACATCCAATAGTAAAACTGACACCACAACAACAGTTGCAACAACAAATTATGAATGACCCCACTATGTTGCAACAAATGTCAAGCAATCCTATGCTTTTAAACCGAGTTGTTGGTGCACAGAGTGGAGGTTTAAGAGCGGCACTTTTAGCGAAAATGGCAGGCTATGGTGGAGCTGCAGACGGAACAGCCTATAACCCTCAAAGTCAAATGAATTTGAGTTCACTCAAAAATCAAATAACAGATGTCAAAAAGTCAAACATAGACATACAGAAGCAAATAAGTGAAAACGAAAAGAAACTAGAATATGACAGACACACAAAGAAACTCAATGAGTTAAACGTAGAGAAAAAGAAGAAAGAAGAACAACTGAAAGAACTAAGTACAGAGGAATATGCGAAAAAGTGTCAGAAAAAGCAGCAGAAGTAGCAAAAATGGAACAAGATGTCATAAATTTGAAAAACCATACTACTCAATATAAAATACTGAAAGATGAAGAGATAAAACAAAAAGCCCTGAAGACATATATGGATAGCGATGAGTATAAAAAGGAAGTTGAAGCAAATGTAAAGGCAGAAAAACTTTTACAGTTGCAAAACCAAACCGTACAGTATGAAAACTTAGCACAAGAAAGTAAAAATAACGACGCAGCCATGCAAAAGGCAATGAAAAGCGCAAATATATAAAAGCTAACAATGACTGGTTAGATGCCCAAGCCAACGCTAAAGCAGCCCAACTTATAGGGTCAATAAGGACAAAATACAAGCGGATGAAGACAGTTCAAATGAAGCTTTAACAAATGCTGACTTTAAGAACGCCTTCGAAGCTCTTCATAGTAAGGTGAAACTAGTGAACGACTTCTCATCTGGAAAGAAACTGAAGTCTGAAGTTTCGACAAAGAGTTAAAAGAAGTAGCACAAAATATGACGAAAATAACAGATGCAGCAACGAGACAGGCAGTTCAAAGTGCCTATGACGCCGTTAGAGCAACTGTTGTGGAAAGTCAAGAAAAAGAGTTACAACAGACCAAAACAGACCTAGTAAATGCTTTCTTAAGAACGAAAAGTCAGTAGGACATTACGCTGCAGATGAACATATGTGCCAGCTGGTGGAACTTATATACCAGCTGTTGGAATTTATATACCACAAACCCTCCAAGAGAAGCACCTGCACCAGGACTACCTAAAACATTTACATCGTCACATGGACACAGACACAGGCATGCACCAAAACCAACACAACAACCAACAGTTCAAAACCCTGCACAACAACCAACAGTTCAAAACCCTGCACAACAACCAACAGTTCAAAATCCAGCACCACAACCAAAACCAGCACAACAACCACCTCCACAACCAGCACAGCAACCAACAGTTCAAAACCCTGCACAACAACAACCACAAACAGAGCAAGGACATAAAAGAAGTAGAGAACAAGGAAACCAAGAATTCTTAAAAATGCTTAAAGAAGAGTGTGGTTTCCCAGATACTGTTGACTTTAGTGACAGATATAAAGAAGCTATTGGAAAGTTCAAGGATGGAAATACTGACCCGAACCTATTTAGCTTTATGGCTCAGCACCAAAACGGATATAATCTCAAACCTGGAAAATACAAGCTCGCTAAGGGATATGATTTAATAGCATATCATCCAAATGACATGGATGAATTTACTCCGAGATATTTGATGTCAGAGCTAAATGACAATTCAACTTTCGTCATGAAACGCGTAAAAAATAGAGACGGAACGAAAGAACAAAAGCTTATGAATGCGGATGACGTAGATAGGGAAATTGTTGAAAACGGTCTCGGAATATATGAAATGCCAGCAGATGAGGTACAAGGAAACTCCACAGGAAGAAGTTCAGATACAACCAGACATGGAAGAAATAGTTCAGCAACAACAGCTAGAAGAGCCTGAAGGAAACGAACAAGTCACTCCTTTGGAAACTAACTTCACAGAACTAGATGAAGATTTGGAACAGCCGAAAAATCTTGACCCTCAACAAGAGCATGAGGTGAATATGGAATCTTTCCAAGAGTCTAAGAAAGATTCGGCTGACATAGTAGAAGAATATCGAAAAATGTTTGCCGACATACAAAAGACTCCAACACCAGATGAAAATATTCAGCATAGAATGGAAGAACTGAAAAAAAATGTACACAAATACAACAACCCTTTTTACTTACGAGCATTTAACGTTCAATCTTCGGATGAACTCGGTGAAAATAAAAGGTTAAATTTCAAGAAAACATATAGAAATGAAACATTGTTTAAAGTTCATTCAGAACCTAACCAAGATGGAAACAAACCTACTTTTGTTTCTGCAGACGATGGAACTACAATGAGATGGGGTCATAAAGCTAACCCGGATAGGTGGTTCATAAACTTACAACCACAATTCCAAGAAGTTGTAGACGCAATGGAAGTGAATGGTGAACCAGATATAGCTGGTATTTTAAGCGCGGCTTTAATGCCATTGAAAGATATGAAAGATGCAGATATTTTGAACCAGTATGAAATGAACATGGCTGATGGAAATATAACACCTGACGTTCTAGAACATTTATCTCAAAGAACTACACAGAACCATAAAGATGGTATATTTGGTGAAGAGTTTAGAAAGAAAGTTAGGGAGATAGAAGGAAGAGAACCTATTGTACATGACCTTGCAAACGAAAGTTTGCAAAATGTCATAAAAACTTACTTTGCAGACAATGAACCGAGAAGGGATGAATATTTAAGAAAACTCAAATGGACAGTACCAAATGAAATGTTAGTATTGAAAAACATGTTCCTTGACAAAATAAAACCAACTACAGAAATAAACGACGCAAGACTGAAAGATTGGGTAGAAGCTTTCCCATTCACAAAAGATATAGTTGGTAACATGGAAAGAAAACCAGAATGGCTACAAAAACATATATTTGGAAACGAGCTTATTCCATATGGACAGGCACTGTTTGAAGAGCTTGAACCGGAAACTCAGGACAGAGTCATGCAAACAATAAGCGACGACTCAAATACAGACTATGACAAACTCTTTCTAGGATATAGGTTACCTGAGATGGGCGACCAGAGCCAAAAGGCAAAAAGGACATGGAAAATTTGCAACATACTAGATGAACATAATGCAAAGATGCAACAACTTCAAGCAGAGGGCAATGAAGGAAAAAGAAGAGTTAAAAACTCAGTCAGGAAGAAAGTAAAGCTTGGTCGGAGTGGGTTCTATTATGACATATAAATCCAACTATTCTATATTTTTACTCATATGAAATGTACGCCGCTCAGAATATAACGCCAACAGTTTTGGATGCTATGAATGGAAATGTTTCCGAATGGTATAACGAATGCGACAATGCCATTAGAAGGTCAGAAATAGTTCCTGGAACTTACGAATATACAACTGCTGTTTCTTATGGAAACGTAGGTGAGTTTGGAGAAGGTTCTTCAACAACAGTAGATATTGCTTGCGACAGGTTTCATATAATTTCTATTGACAACTCTTTCTTATACGTGGAACAAGACATTGAAATAAAACCTTCTGCCAAGTTGTCTGACAAGAAAGGTTGCAATGGAATTTTCTATGTCGGATACCAATATGCTCCAGAAGTTTTCATGGATATAAGATATATTCTAACTCTGACTTAGTTCAAACAGTAACATGGCAAACTATGAATGGTTCGCTTTGAGAAACTCAGTACAACCACAAGCTAGAGAACAAACAGACCAGTATGCAACTATTGAGAAAATAAGAAGACTTGACCCTAACGTTCCAGGAGTTTATGTTAACCTTTCTGGACAAACTGCAGCAGCAGTAACCAAAGTAAAACTGAAACTTAGAGTTCCTTTGTCATCTTTCCTCATCTTCAGGTTTTTAAGATACTTGCCAAACTGGGCAGGAAAAATTTCTATCGAACTTACTCCAAGCAAAATAACTTAGTCATTGCACCAACACAAGACCCATTCACTCTTACAGAAGTAGTGGGAACAATAAAATGTCATTCGCGCGACTTTTGCAAAAAAAGTTGACTTAGACTTTGGTTTCTCAAACCTCAACACTGAAGTAAACTATTATTTCAATGCTGCTGGAGATGCTTGGGACCCAGTTAAGTTCACATGCGAAAAATTTGAATGCAAGAGAATAGAAAGCAGACTTGCAGTCTATATGTTGACCCAGATATTTTCAAATGCTTTAGCTGCCAAATATATTGCAGTTCCACTTATGTTCCTATACACCAAATATCTGTCAAAGACTTTGCAGGTGAAGTTGGAAACCAAAGTGCTGACCCAGGTGCAAGAACAGATATTGCCTTAACAACTGCAATGAAACATGCAGATACTATGTTTGTACTGTTCAGACGAACTATAAATGACTATTTCTTGCTTCTACAACCTGGTATTAAATACCATATAAACATAGATGGCAAATATTATCCAGAGAAGAATATTCTACAGTTGAGGATATGAGGTCATACAACTTGACATTAGATGCTATGAACTTTAACAACAACTTCACAACAACCATTAACCCTGAAATGCAAAGTTCTATTATGCCATATGTGAAAGTATGGACTCATACAGGAGCTCAAAAAACTCAATATACAAATGGAGACCGTTCAAACTTTTGCTTGGCATTCCATTTGCTGACTCAGAAGACTTTATGGGTGGTATTTCAACTGTTGGTACAGTTCAAATACAATATACTGGTGACAGAGACGGTCCAGATGAATTGAAAGCAAAGAAGTTTACAAAACCAATAGCACTTTTCACAGAAGATGCTCTTTTGAAAATTCGTTCGATGAAACCTGCTGGGGCTCCTCAGATTGGTATAACGACAGCTTCCATCGAGCAGATTTTGGCAGCAGGTCAGTAAGTTGTTCTTGAACTGACTTCTCTCCGTCAAATATTGACAGTACGCAGTTTTGATATAATATTGTATTATAAACTTACCTTTAGAAATATCGGTCAGTTTTTGTTATATTTTTGTCAACGTCAAGAACTTTCACCATTTCGGTTATACCAACTTTCTTTGCTTTATGAAAATATTTTGGTTCAGCAAAGACTGCTATTCTATAACATTTTCCATTGTTTGTGTAAAAGACTATTCTGTCAATGTATTTGTATTGTTTGTGTGTGTAAACCTTGTTTTGCTTCAATTCGAAAGATACTCGAATACGTCCATCTTTTTATTCTAAGTAAAATGTCATTTCCGAAAATAGAAGCGTAAGTGTTTCAAAAGGTTTAATGGCGGTGGCAGATGTGAAGTTAAATTCACCAACTCAAACAAACAGTCAAAGTGTTGTTGTCAATGTCAAAGACAGAGATGTTTGAAGTGGGGAAACCATACGAAGACGAAGATGGTATAGCAATGTTCCTGTAAAAGAACAACCAACATATCCTGAAGTTAGCAGAGACTTAAGTTCTGTTGCAGATATTCGAAACGACTACCAACAACTTAAAGACAACTTAAAACTCAGGAGAAGATTTGTCAAGCTTTGGGTATAATGTTAAACTTGGTCGAACACAACCCTGTAAAAGTGAACTCATATGTCATCGCACCTCATGAAGTTTTGAAAGAACTATGAAACTTTTGACAGAGGCAGACGATATAAACATCAAAGAAATAGAACCCGACATTGCTTGCTGTGGTGTTTTCATAATGTCATTGACAAGATATACGTTATGAAAGGAGGTGAAACGTTGAACTTAAAATATAGTTTCCCAGACGTCATAAAAATATTGACGACCACAACATTTCATTAAATTTAGTTGCTAAGTAAATGGCAGAAGACACAATGGTTTATACTATTACGACTAAAACCTGAGTCATATAATTCTATAACAACAAACTTACAAAGTCTCAGGACGATATTGTAAACTAACTTTAAACACAATGACGACTAAAGCCTGTTTGCTCTTTTGACACCAGAAGACTTTATTGTTGTGAATGGTAAAAAATACTCCTTTGAAGAATACTTACTCAGATATACCACCAACAGTTTGTTGACTTATTTAATACTTTAAGGACGGATGTAACATGTGCTGCACTAGAGCAGGTTTCATTATGTTTGGATGTCGACTGAGTTTAGTATAAACGATATGAGCTATAATACAAAACTTATATCTGGTTTTTTACTACCAACAGTTTCCTATAACAGGAAAAGGTGTCATACAAGGAATGTCTGTTCCATTGACTTTAAGTACACCTATTTTATATATGTTTCAAACTTAGGTTCAAAGTGCTATTCGAATGTCGACAGAAACTACTATGACCAAAAGATACTCATGCGTATAAACAACACTTTCTCTGCTGGTTTGCCTATTGTTCATTCGAATGCAGAGTTTTCAGCTTTAGTGAACTCAAACACTTTAGCAAACATAAACTTAACCTAGTTGACGCAAACTTTGTTCCTGTAAAACTTTTATGTCCTATGTATTTGTCAATGACGGCAGAAAGTTTCGAATTGGAAGATGCAACTGGTGAAAGTATTGTACTACAAGAACAACTTCAACAACAAATAGCTCAAGAACAACAAATGGAACAAATGCAACAACAAAGTCAAGAATAAAAAAAATATTTTTTTTTTTTATAAAATGTACAGAATAGATGTTTCAGATTTTTTATGACTTCCAAGCATTCAGAAATATGTGTCCATTTCGAGACTATAACAAAGCAGTCGAGAATTTGAAACGTTTAGTCATTTATGTTGACTCTGCCCAGAATGTTATGTCATGAAAGAATGGGATGTTGTCTTTAACAAACCAAGAGCAACCATAGTTTCAGAACAAGAATGTAGACAGAAACTTAAGAAAATAAAAGTCGTACAAGTTGGTATGAAGATGTTAGATGCTTGGGATATCTTATTGTCAAAACTTGAAGATTTTTCAGTTCGTGGTATAAAGTTCTATACACCATCTCCAAACTTCTATTCTATCTTCACTGGATATAAATACGAACAAGTAGAATGGAAAGAAAATGTTATAGAAGCTTGGTTAGACCATGTCAAAGAAATTATATGCAATGGAAACGAAAGAGTCTATGAGTATATCTTATGTTGGTTTGCAAACATCTTACAACATCCAAGTGCTAAAAATGAAACTGCTCTCATTGTAATTGGAAAACAAGGAACAGGTAAGAACACTTTCTTTACAGATATTTTGTGCAAACTGTTAGAGGGCTATTCGAACCCGAATATGACAAACTTAGAAAACATCTGCGGTAAATTTAACTCTTCAATAGAGAATATGAAACTTATAGTATGTAACGAACTTCAAAGTATAGATACAACAAAGGTTTTAAACTCAGATGCTTTGAAGAGTCTTATAACAGACAAAGTTGGAGTTGTTGAAAGAAAATATAAAGACCAAAGAGTTTGTGAAAATGTTGCAAACTTCGTCATGGTTTCAAACAACGCCGTTCCGATGAAGTTAGAAAGTTCTGACAGAAGATATGTAGTTGTCAGAACGTCAGAAGCTCATATGCAAGATACAGAATATTTTGACGACTTAGCAGAAACTTTGACATCTGACTTTTACAACCACTTGTTCTCATATTTCATGACATTAGATATTTCTAAGTTCAATCCAAGACAAATTCCACATACCGAAGAAAGACAAACATTGTTAGAAGCAAACAAGAGTGTATATGAACTGTTTATAGATGAGACTAACTTTGAGTGTTTAGATGAAAGGTCATTATATGATGAATATAAACAGTATTGTCAAGAGTATGGTTATATGACAGCTTCTAAACGAACATTCTTGGCAAATGTCAAAAGTCTTTTAGACGTTCAGAACGGCGTATATACAAAGAAAAATTTTTCTGAGTAAATTTAAAAAAAACATTTTTTTATCCGATAGAAAAGATGGCAAAATTCATCTCAGTAAACAAGTACATGACAGAAGTCAAAGAAGAACTAGACCCATTCGCTTATTTGAATGTTTACTTCTACCATTTTGAAAAGTCTTCATTCAGCAAAGTTTGGAACATCGAACCAGTTAAGTTTGCTATTGTGACTAAAAATGGTGCGAAATTTGAAGACTTAGACATAGAAGGTTTGTTAGCAGTCAAAGAAAATTTTGACAGAAGGTTCTCAAACCTTAAAGAAGGCAAAGCATACAAACTTGTTATACCTTATGAACCAAAGAAAGCAGACGACTATGAATATTATGAGTCTAAGATAGTTGAAGTTCAAGGTAAATTAGGTAAAAAGATTTTAGAGTCTAAGCCAGTGTTTGCTCCTAAAGAGGAAGAGAACATTGACATTGACCCAGAAATGTTCTAAAAATAAAATTTTATTTTTACATGTCAAATTTCTTTTTCTCTGGCTCTGGTTCAGGTTCTTTCTTCTCTTCTTCTACTTTCTTTTCTTTCTTTTCTCTCTTCTTCTTCTTCTCTGGTGGAGTTATGTCAAATTTGGCGCAACCATATTTATGTAAAAGTTCTTTGTCCTTTAATAGCTCTTCTATTCTGTTTCCTATTTCATCTTCAAGAACAGCGCATGTGTCTTCTTTGCATTCTAAGAACTTTTGTTGGACTTCATCTTTCCAATCGGCGTCATCTCTGTCAACAAGTCTGTCATTGACAAACTTAAAGACTTCTCTGCCTAATGTTTTATGGTTCTTGTCATATTCCCAGAAACAGAACTTTAGAACAAATTCACCTTTCTTGTTTACACTATGTAAGATTTTATGGTCGACAGATGTTTTGCTGTCGAAAAGCTTGTCTCGAATATAGATAGCGAAATCGCTAGACATTTTCAAAAAGATAAAATTTTAATTTTTCTAAAAATATGTTAGAAAAAAAGTTTGCTGACATTGACAAGAAATTTGAGAATGTTTTAAACAAGAACAAGAGGAAGTTAGAAAATGCTCAGATAAAACCCATACATGACAAGTTCTTATTTGCTCAGAATGGTATAACAGGTCTAATCGCACCACCTGGGTCGGGTAAGACTTTCACTTATCTTAAAATGGCTGCACAACAACAAGAACTAGATGAGAAGAACCCATTCTATGAGTTAGTTGTTATTTGTAGTACTTCTGGTCAATTTGACCAAACCGTCAATTCGTTCAAAGATATTATAAAAAAGTCTAAGTTAGTATGTATAAAAGACTCTGAGTTGTTAGATTGGATAAAGAAGTACCAAAGAAGAGTTTTGAAGTACAATGCTATAAATGAGTATATAAATTCTAAGTTTAAAGACCCAAATGAGGAAATGCAGAGAATATTAGAGAAGAAACACTTCAGAAACAAACAGAAAGAGATAGAATACATTTCGAAGAAATTGCAATCTTACGATTGGAAGACTTACCCTCATAGATGTCTTCTTATTTTAGATGACTTTGCTTCTCATCCTTTGTTAAAGAACAGAGAACAAGATATGTGTCGAATTCTTAAGAAGCTCAGACACTTTAACATCTCAGTTGTCATTTGTGTACAGACAGCAAAGAGTTTAAGTAAGGATGTTAAAAGAATACTTACTGATATCATACTTTTCCCTGGATTGTCCGAAGACGATTTCATGGAACTTATGAAAGAGTCCATGGCAGGTAAGTTTGACAGACATGAACTATGGGAGAAGTACAAAGTCATACAAGACCCTCATACTTCTTTCAGAATTCATATCTACGCAAACAAAGTTCAAATTGTAAAAAGTCAAGCTTGAAAAATGTAAGTGTTTGAGTCTTAGTCTGTTGTGGTTCTGCAGCTTTCGGTTCTTCTGGCTTTGGAAGACATTCAGGAAGAGGAACGTCAGTCATCCGTTTGTGTCCTGTCGGATGGAAGAACTTTTCCAGTTGTCGGGAAATTTTTTTCTGTCGGAAGGAAAAACTTTTTCTGTCGGAAGGAAAAATTTTTTCTGTCGTTCGACCAAAAAGTTCTCAATTTTCGAAAATTTGAATGGTTTACGGACGAACAACAGGAAATTTTTTTCCAGTTGTCGGGAAATTTTTTTCCAGTTGTCGGGAAATTTTTTTCCAGTTGTCGGGAAATTTTTTTCTTGTCGGGAAATTTTTTTCCAGTTGTCGGGAAATTTTTTTCTTGTCGGGAAATTTTTTTCTTGTCGGATGGAAGGACTCGGAATGTCGGAAGGAAGAACTTGGAATGCCAGAAGGATTTGACAAGACAATTTACCTTATAGAGCTACCTGAGCCATCTGAAGTCAAGCTTGAAAAATAAATGGTTCATTTACTCTACTTGTTTGAAGTTGTCAAAATACTCTGTTATTTTTTCCTTTAACAATGACAAATCTTCTTTGAATGTAAGTATTGTACAACCTTTAATATCATAGTGTGTTTGAGGTAACGTATCTTGAACTATCTGTTTAACATCTTCATTTGGTGTCATTGAAATCGGTAAGTTTTCGCGATAGAACCAATTTCTGTCAGATTTGTAAATCTTAGCAAGGTCGTAAAAGCTTTTGTTGTTTCTTCTGACTAAATGCAACATAACCATATCTCTGTCTTCTTCATTTTCCATCTCTTCAGTGTAAATCATATACTTATAGTTCTTTTCCTTTCCTTTTGGTACCGAACGTGGTATTCTTTTCTGTATGTTTTTGTCTTTTGCTTCAAGCTTGTTCTCTAGCTCTTCACGTTCTTGTCTATGAAGTTCATCTAACATCATGAAAATATAACAAGCGTAACGAGGTGAAGCCCACATTGCAACAGCATTTACAAGAAGTCTATGTACATACCAACCTCTCAAACCATTTGGCAAATTTTGACGATTTTCGTACGGAATCTCGACCCGCGGTTTTCTACCGGTCGCAAACATATGAGGAAATTCTTCTAAAAGTTCTTTTGTCTGTTGGTTTTCAAACCAATGACGTGCTTGCTTTGTAGAACGAAGAGCATTCAAAATACTTTGCATTTGGTACATGTCATCTTTGACCGAACGAATGAGACGGAGTTGTTTGTTAAACTGAACCCACTCATATTCTTCATTTATAGCTTCATGGACTATAACTGTTGTTGTGTTCTCTGTTGTTGACATATCTGTCTTTACATACAAAATAAAAAAATATTTTTTTAAAAATTAGCGTTATTTTTTTAAAGTTTGGTCATCCTTCACTATATGACAAATATACTATATTTTACTTAAAAATATGCAAGCGGCTCATAGCTCAGTGGTATGGGCTACCTCGCTACAGGCGTCGAAGACCTCGGTTCAAATCCCGATTCGCGCAGGTTTTTTCCTTTTATGCAGTGAAATTTCATGTACATAGGTTACTTTGGTGTTAGACCCTAGTGAAGAAAATAGAACGATATAAGTTTACATTTGTAAGGTTGGACGATAAAATTTACTGACTGACGTCGGACATTGTCTTGAAAAAGTAAAAGACTTGTCTTGAAAAGTAAAAGACTTGTCTTGAAAAAGTAAAAGACTTGTCTTGAAAAAGTAAAAGACTTGTCTTGAAAAAGTAAAAGACTTGTCTTGAAAAAGTAAAAGACTTGTCTTGAAAAAGTAAAAGACTTGTCTTGAAAAAGTAAAAGACTTGTCTTGAAAAAGTAAAAGACTTGTCTTGAAAAAGTACGGGTATCGTCTGAAATCAAGACCACTGTTCTCAAATTTGAGAACTTTACACCAAAAAATTTCTTGAAAAAGTAAAAGACTTGTCTTGAAAAAGTAAAAGACTTGTCTTGAAAAAGTAAAAGACTTGTCTTGAAAAAGTAAAAGACTTGTCTTGAAAAAGTAAAAGACTTGTCTTGAAAAAGTAAAAGACTCGTCTTGAAAAAGTAAAAGACTTGTCTTGAAACAATGACCGACATAGACCCAGCAGATGAGGCAATCTACCTTATAGAGATAAATGAGCTAGTTAGGAACTACCTGAGCCATCTGAAGTCAAGCGTAAAAATAAACGCTTTACATGTATTTTTCAGCAACTTCGTCAAATAATTTTATAGCACTATCTATCTCATCTACTTCAAACGTTTCTTTACCTTTCGTGGGAGCACCATACCTTTTCTCAAAAACTTCAAGCAGTTCTGTTTCAGCAGCTCTCATATCATTTACAAACACAACCTTAACTCTATTGACTGTACTGTCATATCTTTTAGTTATATTAAATGTTCTTCCTATCTTATATCTCTTTGTATTGAAGTCTTTCGGTTTCTGAACGATGTAAAGTAAGCCTTCACTGCAACGTTCTGAGTCGAACGAACCATATGTTATGAAATTATATCCAACAACTGGGTCAATCCATAACAAAACTAGTGGTATAAGACTTTTGTCGATGAGATATGCTGTAGTTCCATGAAATCTTACCGATATCAAAAGCTCAGGATTTCTTGTCAAAATTTTCTGAGATGAAGCATTTCTAACCCAGTCCTTTGCTCTCTTTCCAGATGGTGTTAAAATGTCTGACAAAGAATATTTTTTGTATTTCTTTGAGTATCTTACGTTTAAATCACCAATTCTAACCACTTTGGTGTCATTGTCTATCTTTTTAACTGTTTCAAACTCAGTGTTTGTCATTTCCTGTTCTTACATACAAAATAAAAAAAATATTTTAAAAAAACTAGCTTTTATTTTATTTTTTCTATCTTGTATAAAAGATATGATTTCATAGAATTTTTTTACGAAGTGTAAAAGTTCTCTTCGTCAAAAATAACAGTTATATAATGAAATTTGGTCATTTTTTCAGCAAAAATATATTTTAGGTGAAGAGGTGAGATTTCACCTGTTTTTTCACCTCTTTTTTCACCTCTTGAATTTTGTATAAAAGATATGATTTCAGGGATTTTTTTTACGAAGTGCAAAAGTTCTCTTCGTCAAAAATAACAGTTATATAATGAAATTTGGTCATTTTTTCAGCAAAAATATATTTTAGGTGAAGAGGTGAGATTTCACCTCTTTTTTCACCTCTTTTTTCACCTGTTATTTTATAAGCGTTTTACATGAATTGTATGATGTATATTTGAAATCCTAAACAATTTTGTGGCTTCTATTTCTTCTTTTAGTACATCGAATGTTTTAACAATGCCGAATGTTTCTTTATATTTCTTCTTGACATCTGAAAGAAGGAAATCGTCAGCTGTTGGATAGTTTTTGTTCAGAAATGCTAACATGTCCATTTTATTTTCTACCGGCTTCTCTGCTTCTTTCTTTAAGTCTGCATAGTCGTTTCTCATACGTTCTATCTCTTTGACAGAATAGTTATATTTCCTCATTGCTGCTTTACATTTAGAACATTGTGGGTTCATTTTTGCATTGTACATTGAAACCTTACCTGCTAGTATGACTATAGCGTCAATGGTTTTCTTAAATTCAAAAGTTGCTGGTTTTATCTGTTCGTTCCATACTTTACCTCTTTTATCTTTATCTCTTATCTGCCATACACATTTTGCAACTAACGAAACAAAGTTGTCGTAGGTCTTAAATTCTTCAGATTTATATATGTCAGAGATGTTCTTATATACCATGTCGCAATCTTTGTCCATGACTTTGTGGTTGCAATGAAATCCAAGAAACTCATAGTTAGCCTTACGTATGAACTTCTTTATTTCAACTGAGTCGGTTGGTCTGACTTCAATTTCATCGAATTCTGGAATAGTAAGCTTTTGTTGTTGTATTTCAGGAAGTTTAGGTAAATGGTCAATAATGTCCTGCATTTCATAAAGATACTGTTCATTTGTTTCATCTTTCGCAGTGCAATCTAAATTACTTGTTAAAAGTTCTTGCTTTATCTTCTGGATTTCTGTTTCGAAAGTATATGAAGAAGGAATGAAGCTTTTCATCTCTACTAACATTGAAGTTGGGTTCATGACTAACGAGTTTGGTGCTGTTGTTGCTAACATGTTCTTACAATAAAAATAAAAAATATTTTTTTAAAAAAACTAACTTTATTTTTTATTTCGGGAAAATTCATGAGTTTTGGTTGAAAAATACGGTGGAGCCAAAAGTGGCTCGACCTCAAAACAAGCATTTTGTGAAGAATATACCAACCGCCGGAATGTCGACGGTTGCTTTTTATACAAAATTCAACGGGTGAGAAAAGAGGTGAGAAAAGAGGTGAGATTTCACCTCTTCACCTAAAATATATTTTTGCTGAATTCAATAAAAATAAATGGTTCATTTACTCACAATATTTTTTTACAAAACGACCCCAAACTTTTAACTTCTTTTCTGCAGCTTCAAATGCTATCTTAGCGAGTTCATATTCTCTAAATTCTCTCTTTAAATCTTCTTGTTCCCATTGGTCTAGTTCGTATGGAGTCTCTATAACCAGAACATATCTCACGTTCATGTTCTATTTGTTTTTCATGCATTTTTCTAACTTCTTCTTCGAACAAAGGTTTAGCATTCTCTACTGTATCTTCAAGTTCTTCTTCATCTAATTTCTCATGAACTTTCTTGTCTATGGAGTCCAAAATTTTTCCAACTGCTATGCAATATTTTGGAGAAGCCCACATTGCTATATAGTTTACGAGTCTTGGGTCTACATACATTCCTCTAACCTGTTTGATTTCATCGGAATTCCTGCATGAACATTGTATAAAAAGCAACCCGCGGAATTCCGCGGGTTGGTATATTCTTCACAAAATGCCTTAAATACTCTTCCCAGGACTTATTTCCAACAACCTTCTAAAGTCTTTCCCAAACTGCTGACATATTTGTTGCATTTATATAACCATCCTTGTCTCTACGTAAGACTTCAATACCGTTGTAAGTGCCTTTTGTGAATGTTTCGCCATTAGATTTGTTCGTGAACGTTTTTGCTTCGACTGTCATACTGTTCTTACAATAAAAATAAAAAATATTTTTTGGTGGGACGTCGGACATCGTTTGTGGCTTAACCGTCGGACATTGTCTTGAAACAGTACAAATATTGTCTTGAAACAGTACAAATATTGTTCTGAAGCAGTGCAAATATTGTCTTGAAACAGTGCAAATATTGTTCTGAACAGTGCAAATATTGTTCTGAAACAGTACAAATATTTGTTCTGAAAAAGTACAAGTCTTGTTCTGAAAAAGTACAAGTCTTGTTCTGAAACAGAAAATTTTTCTCACAAATTGAGAGCTTTTACGGGAAAATTTGTTCTGAAAAAGTACAAGTATTGTTCTGAAAAAGTACAAGTATTGTTCTGAAACAGTACAAGTATTGGCTCTGAAACAGTACAAGTATTGTTCTGAAAAGTACAAATATTGTTCTGAAGCAGTGCAAATATTGTTCTGAAGCAGTGCAAATATTGTTCTATGAAGCAGTGCAAATATTTTCTGAAGCAGTGCAATGGACAACATCGAGCCACATTCAATACTTTTTCAGCACTTCTCCGTATTGTATATGAAAGACAATTCGAGATAAAAGTCATAGTACAATGGTATAATATGCTGCACACCGTTTGTTGTGAACCAAACTTGAAAGTCAGAGAAACTGTTACTAGGTGGTTCGTAGAATTTAGAAGCAAAGTCATAAAAGTCCTTACCAATACAAAGAAAACTGTTGTTGCTTGAACTGAAACTTGCATGACACATGACATTTTGAGGGTCAAACACGTTTCTATAAACTGTCAAATCTGCTGGTGGAAGTATAAATTTAAACGGACCGTCAGGTGGCAATGGTTCGTTCTGGTTTAGTAACCGAAGAAATTGTGCCCAAGAACGTTTGTCTACTTCCCAAAATAAAAACTCTGTACTTCTTGGAGGGTTAATTTCAATCTTTTGAAATGAAACGGTGGAGTTCATCTTGTCATATTCTAGTTTCAGATAGTATGTTCCATTTAGTAAAGAGTCGTATTTTTCTTGAAATTCCCAGTAGTATTTGTTTATTTGAGTTTGAAAGTCATTTAGAGTTTTCTCAAGACTTTCGTCTGAACGGTTTTGTATCTGCTACTTTTGTTCTTTGTTTTTCAACCTGAAGCATTTTATATATGTAAAAATATACTGTTTTAAAAATGTTTTAAAATGGTATGCCATATAGCTTCTTGAATTTGTTAAGAAATATTTTAACGTTTTTTCCATCTGTATCTCTAGTGTTTACATAAGCACAGCCTTCCTTAGTAAAACATACTTGTAATTTCCTATAGTTTACGCCGGTATAAAAGTAGAAAGAGTCCTGTTCTTCGCTATAGTAGTAAAACTCAAACGTATGCTTACCATAGTCTGTAATTTCAATTGTTTCATCTTCTAGTTCGTCGACAAATTCGAATACAATATCTCCAAATTTGCCTTTGTTCTTATTGTTTTCAGAACGAGTAACCCAACGTAAATTTTCAAGTCTATTGTCATTTCTTATATGGTTTATATGGTCTACAAAAGGTAGATTGTTAGAGTTCGGTATAAAATGAGTTGCAATGACAACATGTTTAAAATAGTTTTTTCCACTCATCTTCATATTAGCATATCCGTCATTTCGCTCCCATCCGCTTAAAACTCTTTTTGTCTTTTTGTTTCTGACTTCAAATGACTCACAACAGTGAATTTCATATTTCTCATCTAACAAACAAGTTTCCCAACGGTCTGTTCCAACAAACTCAGCGTACATTTCAAATAAAATAAAAAAATGTTTTTTTAAAAATATTTTGTTTTAAATGGTATGCCATTTCATATTTCTCATCTAACAAACAAGTTTCCCAACGGTCTTCTCCAACAAAACTCAGCGTACAGTTCAAATAAAAATAAAAAAATGTTTTTCCTTTACTTTACATAACCACCGGCTACCAAAAGCCTTTGACGCCAACCCATACCAGCTAATGAAGGTTGACTTTTAGTATTGAAACTAAACTTTGGTTTTGGTTTATCTTCTTCTATTGGCTTCCCTTCTTCTATTGGTTTTTCGTCACTTTTCGGTTCCTCTGACTTTACCTCACTTGCAGGTATGGTTGTGTCGTCAACATCTTCATAAATATCATATGCCATTTGTTTTTGTTTTCCTTTCAACTTTTTGTGTTTGTTGTAAAGTTTAGAATATTTCGACTCTAAGTCAATGAGATGTTCTATAATGAACTGTTGGTCAGTGAAGAATACCTTCCCATCTGTTGTCTCTTTAACTCCTTCAGACTTCAATATTTTATTTGTGAGAGTCTGTTTCTTTTTTGAGATACTAGCCGTTCCATTTCTATGAAAAGTGACTTTATAGTTAGGGTTTGTATTTCCAGACCTGGCACTTTCTATTATTGAATTTTTTCTTCATCTGTAAGTTCTTTGACAGGTTTTGACAATGGTTCTGAACTTTTTGTTTGTGGTGTCAAATCTACCGTTTCAACTTCTTCGGTCATTTCATCTCAGTAAAAAATTTTAGTTTGGTTTGTTTTCAACTGGTTGTTTAGGTTTTTTTAAGTCGGTCTAAAACTTCCTGAGGTATAGGAGACTTGACAAACACGTGGTTGTGTAACTGCTGGAAGTCGACAAATCCATCTTGAACCCATTTGTCTCAATGCTGTATTGTTCATTTCATCTCAGTAAAAAACTTTACATTCCCCAAGTTTGAGGTGGTTGAGGTTGGTTATTGTTTACCCATTGTTGTGCATGGTTATATCCTCTGTTAAAGAATCTTTCACCTTGGTCCATATAGTGTCCTGCTTGGTTATAGTAGTCATTTGCTTTGTTATAGTAGTTTCCTGCTTGTCTTCCTACATTGTCCATCCATCCTTGAACTTTTCCTCTTGTTTCAGGATTTGGAATAAGATTTGCTGCATCTCGTGCTACATCCCAACCTTTCTGTACAGTTTGTATAATAGGTTGTGCTTTCTCTTTCAGTATACCTAATGTACTCAAAATCTTCCTTCCAACTCCAAATACACCTCTGGCTATTGTTCCCACTGCGGGCAAAAATCTGGATGCAACTCCTGCTAATGCGCCAAATAAACCCATTTCTTATAGGATAAAAATGACGAATCCAAACAAGGACCCGTATGTTTCTAAAGCAACAAAGAAAGCACTCATGGTAAAAATCTTTAGTTCAACACCAAATGCTTGGTTTATGGATATCTTGGAAAACATTCCGAGGTATAGAGAAGATGGACCACCATACTGGCTAATATTTGTCGGTCAAAACACAAGATACTGTGAAGCCATACCATTACAGTCCAAAAATATTTTAGATGTGAAAACTGCTTTGACAATCTTCGTTGACAAATACCATCCAACAAAACTGACATCTGACTGTGAACGTTCTTTCAAATCAGACGATATTAAAAACTATCTGCGTTCAAAAAATGTAAACCAATATTTCATTGTCGACCAAAACCATTCTGCTCTTGGTGTCATTGACAGTTGTATAAAAATCTTAAGAGACTTAAACCAACCACAAGGTGGTGAAGCAAATGAAATGTCATATGACGACAAGTATAGACACTTTTCCATGGCAAAGATGAGACAAGTTTTAAATATTTACAATAACCGTAAACAAAAAGGTTTGGGAAACCACTCCCCCGAAGAAATGAAAAACAACCCTGACTTAGAGAAAGACTATATATTTAATAGTTTAGTCAAAAGAGACAAACAAGAAAGAATGCCAGGCTTCAAACTTAAGAAAGGTGACAAAGTAAAAATAGAAATACCTAAACGCGACCCATATGAAAATACTATTGACTATGACAACAATGGGAACTCGACAGGTACTCACATTCGTGTTCGTAAAAATAGAAGAAAGTATACAAGAGAATATTATGAAGTTTTAGGCAAACATGGCAAAATGTACAGACTGCAAGCAGAAGATAAAACTACTATTGTCAGACCTCGTTTCAAACTTGTCAAAGTTCAAGGTGGTATACTTTCAAAAACAGTTCCTAACAAATATAAGACAACTCCTGACGAATATGCTAAAGAAGTTGAAAATGACGACTAAGCAATTCTATACCATGCGTAAACTGTCATGTAAGGTGGCATGTAGTCTTTACTTTGTCCCGTTGTTTGTGTATATCCTGAAACGCGATGTGTATGGTTTCCTCCTACCTCAGTGTTACTCCAGTAACAATTTATAGCAAACTTAACGTCCTCTTTAACATCATATCCTTTACCTTTTGTCATTCCTGACCAATCCCAAAATCTATGACTATGCAAACCTGCTTCAGATGTACTTAAATTTATGTAGTGACTGTGCGCAGGTAAATTTGCACCTGAAATCGTTTTACTTCCGCCTGTTTCCTTTGAAGAGTTTGCACAATACAAAAACCTGTCGACTATTTGAGTCCAAGTTCCAAAACCAAGTACTACTTCTGGTTTGGTAGAGTTCATTGACGTGTAAATAGAACCTATAGGATATAGTGTTTGAAGTATTTCTGTCTTTAACGTTTGAAGCTCTGTTTTGTCAGCTTTCTTATCTAACTCATCGTTAACATATGTTTTGTCAGCTTTCTTATCTAACTCATCGTTAACATATGTTTTGTCAGCTTTGTTGTCATATAAATCTTGAGCAGTGAATTTAACTTTGTTTTCATCCTCCATGACATAGACATTTCTACATCTAATGTATTTCATCGTCGTTATGTCATCCTCCGATGTTAAACCTTGTGGAAAGTTAGGAGGTTTCCAATTTAATACATCCCCAGTTTCTTCAACCGTTCCTTCAATATTTTCTATACCAACAGTTGCGAAGAAATCGTGTGTATGTCCAACGTCACTTTTCTTGTTTAAGGTTTCTTGTAAGTTTGTAATATTTGCAATGGTATGTGTATGAGTCTTTTTAGAATATTCTTTGTCAGCTCTTGTCACTTCACTTGACATTTTATTGTCAACATATGTTTTATCCGCTTTGTCATCTAACATTTCTTGAAGTTCATCTACGTCATAGATGTTATGTGTATGATGTTTTTGTGGGTATGTTCTATCTGTCCATGCGAGAATATAGTCTCTTGTTGCATCTACATACTCTTTGTCAGCTTTGTTGTCAATATCTGCTTTCAAAAGAAGTTCATCTATAGGTTTCTCGTTTAAAGTTCTTTTTGTTGGATTTATACAAACAGTATGGTTCTTACTGTCTTGAAACAGAAACTCGTCTGTCATTGGGTTTATCGTCAGTTTTAAGTTTCCTTCTTTCAATGACTCAGATATCTTAGAATAGTTTGAAAAGTTTGTTGTGTTCTTATTTAGAGCTTGCAAAATGAGTTGTCGGTTGTGTTGTATTTCTCTCATAGACGCTGTTTCTTTCGACATTTTTATTCTAGATAAAATATGCTTTCAATAGAAAAAGAAAATTCTAGAGTTGCTACAACTAAACCATTAGATGAACTTTTTACGAATGTCGGTCAAAAGTTTGAGACAGAGACCGTAAAGCATGAAGGCTATCGTTTTGACTACCCATTGAGATGGTTAAGAGACCCATCCGTCACAAAAGCTATTGGCTTTCGTAGAATGAAGTTCATTTCAGAAGCCATACATGGTTTCCCATTTACGGTCGCTTTTGAAATTCGATACTATAACAAAGAAAAACGTACGTATGAGAAATTTGAACAGGGAAAACTTTTACAAGTGAATTTGCTTGTAAACTTAGAAACAACTCTTCAAGCTTTTCAAGAAAAAATAAACGATATCTATATCGAATATGCAAACCAGTTTAACATTGACGAAGGAGAGTACCATCTCGATATTTTATATGACAGGAAAAATGCAACTGTTAAAATCAATAGAATAGAAGACCTTGGAGAAAACGTTTATATTTCTACAAAATATAACAACTTGGCATGGTATAGATTTTTGAGGATGTTAAATCAGCCTGCAGCATATCCAGTACACCCAGACTTTTATGAAGTCGAAAACCCTAATGGAACATATGAAAATGTTTTCGACTCAGATGCTATTATAGTTCATGCTTCATTTTCTGGTGCACAAAACTCTTTTTTATGCTTGGCAAATGACTTTTACGAAAAACCTACAAAGCTATATGAACCACCAAGTGGAAGTATTTCAGACTTTCAAGTATGGTTTACAACAGATGGAAGAAAGAGAATAGTTCCATTATACCATGCGTTTTACTTAGAACTTAGTTTCATATACAACTACTATCGAACGGTAAAAATATAATTTTTTAATACGGTTGAGGTGTTGGATTTGGTTGCCAACTAGACTGTGGTGCAGGTTCAGGCTGTTGTATGACAGGAGCTTGCTCTTCTGGTTCAGGGTCTTTAGGTATAATACCAACAAACTGACCTACTCTTTTACCAATATTTTTGACTCCGTTCCAAATTCCTCTTCCTACGGTTTTTATTCCATTCCATATACCTCTTCCAACATTTCGAAAGAAGTTTCCTATCTTACTGAAGAAACCCATTTTACTATATGTAAAAATCTAATGTCCGCCTAGTCTCCTACGTTTCCTGTTGAGTTCCATTGCATTCTTTAACTGGAGCTCATACATTCTGTTTCTCCTCTGGTAGAAAACATACTCTGGGTCAACTCCTGTGTTCGCGTCATCTGCATAAAGTTGTTTATATCCCACTTCAGGGTTTGTATAAAACTCTTTCCATCTCATATTTGCATACCATGGTGGCAAACCTAACGCAGCGTCATTTGACATGGCAGTTTGCATTTGTACATCTGTTGGCACTTGACCATAGTTTGCCATTGCAGTTTGTATTCTAACTTCATTTGGAATATTCTCTGGGTTTGGTTGTCCAGGTTGCTGTGCATTCGCTAAGTTCTGTGCGTCCATTTAATATTAGATAAAAATATCTCTTACGAGTACATATACTGAACATTTGCAGGCATTGGTTCATCTTCATATTCTCTGTACTTTTCTGCCACGTCAAATAAGTAAATGACACAATGGAAAAAACCTAAAACAAGTAGTCCTATTTCAAACCACATTTACTTACTAGTAAAATTTCTTTGTTATGACTTCTTCGTAAAGACTTTGTTGAGATTTCTTCGTAAAGACTTTGTTGAGATTTCTTCGTAAAGACTTTGTTGAGATTTCTTCGTAAATGACCCAAAAATATATTTTAGGTGAAGAGGTGAGATTTCACCTCTTTTTTCACCTCATTTCTCACCTCTTGAATTTTCATGAATTTCTTCGTAAAGACTTTGTTAAGACTTCTTCATCTAATTTCTCATGAACTTTCTTGTCTATGTTTTGTCAAGATTTCATCGTAAAGACTTTGTTGAGATTTCTTCGTAAATGACCCTAGTAGTATATTTTTGGTGTAAATTTCATGAAAATTCAAGAGGGTGAAAAATTAGGTGAAAAAACAGGTGAAATCTCACCTCTTCACCTAAACTTTATTTTTGGTGTAAATTTCATGAAAATTCATGAAAATTCAAGAGGTTAGAAATGAGGTTAGAAAAGAGGTTAGATATACCCTTCTACCCTAAAATATATTTTTGGTGTAAATTTCATGAAAATTCATGAAAATTCAAGAGGTGAGAAATGAGGTGAAAAAAGAGGTGAAATCTCACCTCTTCACCTAAAATATATTTTTGCCGAATTCTGTATAAAATTCTGAGTAAAATGACAGATGTTTATATGACACTTTCTCCGGTTTATAGGACCTCTCTCATATTCTAAACATCTTCGGGGCTAGAGGGCACGAAGTGCCTGGAAGCCCCACTGCCTTTTTTTTTTTTTTTTTTTTTTTTTTTTTTTTTTTTTTTTTAATTTTAATGATAAAAGCCTATACATTCAGTAGATGAATTTATTTTTTATATTCTTTGGAAACTTTTTTGAATTTGCTATGCCATTTGCATAAGAACCATAGAAAAACAGGCATTTAAATCATTATCTTCGGTTCTGATTCAACCATTTTTCACAAATGGCAGATGCAATTTGTGATCTATCAAATTTGAGTCAATGGAAATATATACAATCGCAGTATTCATGGCTCATTCTTGTTTTGATCGTGATCTATATCCTTATTAAGCAAAAAACAAGCCAAAAAACAATTCCGATTCCAAGTTCAACACAAAAACAAGACACCAGCACAAAACAAGATCCAGAATATTTCTTCCATCTTACAGACGTTCATGTCAACTCGCTTTTACCAAATCTTCCTGAACAATTAGATTCTGCTTTAAAAGTTATCAGTAAATACGATCCCGAAATGCTCATTATTACCGGCGATCTTGTTGACAACTGGGGAACAAACACAATCCATAAATACGCCAAACAATATGCTCCAGATCATAAAATTTATAAAAATATTACAGAACCATATGGCAAGAAGATCAAATATTTTATAGACCAGCCTGGAAATCATGATCTCTTTGCAGCAAAAAGCTTTGACTCTCAAGAAAACAACATCTTAAAGTACAGTTATTATTATTCAACTCACAAAGACATTACGTTCGAAGAATTCCAGCTTTCATCAAAAGTAATTGGAAATACAACTTACATCTTTGTAAATCCCTTCAATTATCCATCTCCAAGAGCATTATTTGATTTCTTTGCTCATCCAACAACAGAATTACTTGATAGACTGACAAAAACCATCAAAAGCGTCCAAACAAAGCACAAAGTCATTATTACACACATTCCTGCAGATCTTTGGGACAAATCTTGCAAATCTTCTTCTGGTAAGTCATACATGGACATTATCAAAGAAAGTGATGCAGATCTTGTAATATCAGGCCATTCCCATCCAGTATCTGCAGCACCAACCCACAGAAATGGAGTTTTGGAAATATTTGGATCAGATTTGAGAGAACATCGTGGAATTGGACTTGTTACGCAAGATAATGGCGTTTTCGTTTACCATTCCATGAGCCTTTCAAACACTTCTCGCATGTTCGTTATCAATCCTCAACCATCCGACCAATTATCTCAAAAATCTGTTTTCAATGAAAAATTTTCAAAAGTCAGAGTTCTTTTGTTTGGCGATAAAAGTGACATTTTTGTAAACCATTCAAAAATGTCATTCATTAAAGAAATCAAGCCGAATGTATATTTATATGAAAAAGAAGTCGAATTACAGAACGGATACAATAATTTAGAGATTTCGTCAAATGATGAGAAGAAAACCGTAAATGTTTACGTGGGAGAGAAGACAGAGTCCGTGAAAGAAGTTTTGTATAACTATTACAACAAATTCTGCTCTTTTTCAACTTTATTTTATATTTTATTCCCAATTTGCCTCTTTATCCTGTTTCCGGTCCCATTTGAGCACTATTTCCAATGTACAAAGGATCTGATGATGAGAGAGAACATTTGGATCTATTCTCCTCAAATTTCATTTTTCAATATTATTGAAGAGACATTTTTGGGATTTGTATCTGTCAGATGGAGAATATTACGTCTCCCATTACTAATGCGCTCAATATTGTTCTTTGCCTGCTTATCTCCGTTCTTCATTCCATTTGTTTTCATCAAAATCGAAGATTTAACAGGAATTGTGATTAACTATGGAATGATTGTTCGTGGAAACTACTTGCATGATATCTGGGGAACAATATTCTCAGCTGTATACGAAATGGCCGTCATTTGCCCTGCAATTATGTTGTCTTCATCAATTGCAACTTCTGAGAGTTTTTATTTCGCGTTTTTCATTGATTTCACTTTTTGGCTTATTTCATTTTGTGTTTGTTTGAAGTTCTGCAACACTTATGTCACAGAGACTGCAGGAACAATTAGAGCAAACACAAGTCCTTTGTTTATTTTCATGCCTTTGATTTTGCTCGGATGCATTGTATTTTGTAAGTTTTATGCAAATCCAAGCAAACAGTCTGAGAGATTGATGTTCTTCCAGGATCTCTCCAACTCTAACCAAATAGAATTGTAAACGTTTTATGCTTTCTATATATTGATTAATTTTTTTTAATTATTAATTATTGCAAGTTGAGAATTTCCAAATAATACATGTTGTTATATCATGAATCAGGAGCAATAATTTTGTGTGCATAACAATTTTATCAATAAACTTTTTGATACTTTTACAACTAATATAGACAAAATAAGATTTTATTCTCATTATGAATTGTAGGAATAACAACATGCTGATCTATTTTCTTATTTCTTCTCATGTTCAAATTACCAGATTTTCTAATATTCAACTCAAAATATTATCCAAAATCATTCTTGCACAATATTGGATAAGGCCTCGTGATATACCAATAAAAAAAATATTGAGAGAGGGTCAAAGTTGCTATTTGTCACTTTTCCACAAGAATATAATGGGGAAAAAGTTATCATATAGTTGATCTCATTCACTGAGGTGAGAGATGCATGTAGTGTAATGGGATAAACAGTGGTATTGCTGCTCTAAGTCCTAGATTCGAGACACATTGGCTTCATTTTTCTCCTTTTTATTGACGTAAACTATTCAATTTTTGTGTTCTCCATTCAAATTTCAGAATTTTTTTTGCAGATTTCACGCTACATTCGAAGTTACCTTTTGTAACAACCACCACTGCCTACGAAAGACGAAAGTGTGTCACGATTTCACCCGGAAATCCGACGGTTGTTTAAGAGTATGCACTTTTGTCACCTACTCAAAAAATATTAAGTTTACAGACTATTGTTTCTGATGAAACTTGAGTAAAATAAGTTTGAATTGTCTAAACCTATATATCAAAATGTCTTTATTATATATTTGAAAAATATGAAATCAAAATTATTATTATTTGATCACTTTGCTCCCAAAGATCTCAGATAATTTTGTATATCTATATTCTTTGTTGATGCAAGCGCAGTATTTCCATCATTGTCTCTTGCATTTTTATTAGCTCCTGCAGAGATCAAATATTTAACAACTTCAAAATGATCATATTCTGCAGCTAAAATGAGTGGAGTATTTCCAAGGTCGTCTCTTGTTTCTTTATTTGCACCAACGGAGATAAGATATTCAACAACATTAAGATGACAATTTAATGATGTGCAAGTGAGTGAAGTATATCCAAGATTATCTTCTGCTTCTTTATCAGCTCCAATAGAAATAAGATATTTAACAACTTCAAGATGACCATTTCCTGATGCGCGAATAAGTGAAGTTTTGCCATCTTTATCCTGTACATCTTTATCAGCTCCGATAGAAATAAGATACTTAACAACTTCTAAGTGACCATTTCTTGAAGCGCAAATGAGTGGAGTAAATCCATATTGACTCCGTTGATCTTTATCAAATCCAATAGAGCAAAGATATTGAACGACATCAAGATGACCATTATCAGCTGCCCAAATGAGCTGAGTAAATCCATACTTACTCTTTTCATCTATATTAATTCCAATGGAGATGAGATATTGAACAACTTCAAGATGTCCACCAAATGATGCCCAATTGAGTGGAGTACCTTTAAAATTAGACTTAATTTCTTTATCTAATCCATGCTGAACAAGAGAATAAACAAGATTGAGATTTCCTTTTAAGCATGCGAAATGAAATATATTTAGATTTTCACCATAAAATTTCGTTTTCTTTTCCCAAAGACCATCATCAATAGCTTTTGTCAACATTTTTTTATTTTCTCCCTTCGTTAACTCTTCAAACAAAATATAAACTGCTTCAAAATCATCGGAATCCTTAAGTTGAGTAATTTTTGCTAGGATATTTTCTGAGGAGTTCTCACGTACTGAGGTGGAGTTGTTCCCTTCAGTAGGTTGGGTCCGAATAATTCCAATTTTGTTGAATAAAGACATAAATATATTTGTAGGGCCTTGATCTTTTGGTGTGGATATTTCTTTTTGAAGTTTTTCGATTCTTTCTGAATTTTCACATAGTTCCTTTTCTGTTTGATGTAAAATATCAATAACTTTATCAAAGATTCTAAAATTCAAATATTCTTTTAAAGATTTCATAATTGTAATGACATCTTTCAGATTTTTCGGCAAAAGTGTTGCACATCGAGCAAGAGTATATATATCCTTTGCTTTCATTATCGAGGATGACTGTTTTAGAATAAAACTGAAATCGTCAATTGACAATTTTGATTTCTCAAAGATCTTTTTGATATCTTCTGCTTCAAAGACATCAAAGAACTTATTTTCTTGAAAATAGTCTCTGATGTGATCTGCTATATATTCATAGTTTGGATACAGTTCTTCATACATTATTTTATGTAAAGTTGACAGATTCCTAACGTATCGGATAAAAATAAAAGTTGAAAATTTCATACAAAACTATCAGCCTTTATGCATAAGAGAATAAATAATAATAATAAAAAAAAAAAAAAAAGGTAGTGGGGCCTCCAGGCACTTCGTGCCCTCTAGCCCTGAAGATGTTTAGTATAACTTTGTCCGGACAAGTAAGGGTCTATCGTCGCTACAGGAAAAGTTACCGGCGTTCCAAGGAAGTATACTTTGAGAAGCCTTTTCCCCCTTTTAAAACAAGATAGGACGGTTATTTTACAAAACTGACAACACTTTGACCGAGTAGTTTTTTGTGCTGAACAAAAAGTGTCATATAAACATCTGTCAAAAAACGCTTTTTAACTTCACTTAAAATGCCACGTAAGCTACGTAAGAATATACGTAAGAGGAAGAGAGCATTGAAACATCCAATAGTAAAACTGACACCACAACAACAGTTGCAACAACAAATGCTGAATGACCCCACTATGTTGCAACAAATGTCAAGCAACCCTATGCTTTTAAACCGAGTTTTTGGTGCACAGAGTGGAGGTTTAAGAGCGGCACTTTTAGCGAAAATGGCAGGCTATGGTGGAGCTGCAGACGGAACAGCCTATAACCCTCAAAGTCAAATGAATTTGAGTTCACTCAAAAATCAAATATCAGATGTCAAAAAGTCAAACATAGACATACAGAAACAAATAAGTGAAAACGAAAAGAAACTAGAATATGACAGACACACAAAGAAACTCAATGAGTTAAACGTAGAGAAAAAGAAGAAAGAAGAACAACTGAAAGAACTAAGTACAGAGGAATATGCGAAAAAAGTGTCAGAAAAAGCAGCAGAAGTAGCAAAAATGGAACAAGATGTTGTAAATTTGAAAAACCATACTACTCAATATAAAGTACTGAAAGATGAAGAGATAAAACAAAAAGCCCTGAAGACATATATGGATAGCGATGAGTATAAAAAAGAAGTTGAAGCAAATGTAAAGGCAGAAAAACTTTTACAGTTGCAAAACCAAACCGTACAGTATGAAAACTTAGCACAAGAAAGTAAAAATAACGACGCAGCCATGCAAAAGGCAATGAAAAGCGCAGAATATATAAAAGCTAACAATGACTGGTTAGATGCCCAAGCCAACGCTAAAGCAGCCCAGCTTATAGGGTCAATAAGGACAAAAATACAAGCGGATGAAGACAGTTCAAATGAAGCTTTAACAAATGCTGACTTTAAGAACGCCTTCGAAGCTCTTCATAGTAAGGTGAAACTAGTGAACGACTTCTCATCTGGAAAGAAACTGAAGTCTGAAGGTTTCGACAAAGAGTTAAGAGAAGTAGCACAAAATATGACGAAAATAACAGATGCAGCAACGAGACAGGCAGTTCAAAGTGCCTATGACGCCGTTAGAGCAACTGTTGTGGAAAGTCAAGAAAAAGAGTTACAACAGACCAAAACAGACCTAGTAAATGCTTTCTTAAAAACGAAAAGTCAGGTAGGACATTATGCTGCAGATGGAACATATGTGCCAGCTGGTGGAACTTATATACCACCAAACCCTCCAAGAGAAGCACCTGCACCAGGACTACCTAAAACATTTACATCGTCACATGGACACAGACACAGGCATGCACCAAAACCAACACAACAACCAACAGTTCAAAATCCAGCACAACAACCAACAGTTCAAAATCCAACACAACAACCAACACAACAACCAACACAACAACCAACACAACAACCAACAGTTCAAAACACTGCACCACAACCAACAGTTCAAAACACTGCACCACAACAACCACAAACAGAGCAAGGACATAAAAGAAGTAGAGAACAAGGAAACCAAGATTTCTTAAAAATGCTTAAAGAAGACTATGGTTACCCAGATACTCTTGACTTTAGTGACAGATATAAAGAAGCTATTAGAAAGTTCAAGGAAGGAAATACTGACCCGAACCTATTTAGCTTTATGGCTCAGCACCAAATGGGATATAATTTCAAACCTGGAAAATACAAGCTCGCTAAGGGATATGATTTAATAGCATATCATCCAAATGACATGAACGAATTTACTCCGAGATATTTGGTGTCAGAGCTAAATGACAATTCAACTCTCTTCATGAAACGCGTAAAAAATAGAGACGGAACGAAAGAAGAAAGGTTTATGAGTCCGGATGACTTAGATAGGGAACTTGTTAAAAACGGTCTCGGAATATATGAAATGCCAGCAGATGAGGTACAAGAAACTCCACAGGAAGAAGTTCAGATACAACCAGACATGGAAGAAATAGTTCAGCAACAACAGCTAGAAGAGCCTGAAGGAAACGAACAAGTCCCTCCTTTGGAAACTAACTTCACAGAACTAGATGAAGATTTGGAACAGCCGAAAAAATCTTGACCTCAACAAGAGTATGAGGTGAATATGGAATCTTTCCAAGAGTCTAAGAAAAATTCGGCTGACATGTAGAAGAATATCGAAAAATGTTTGCCGACATACAAAAGACTCCAACACCAGATGAAAATATTCAGCATAGAATGGAAGTACTGAAAGAAAATGTACGCAAATACAATAACCCTTTTTACTTACGACCATATAACGTTCAATCTTTGGCTGAACTCGGTGAAAATAAAAGGTTAAATTTCAACAAAACATATAGAAATGAAACATTGTTTAAAGTTCATTCAGAACCTAACCAATATGGAAACAAACCTACTTTTGTTTCTGCAGACTATGGAACTACAATGAGATGGGGTCATAAAGCTAACCCGGATAGGTGGTTCATAAACTTACAACCACAATTCCAAGAAGTTGTAGACGCAATGGAAGTCAATGGTGAACCAGATTTAGCTGGTATTTTCAGCGCGGCTTTAATGCCATTGAAAGATATGAAAGATGCAGATATTTTGGACCAGTATGAAATGAACATGGCTGATGGAAATATAACACCTGACGTTCTAGAACATTTATCTCAAAGAACTACACAGAACCATAAAGATGGTATATTTGGTGAAGAGTTTAGAAAGAAAGTTAGGAGACAGAAGGAAGAGAACCTATTGTACATGACCTTGCAAACGAAAGTTTACAAATGTCATAAAAACTTTACTTTGCAGACAATGAAATGAGAAGGATGAATATTTAAGAAAACTCAAATGGACAGTACCAAATGAAATGTTAGTATTGAAAAACATGTTCCTTGACAAAATAAAACCAACTACAGAAATAAATGACGCAAGACTGAACATTGGGTAAAAGCTTTCCCATTCACAAAGATATTATTGGTAAATGAAAGAAAACCAGAATGGCTACAAAAACATATATTTGGAAACGAGCTTATTCCATATGGACAAGCTCTGTTGAAGAGCTTGAACCGGAAACTCAGGAAAGAGTCATGCAAAACATACGCGAAGACTCAAATACAAACTATGACAAAATCTTTCTAGGATATAGGTTACCTGAGATGGGCGACCAGAGCCCAAAGGCAAAAAGGACATGGGAAATTTACAACATACTAGGTGAACATGAGGCAAAGATGCAACAACTTGAAGCAGAGGGCAAGTTACCAAAAGCGACACCAAAGAAGAAGAGTAGAACAAAGTGAAAATAGTGAAGAAGTAACTTCATCTAGTGAAAGTAGTGGCAATGAAGGAAAAAGAAGAGTTAAAAACTCAGTCAGGAAGAAAGTAAAGCTTGGTCCACGTGGGTTCTATTATGACACATAAATCCAACTATTCTATATTTTACCCATATGAAATGTACGCCGCTCAGAATATAACGCCAACAGTTTTGGATGCCATGAACGGAAATGTTTCCGAATGGTATAACGAATGCGACAATGCCATTAGAAGGTCAGAAATAGTTCCTGGAACTTACGAATATACAACTGCTGTTTCTTATGGAAATGTAGTGAGTTTGGAGAAGGTTCTTCAACAACAGTAGATATTGCTTGCGACAGGTTTCATATAATTTCTATTGACAACTCATTCTTATACGTGGAACAAGACATTGAAATAAAACCTTCTGCCAAGTTGTCTGACAAGAAAGGTTGCAATGGAATTTTCTATGTCGGATACCAATATGCTCCAGAAGTTTTCATGGGATATATATATTTCTAACTCTGACTTAGTTCAAACAGTTGGGCAAACTATGAATGGTTCGCTTTGAGAAACTCAGTACACACCACAAGCTAGAGAACAAACAGACCAGTTGCCACCATTGAGAAAATAAGAAGACTTGACCCTAACGTTCCAGGAGTTTATGTTAACCTTTTCTGGACAAACTGCAGCAGCAGTAACCAAAGTAAAACTGAAACTTAGAGTTCCTTTGTCATCTTTCCTCATCTTCAGGTTTTTAAGATACTTGCAAACTGGCAGGAAAAATTTCTATTGAACTTACTCCAAGCAAAAATAACTTAGTCATTGCACCAACACAAGACCCATTCACTATTACAGACGTAGAGGGAACAAATAAAACGTCATTCGCCGAATTTTGCAAAGACAAAGTTGACTTAGACTTTGTTTTCTCAAACTTCAACACTGAAGTAAACTATTATTTCAATGCTGCTGGAACTGCTTGGGACCCAGTTAAGTTCACATGCGAAAAATTTGAATGCAAAGAGAATAGAAAGCAGACTTGCAGTCTATATGTTGGACCCAGATATTTCAAATGCTTTAGCTGCCAAATATATTGCAGTTCCACTTATGTTCCCTATACACCAAATATCTGTCAAAGACTTTGCAGGTGAAGTTGGAAACCAAAGTGCTGACCCAGGTGCAAGAACAGATATTGCTTTAACAACTGCAATGAAACATGCAGATACTATGTTTGTACTGTTCAGACGAACTATAAATGACTATTCTTGTTTCTACAACCCCGGTATTAAATATCATATAAACATAGATGGCAAATATTATCCAAGAGAGAATATTCTACAGTTGAGGATATGAGGTCATACAACTTGACATTAGATGCTATGAACTTTAACAACAACTTCACAACAACCATTAACCCTGAAATGCAAAGTTCTATTATGCCATATGTGAAAGTATGGACTCATACAGGAGGTCAAAAAACTCAATATACAAATGGAGACCGTTCAAACTTTTGGCTTGGCATTCCATTTGCTGACTCAGAAGACTTTATGGGTGGTATTTCAACTGTTGGTACAGTTCAAATACAATATACTGGTGACAGAGACGGTCCAGATGAACTGAGAGCAAAGAAGTTTACAAACCAATAGCACTTTTCACGGAAGATGCTCTTTTGAAGATTCGTTCGATGAAACCTGCTGGGGCTCCTCAGATTGGCATAACGACAGCTTCCATCGAGCAGATTTTGGCAGCAGGTCAGTAAGTTGTTTTCTGAACTGACTTCTCTCCGTCAAATATTGACAGTACGCCAGTTTTGACATAAAATTGTATTATATAACTTTCCTTTAGAAATATCTGTAAGTTTTGAAGTTATATTTTTGTCTGCTTCAAGAACTTTCACCATTTCAGTATACCAACTTTCTTTGCTTTATGAAAATATTTTTGGTTCAGCAAAGACTGCTATATATAACATTTTCATTGTTTGTATAAAGAACTATTCTGTCAATGTATTTGTATTGTTTGTGTGTAAACTTTGTTTGCTTCAATTCGAAGAGATACTCAAATACGTCCATCTTTTTATTCTAAGTAAAATGTCATTTCCGAAAAATAGAAGCGTAAGTGTTTCAAAAGGTTTAATGGCGGTGGCAGATGTGAAGTTAAATTCACCAAACTCAAACAAACAGTCAAAGTGTATTGTCAATGTCAAGACAGAGATGTTGAAGTGGGGAAACCATACGAGGACGAAGATGGTATAACAATTGTTCCTGTAAAAGAACAACCAACATACCCTGAAGTTAGCAGAGACTTAAGTTCTGTTGCAGATATTCGAAACGACTACCAACAACTGAAGACAAACTTCAAACTCAGGAGAAGATTTGTCAAGCTTTAAGTATAATGTTAAACTTGGTCGAACACAACCCTGTAAAATGAACTCATATGTCATTGCACCTCATGAAGTTTTGAAAGAACTATTGAAACTTTTGACAGAGGCAGACGATATAAACATCAAAGAAATAGAACCCGACGTTAGTTGCTGTGGTGTTTCATATAATGTCATTGACAAGATATACGTTATGAAAGGAGGTGAAACGTTGAACTTAAAATATAGTTTCCCAGACGTTATAATAAAAATATTTGACGACCACAACATTTCATTAAAGTTTATTTGCTAAGTAAAATGGCAGAAGACATAGTGGTTTATACTATTACGACTAAAAACCCTGAGTCATATAATTCTATAACAACAAACTTACAAAGTCCTCAAGGACGATATTGTAAACTAACTTTTAAACACAATGACGACTAAAGCCTGTTTGCTCTTTTGACACCAGAAGATTTTATTGTTGTGAATGGTAAAAAATACTCCTTTGAAGATACTTACTCAGATATACCACCAACAGGTTTTGTTGACTTATTTAATACTTTAAGTACGGTGTAAAATGTGCTGCAACTAGAGCAGGTTTCATTATGTTTGGATGTCCGACTGAGTTTACTATAAACAATATGAGCTATAATACAAAAACTTATATCTGGTTTTTACTACCAACAGTTTCCTATAACAGGAAAAGGTGTCATACAAGGAATGTCTGTTCCATTGACTTTAAGTACACCTATTTTATATATTGTTTCAAACTTAGGTTCAAAGTGTTATTCGAATGTCGACAGAAACTACTATGACCAAAAGATACTTATGCGTATAAACAACACTTTCTCTGCTGGTTTGCCTATTGTTCATTCGAATGCAGAGTTTCAGCTTTTAGTAAACTCAAACACTTTAGCAAACATAAACTTAACCTTAGTTGACGCAAACTTGTTCCTGTAAAACTTTTATGTCCTATGTATTTGTCAATGACGGCAGAAATTTCGAATTGGAAGATGCAACTGGTGAAAGTATTGTATTACAAGAACAACTTCAACAACAAATAGCTCAAGAACAACAAATGCAACAAATAGCTCAAGAACAACAAATAGCTCAAGAATAAAAAAAATATTTTTTTTATTTTTATAAAAATGTACAGAATAGATTTTCAGATTTTTATGACTTCCAAACATTCAGAAATATGTGTCCATTTCGAGACTATAACAAAGCAGTCGAGAATTTGAAACGTTTAGTCATTTATGTCGACTCTGCCCCAGAATGTTATGTTATGAAAGAATGGGATGTAGTCTTTAACAAACCAAGAGCAAAATAGTTTCAGAACAAGAATGTAAACAGAAACTTAAGAAAATAAAAGTCGTACAAGTTGGCATGAAGATGTTAGATGCTTGGGATATCTTATTGTCAAAGTTAGAAGATTTTTCAGTTCGTGGTATAAAGTTTTATACACCATCTCCAAACTTCTATTCTATCTTCACTGGATATAAATACGAACAAGTAGAATGGAAAGAAAATGTTATAGAAGCTTGGTTAGACCATGTCAAAGAAATTATATGCAATGGAAACGAAAGAGTCTATGAGTATATCTTATGTTGGTTTGCAAACATCTTACAACATCCAAGTGCTAAAAATGAAACTGCTCTCATTATAATTGGAAAACAAGGAACAGGTAAGAACACTTTCTTTACAGATATCTTATGCAAACTGTTAGAGGGCTATTCGAACCCTAATATGACAAACTTAGAAAACATCTGCGGTAAATTTAACTCTTCAATAGAGAATATGAAACTTATAGTATGTAACGAACTTCAAAGTATAGATACAACAAAAGTTTTGAACTCAGATGCTTTGAAGAGTCTTATAACAGACAAAGTTGGAGTTGTTGAAAGAAAATATAAAGACCAAAGAGTTTGTGAAAATGTTGCAAATTTCATTATGGTTTCAAACAATGTTGTTCCGATGAAGTTAGAAAGTTCTGACAGAAGATATGTAGTTGTCAGAACGTCAGAAGCTCATATGCAAGATACAGAATATTTTGACGCTTTGTCAGAAACTTTGACATCTGACTTTTACAACCACTTGTTCTCATATTTCATGACATTAGATATTTCAAAGTTCAATCCAAGACAAATTCCACATACCGAAGAGAGACAAACATTGTTAGAAGCAAACAAGAGTGTATATGAACTGTTCATAGATGAAACTGACTTTGTGTCATTAGATGAAAGGTCATTGTACGATTCGTATAAACAATATTGTCAAGAATATGGTTATATGACAGCGTCTAAACGAACATTCTTGGCAAATGTCAAAAGTCTTTTAGACGTACAGAATGGTGTATATACAAAGAAAAATTTTTTATGAGTAAATTTAAAAAAAAATATTTTTTTATCCGATAGAAAAGATGGCAAAATTCATCTCAGTAAACAAGTACATGTCAGGACTTAAAGAAGAACTAGACCCATTCACATATTTGAATGTTTACTTCTACCATTTTGAAAAGTCTTCATTCAGCAAAGTTTGGAACATCGAACCAGTTAAGTTTGCTATTGTGACTAAAAATGGTGCGAAATTTGAAGACTTAGACATAGAAGGTTTGTTAGCAGTCAAAGAAAGTTTTGACAGAAGGTTTTCAAACCTTAAAGAAGGCAAAGCATACAAACTTGTTATACCTTATGAACCAAAGAAAGCAGACGACTATGAATATTATGAGTCTAAAGATAGTTGAAGTTCAAGGTAAATTGGGTAAAAAGATTTTAGAGTCTAAGCCAGTGTTTGCTCCTAAAGAGGAAGAGAACATTGACATTGACCCAGAAATGTTCTAAAAATAAAATTTTATTTTTACATGTCAAATTTCTTCTTCTCTGGTTCAGGTTCTTTCTTCTCTTCTTCTACTTTCTTTTCTTTCTTTTCTCTCTTCTTCTTTTCTGGTGGAGTTATGTCAAACTTCTCAGAACCATATTTTTGTAAAAGTTCTTTGTCCTTTAATAGCTCATCTATTCTGTTTTCTATTTCATCTTCAAGAACAGCGCATGTGTCTTCTTTGCATTCTAAGAACTTTTGTTGGACTTCATCTTCCAATCGGTGTCATCTCTGTCAACAAGTCTGTCATTGACAAATTTTAAGACTGCTCTGCTTAATGTTTTATGGTTCTTGTCATATTCCCAGAAACAGAACTTTAGAACAAATTCACCTTTCTTGTTTACACTATGTAAGATTTTATGGTCGACAGATGTTTTGCTGTCGAAAAGCTTGTCTCGAATATAGATAGCGAAATCGCTAGACATTTTCTAAAAGATAAAAATTTTAATTTTTCTAAAAATATGTTAGAAAAAAAGTTTGCTGACATTGACAAAAAATTTGAGAACGTTTTAAACAAGAACAAGAGGAAGTTGGAAAATGCTCAGATAAAACCCATACATGACAAGTTCTTATTTGCTCAGAATGGTATAACAGGTCTAATTGCACCGCCTGGGTCGGGTAAGACTTTCACTTATCTTAAAATGGCTGCACAACAACAAGAACTAGATGAGAAGAACCCATTCTATGAGTTAGTTGTCATTTGTAGTACTTCTGGTCAATTTGACCAAACCGTCAATTCGTTCAAAGATATTATAAAGAAGTCTAAGTTAGTATGTATAAAAGACTCTGAGTTGTTAGATTGGATAAAGAAGTACCAAAGAAGAGTTTTGAAGTACAATGCTATAAATGAGTATATAAATTCTAAGTTTAAAGACCCAAATGAGGAAATGCAGAGAATATTAGAGAAGAAACACTTCAGAAACAAACAGAAAGAGATAGAATACATTTCGAAGAAATTGCAATCTTACGATTGGAAAACGTACCCTCACAGATGTCTTCTTATCTTAGATGATTTCGCCTCTCATCCTTTGTTAAAGAACAGAGAACAAGACATGTGTCGAATTCTTAAGAAGCTCAGACACTTTAACATCTCAGTTGTCATTTGTGTACAGACAGCAAAGAGTTTAAGTAAGGATGTAAAGAGAATACTTACTGACATTGTACTTTTCCCCGGATTGTCCGAAGACGATTTCATGGAACTTATGAAAGAGTCCATGGCAGGTAAGTTTGACAGACATGAACTATGGGAGAAGTACAAAGTCATACAAGACCCTCATACTTCTTTCAGAATTCATATCTACGCAAACAAAGTTCAAATTGTAAAAAGTCAAGCTTGAAAAATGTAAGTGTTTCGTCTTAGTCTGTTGTGGTGCTGGGGCTGTCGGTTCTTCTGGCTTTGGAAGACATTCAGGAAGAGGAACGTCAGTCATCCGTTTGTGTCCTGTCGGAAGGAAAATTTTTTCCAGTTGTCGGGAAAATTTTTTCCTGTCGGAAGGAAAAATTTTTTCTGTCGTTCGACCAAAAAGTTCTCAATTTTCGAAAATTTGAATGGTTTACGGACGGACAACAGGAAAATTTTTTCCAGTTGTCAGGAAATTTTTTTCCAGTTGTCGGGAAATTTTTTTCCAGTTGTCGGGAAATTTTTTCCTGTCGGAAGGAAGAACTTGGAATGCCAGAAGGAAATTTTTTTCCTGTCGGAAGGAAGGACTCGGAATGCCAGAAGGATTTGACAAGGCAATTTACCTTATAGAGCTACCTGAGCCATCTGAAGTCAAGCTTGAAAAATAAATGGTTCATCTACTCTACTTGTTTGAAGTTGTCAAAATACTCTGTTATTTTTTCCTTTAACAATGGCAAATCTTCTTTGAAGGTAAGTATTGTACAACCTTTAATATCATAGTGTGTTTGAGGTAACGTATCTTGAACTATTTGTTTCACATCTTCATTTGGGGTCATTGAAATCGGTAAGTTTTCGCGATAGAACCAATTTCTGTCAGATTTGTAAATCTTAGCAAGGTCGTAAAAGCTTTTGTTGTTTCTTCTGACTAAATGCAACATAACCATATCTCTGTCTTCTTCATTTTCCATCTCTTCAGTATAAATCATATACTTATAGTTCTTTTCCTTTCCTTTTGGTACCGAACGTGGTATTCTTTTCTGAAGGCTTTTGTCTTTTGCTTCAAGCTTGTTCTCTAGCTCTTTTCTAATTTCTGTATGTAAATCGTCAAGAAGTTTGTAAACATGCCATGCATAACGAGGAGAAGCCCATATTGCAACAGCATTTACTAAAAGTCTATGAACATACCAACCTCTTAAATTTATTGGCAAATTTTTACGATTTTCATGTGTTTTATGCAAGACCGAGAATTCTCGGTCTAGAGAAATTTCACTCAAAAGTTCTTGTGTGCTTTGGTTTCTGAACCAGTCGTCTGCGTGTTTAGTATCTGGTGCAAAACATGCTGTCAAAATACTTTGCATTTGGTACATATCGTCTTTGACCGAACGAATGAGACGGAGTTGTTTGTTAAACTGAACCCACTCATATTCTTCATTTATAGCTTCATGGACTATAACTGTTGTTGTGTTCTCGGTTGTTGACATATCTGTCTTTACATACAAAATAAAAAAAATATTTTATAAAAAACTAGCGTTATTTCCTGACTTTCACAAAAGACCAAAAATAAACGCTTTACATGTATTTTTCAGCAACTTCGTCAAATAATTTTATAGCTTTACCTATCTCATCTACTTCAAACGTTTCTTTACCTTTCGTGGGAGCACCATACATTTTCTCAAACTTTTCAAGTAGTTCTGTTTCAGCAGCTCTCATATCGTTAACGAACACAACCTTGACTCTATTGACTATACTGTCATATCTTAGAGTTATATTATATGTTCTTCCTATCTTATATCTTTTTGTATTGAAGTCCTTCGGTTTCTGAACGATGTAAAGTAAGCCTTCACTGCAACGTTCAGTATCGAATGAACCATATGTTATGAAGTTATATCCAACAACTGGGTCTAACCATAACAAAACTATTGGTATAAGACTTTTGTCTATAAGATATGCTGCAGTTCCATAGAATCTTACCGATATCATAAGCTCAGGATTTCTTGTCAAAATTTTCTGAGTAGAAGCATTTTTAACCCAGTCCTTTGCTTTCTTTCCAGATGGAGATAAAATGTCTGACAAAGAATATTTGTTGTATTTCTTTGAGTATCTTACGTTTAAATCACCTATTCTAACCATTTTGGTGTCATTGTCTATCTTTTTAACTGTTTCAAACTCAGTGTTTGTCATTTCTGTCTTTACATACAAAATAAAAAATATTTTTTTAAAAAAACTAACTTTATTTTTTCTATCTTGTATAAAAGATATGATTTCAGGGATTTTTTACGAAGTGCAAAAGTTCTCTTCGTAAAAAAATAACAGTTATATAATGAAATTTGGTCATTTTTTTACGATTTTCATGAGTTTTTTGACGAAGTGTCAAAGTTCTCTTCGTAAAAAAATAACAGTTATATAATGAAATTTGGTCATTTTTTCACGATTTCAGGGATTTTTTTGACGAAGTGCAAAAGTTCTCTTCGTAAAAAAATAACAGTTATATAATGAAATTTGGTCATTTTTTCACGATTTCAGGGATTTTTTTGACGAAGTGTCAAAGTTCTCTTCGTAAAAAAATAACAGTTATATAATGAAATTTGGTCATTTTTTCACGATTTCAGGGATTTTTTTGACGAAGTGTCAAAGTTCTCTTCGTAAAAAAATAACAGTTATATAATGAAATTTGGTCATTTTTTCACGATTTCAGGGATTTTTTTGACGAAGTGTCAAAGTTCTCTTCGTAAAAAAATAACAGTTATATAATGAAATTTGGTCATTTTTTCACGATTTCAGGGATTTTTTTGACGAAGTGTCAAAGTTCTCTTCGTAAAAAAATAACAGTTATATAATGAAATTTGGTCATTTTTTCACGATTTCAGGGATTTTTTTGACGAAGTGTCAAAGTTCTCTTCGTAAAAAAATAACAGTTATATAATGAAATTTGGTCATTTTTTTCAGCAAAAATATATTTTAGGTGAAGAGGTGAGATCTCACCTGTTTTTTCACCTCTTTTTTCACCTCTTGAATTTTCATGAGGGTCACCAGGTCACTCGGTCACTCGGTCAACTAACATCTTTTTGAAAATGGTGACAACATGACATTTTGACAACAACACAGGAAATAAACTTCTTCGTATATGTTTTGTCATGATTTCATCGAAATGAGTGTAAATCAGACAAAAATATATTTTATGTTAGCATGTTAGATCTAACACGTTTTCTAACCACTTTTCTAACCTCTTTTCTCACCTCTTGAATTTTGTATAAAAGATATGATTTCAGGGATTTTTTTACGAAGTGTCAAAGTTCTCTTCGTCACTCATAACAGTTATATAATGAAATTTGGTCATTTTTTTCAGCAAAAATATATTTTATGTTAGCATGTTAGATCTAACACGTTTTCTAACCTCCTTTCTAACATAACTATTTACAAGCGTTTTACATGGTATATGTTCCATATGTCATTTTACTCAGAATTTTATACAGAATTCAATAAAAATATATTTTATGTTAGCATGTTAGATCTAACACGTTTTCTAACCTCCTTTCTAACATAACTATTTACAAGCGTTTTACATGGTATATGTTGCGATGGTTCATGACTTTAAACAGTTTTGTAGCTTCTATTTCTTCACGAAGGATATCAAAAGTTTTCACAATATTGAAAGTTTCTTTATATTTCTTCTTGACGTCAGATAGAAGGAAATCGTCAGCAGTTGGATAGTTTTTGTTCAGAAATTCTAACATGTCCATTTTATCTTCTGCTGGTTTCTCTACTTCTTTCTTTAAGTCAGCATAGTCGTTTCTCATACGTTCTATCTCTTTGACGGAGTAGTTATATTTCCTCATTGCTGCTTTACATTTTGAACATTGTGGGTTCATTTTAGCATTGTACATTGAAATTTGACCTGCTAGAACAACTAAGGCGTCAATGGTTTTCTTTAAATCTGAAGCAGTTGGTTTTATTTGTTCGTTCCATACTTTACCTCTTCTATCTTTATCTCTTATCTGCCATACACATTTTGCAACTAACGAAACAAAGTTGTCGTAGGTCTTAAATTCTTCAGATTTATATATGTCAATGAAATATACCATATCGCAGTCTTTGTCCATGACTTTGTGGTTGCAATGAAATCCAAGAAACTCATAGTTAACCTTTCGTATGAACTTCTTTATTTCTACTGAGTCAGTTGCTTTGACTTCAATTTCGTCGAATTCAGGAATAGTTAGTTTTTGTTGTTGGATTTCAGGCAATTTGGGCAAATGGTCGATGAGGTCCTCCATTTCATAAAGATACTGTTCATTTGTTTCATCTTTTGCAGTGCAATCTAAATCTCCTTGGAGAAGTTCTTGCTTTATCTTCTGGATTTCTGTTTCGAAAGTATATGAAGAAGGAATGAAGCTTTTCATCTCTACTAACATTGAAGTTGGGTTCATGACTAAAGAGTTTGGTGAAGTTGTTGCTAACATGTTCTTACAATAAAAATAAAAAATATTTTTTTAAAAAAACTAACTCACTTTTTCTATCTTAAGGAAATTCATGAAAATTCAACGAGTGAAAAAACAGGTGAAAAAACAGGTGAGATCTAACCTCTTCACCTAAAATATATTTTTGCCGAATTCAGAACAAAACTCAAGAGTTTTGGTTGAAAAAACAGGTGGAGCCAAAAGTGGCTCGACCTCAAAACAAGCATTTTGTGAAGAATATAGCAACCGGAAGAAAACCGGCGGTTGCTTTTTATACAAAATTCAAGAGGGTGAGAAAAGAGGTGAGAAAACAGGTGAGATCTCACCTCTTCACCTAAAATATATTTTTGGTTCATTTACACTCGTTACGATGAAGAAGTCTTGACATTTTCCCGACTGTTGTCAAAATGTCATGTTGTCACCATTTTCAAAAAGATGTTAGTTGACCGAGGGACCGAGGGACCCCCTCATTTCTACCCTCATGAAAATTCAAGAGGGTGAAAAAAGAGGTGAAAAAAGAGGTGAGATCTCACCACTTCACCTAAAATATATTTTTCAATACTTTTTCAGCACTTTTCCGTAGTTGTATATGAAAGACAATTCGAGATAAAAGTCATAGTACAATGGTATTATATGTTGCACACCATTTGTTGTGAACCAAACTTGAAAGTCAGAGAAACTGTTACTAGGTGGTTCGTAGAATTTAGAAGCAATGTCATAAAAGTCCTTACCGATACATAGAAAACTATTGTTGCTTGAACTGAAACTTGCATGGCACATAACATTTTGAGGGTCAAACACGTTTCTATAAACTGTCAAATCTGCTGGTGGAAGTATAAATTTAAATGGACCATCTGGTGGTAATGGTTCGTTCTGGTTTAGTAACCGAAGAAATTGTGCCCAAGAACGTTTGTCTACTTTCCAAAATAAAAACTCTGTATCTCTTGGAGGGTTAATTTCAATCTTTTGAAATGAAACGGTGGAGTTCATCTTGTCATATTCTAGTTTCAGATAGTATGTTCCATTTAGTAAAGAGTCGTATTTTTCTTGAAATTCCCAATAGTATTTGTTCATTTGAGTTTGAAAGTCATTTAGAGTTTTCTCAAGACTTTCGTCTGAACGAACTGTAAAGATTCTCATTTCATCAAATTTGTCTATTAGACCATCAGAACCTTTATACTGCCCATGAAAATATACTGCGAACATAAACGCGTTAGTTCTATTTGAAAACAAAACTCTTCTAAATCCTATTGCCTTTGCATCTGAAGGACTTTGAAGCCAACGAACTGGATAGTCAAACCTGTATGCTCGGGATGAAATTTCTTCATCTGAAATAGTCCTACCAGCATTTGTATAGATATAGTCTAACGGTTTTGTATCTGCTACTTTTGTTCTTTGTTTTTCAACCTGAAGCATTTAATATATGTAAAAATATATGGTTTAAAAAACGTTTTTACTTCATGCAATTTTTTACTTCATGCAATGTTTTATTTCTGTGCCGTCTTCAAGTATGCCCCAGTACTTACGCTTGGAGAGGACATGAACTTCGGAAAATACCTTATCTAGCTTAAAACAGCCCATCTTTTCACCGACCATTCCCATTTCAATGAGTTTGTTGTATCCTTCTTCGTTCGTCATGAGTGCGTCAATGTTCTCATAGTAAACCTTCACTTTGGATTTGACTTCGGAGAAGAATTTGTTGTAGTTGTCAAGGACTGCCTTTGCGAACTGAGGGTAAGACCAATGTTCGACAATAGGTTTTAATGTGGTTACTAAGCCATTTTGACCTTGAGTGAATTCGTACTTCAAAACAAAAGGAGAAAACCTTTCAACAAAGTTGTCGACCTTCTCATAATGTTTACTCTTCATCTCTTGAGGTTTCTTAATGGAATATCCCCATGTCGAATTCATAAGCAATTTGAGTGTCATTGCAAGTTTGGGGTTTGAAGCTTTCCTAATATCATACAGTTGTTGTATGACTTTTCCAACTGTATAGTTCCTTCCAGGAACTCACCATCTTCGTTTGGAATTCCAGTCGGAATATATTGGACAAACCTCATGTACGCAGCGTTAAGGTCGACATAGTATATCTTTTCGTTTGAGTCGAACTTGTCGCAACCAATTGGTCCAGTTTGTGGAAATTCAAGTGAGTCTCTTATCTTCTGAGAAACTTCTCCTGTTATCTCATAAACATCGTCGAAGCAACCTGTTTCATATAAAACCTTCTGACCTAACTCAGATGCTCTCCAATACAATTTGACGTCAATTGGATGTCTCAATGGAAGTTTGTTTATAGCATCTTGAAGTTCTTGCAACCTCATTGGAAGTTCTTCTGGTTCAGGTTGGTATCCGAACAATCCAACCCTTGTGGAATTGTGTACTTCTTTTGTACTAGAACTTTGTCTGGAACAACTTTTGGTCTTGCTAACAATGAAAAGTTTGTTTCGTCTTTTGGTACAAAAGTTTCTGTCAGCTTGTCATCTGGAATTGGTTCCAACAAACCTTTCTCGAAAAGAATGTTTACAGCTCTGACAATGTTGCACTTGCCTTTTCCGAACAATGGGTTTGTAAGACTTTCGTTCAACATGAAGTGGTTGTGGACAATTACAATCTTCAACCATGGTAAGTCTTTGTCAACAACATAGTCGTCATGTGAAGAACCTTTAGCTGTAGGTATGTTGACTCGGATATTGACATTTGCCAACGGTGCAATTTTTGCCAATTGACCTCTGAGAATGTACCTTGTCTTCACACATGACTCAAGATACTTCATTTTCTCATCTGTAACAAGACCAGAGTTCCTGAGACATGTAAGAATGCAAGGTTCATTGACAATTGTTTCAATTGAATTGTAAATTCCATACCTTGTCAAGTCAATGTCAGACTTATTTCTGAAGGGGAAGTATCCAGCATGTTGTCTGACTGCTTGAGGGTTAGGTTGGTACCATTCGAACTTGACACTTGCAATTCCTTCAATTGCATTCAAAATGTCTGAGTCGGAGTCAACCATTTGTTCTCTCTTTGTAGTCTTGAAAGCGTCAAGAAGCATTGCAGCTGTTGTGACATTGCCATGTGCATAGTAAATGTGACCATCCAAATCTGTTATGGTCAATCTGAGATTGTGTCCTTTCTTATTTCCGTCTTGTATGGCAGCAAGTACACCCATGAAGCCTTCTTTGTTCTTTCCTTCGTCAAAGTTTACTGTAAAGGTTCGACCAGATGTAATTTGACTTCTAACTTCACGGTACTTCTCATATGCATATCTTGTTCTTTCCATGGGAGCATGACCATCCTCTGCACTACCTTTTTTCCTTCTCAAAGGATGCAATTGTTCGTCATGTTTCCAGTAGAATCTGGCAAAGCCGTCGTGTCCTTCAACTTGAGGTTCACTAACATCGAAAGGCATGTCCATAAGACGTTCTTCTTCTAACCTCTCTAGTCTGTTTGGATAATTTGCACGTGCTGTTTCCAAATCCATTTCGTAGCGAAGACCAGACAATTTGTCATAGACTTTTATGGGTCTTCCTTTCTTATATTTAAACTTCTTCGAAACTCTCCAACCATATCTTTGCAACTCTGCTTTTATTTTAGCAGATTTCTATCCATTCTATATGGGGGCATTTTTATAAAAATAAAAAAATATTTTTTCTTTACTTTACATAACCGCCTGCTGCCATAAGTCTTTGACGCCAACCCATACCAGCTAATGAAGGTTGACTTGGTTTAGTTTCCAAACTAAACTTTGGTTTTGGTTTATCTTCAGTTTTTGGTTTTTCTTCTTCTATCGGTTTTTCGTCACTTTTCGGTTTCTCTGACTTTACTTCACTTGCAGGAACAGTTGTGTCGTCAACATCTTCATAAATATCATATGCCATTTGTTTTTGTTTTCCTTTCAACTTTTTGTGTTTGTTGTAAAGTTTAGAATATTTCGACTCTAAGTCAATGAGATGTTCTATAATGAACTGTTGGTCAGTGAAGTAAACTTTTCCATCTTTGTCTCGAAGCTCCTTCAGACTTCAATATTTTATTTGTGAGAGTCTGTTTCTTTTTTGAGATACTAGCCGTTCCATTTTTATGAAAAGTGACTTTGTAGTTAGGGTTTGTATTTCCAGACCTGGCACTTTCTATTATTGAATTTTTCTCTTCATCTGTAAGTTCTTTGACGGGTTTTGACAATGGTTCTGAACTTTTTGTTTGTGGTGTCAAATCTACCGTTTCAACTTCTTCGGTCATTTCATCTCAGTAAAAAATTTTAGTTTGGTTTGTTTTCAACTGGTTGTTGAGGTTTTTTAAGTCGGTCTAAAACTTCCTGAGGTATAGGAAGAACTTGACAAACACGTTGTGTAACTGCTGGAAGTCGACAAATCCATCTTGAACCCATTTGTCTCAATGCTGTATTGTTCATTTCATCTCAGTAAAAAACTTTACATTCCCCACGTTTGAGGTGGTTGAGGTTGGTTATTGTTTACCCACTGTTGTGCATGGTTATATCCTCTGTTAAAGAATCTTTCACCTTGGTCCATATAGTGTCCTGCTTGGTTATAGTAGTCATTTGCTTTGTTATAATAGTTTCCTGCTTGTCTTCCTACATTGTCCATCCATCCTTGAACTTTTCCTCTTGTTTCAGGATTTGGAATAAGATTTGTTGCATCTCGTGCTACATCCCAACCTTTCTGTACAGTTTGTATAATAGGTTGTGCTTTCTCTTTAAGTATACCTAATGTACTCAAAATCTTCCTTCCAACTCCAAATACACCTCTGGCTATTGTTCCCACTGCGGGTAAAAATCTGGATGCAACTCCTGCTAACGCGCCAAATAAACCCATTTCTTATGGGTTAAAAAATGACGAATCCAAACAAGGACCCCTATGTTTCTAAAGCGACAAAGAAAGCACTCATGATAAAAATCTTTAGTTCAACACCAAATGCTTGGTTTATGGATATCTTGGAAAACATTCCGAGAGTTAGAACAGATGGACCACCATACTGGCTAATATTTGTCGGTCAAAACACAAGATACTGTGAAGCCATACCATTACAGTCCAAAAATATTTTAGATGTGAAAACTGCTTTGACAATATTCGTTGACAAATACCATCCAACAAAACTGACATCTGACTGTGAAAGTTCTTTCAAATCAGACGATATTAAAAACTATCTGCGTTCAAAAAATGTAAACCAATATTTCATTGTCGACCAAAACCATTCTGCTCTTGGTGTCATTGACGGTTGTATAAAAATGTTAAGAGACTTAAACCAACCACAAGGTGGTGAAGCAAATGAAATGTCATATGACGACAAATATAGACACTTCTCCATGGCAAAGATGAGACAAGTTTTAAATATTTACAATAGCCGTAAACAAAAAGGTTTGGGAAACCATTCCCCCGAAGAAATGAAAAACAACCCTGACTTAGAGAAAGACTATATATTTAATAATTTAGTCAAAAGAGACAAACAAGAAAGAATGCCGGGCTTCAAACTTCAGAAAGGTGACAAAGTAAAAATAGAAATACCTAAACGCGACCCATATGAAAATACTATTGACTATGACAACAATGGGAACCCGACAGGTACTCACATTCGTGTTCGTAAAAATAGAAGAAAGTATACAAGAGAATATTATGAAGTTTTAGGCAAACATGGCAAAATGTACAGACTGCAAGCAGAAGATAAAACTACTATTGTCAGACCTCGTTTCAAACTTGTCAAAGTTCAAGGTGGTATACTTTCAAAGACAGTTCCTAACAAATATAAGACAACTCCTGACGAATATGCTAAAGAAGTTGAAAATGACGACTAAGCATTTCTATACCATGCGTAAACTGTCATGTAAGGTGGCATGTAGTCTTTACTTTGTCCCGTTGTTTGCGTATATCCTGAAACGCGATGTATATGGTTTCCTCCTTCCTCAGTGTTACTCAAGTAACAATTTATAGCAAACTGAACGTCGTCTTTAACATCATATCCTTTACCTTTTGTCATTCCTGTCCAATCCCAATATCTATGCTTATGCCAACCATCTCGAGATGTACTTAAATCTATGTAGTGACTGTGTGCAGGTAAATTTGCACCTGAAATCGTTTTACTTCCACCTGTTTCCTTTGAAGAGTTTGCACAATACAAAAACCTGTCGACTATTTGAGTCCACGTACCAAAACCCAGAACTGTTTCTGGTCTGGTAGAGTTCATTGACGTATAAATAGAGCCTATAGGATATAATGTTTGAAGTATTTCTGTCTTTAATGTTTGAAGCTCTGTTTTGTCTGCTTTCTTATCTAACATTGTTGGTAGTTCATATGCTTCAAAGTTTCTGGCATGATCTTCGATATTCCTGCAACTGTTATCTAAATTGTTAAGAGTATCTTTTACACTAGTGCTTGGATTCTCTAAAGGTGCACTTGAACCAAGGTCAAAGTTCAATATTATATCATCTGCTGTAAAAGTTGTAAAACTTGTATGTGTATGTCCAACGTCACTTTTCCTGTTTAAGGTTTCTTGTAAGTTTGTAATATTTGCAATGGTATGTGTATGTCCAACGTCACTTTTCCTGTTTAAGGTTTCTTGTAAGTTTGTAATATTTGCAATGGTATGTGTATGAGTCTTTTTAGAATATTCGTTTTCAGCTCTTGTCACTTCACTTGACATTTTATTGTCAACATATGTTTTGTCTGCTAGTTCAGGATGAGTATGTTCTTTTGTTGCATAAGCTTTGTTAGCTCTTTCTTCTTCTTTTGCTATTGCATCGTCTACATATTCTTTGTCAGCTTTGTTGCCAACATCTGCTTTCAAAAGAAGTTCAGATATAGGTTTCTCGTTTAAAGTTCCTTTTGTTGGATTTATACAAACAGTATGGTTCTTATTGTCTTGAAATAGAAACTCATCTGTCATTGGGTTTAAAGTCAGTTTTAAGTTTCCTTCTTTCAATGACTCAGATATCTTAGAATAGTTTGAAAAGTTTGTTGTGTTCTTATTTAGAGCTTGTATAATGAGTTGTCGGTTGTGTTGTATTTCTCTCATAGACGCTGTTTCATTTGACATTTTTATTCTAGATAAAATATGCTTTCAATAGAAAAAGAAAATTCTAGAGTTGCTACAACTAAACCATTAGATGAACTTTTTACTAATGTCGGTCAAAAGTTTGAGACAGAGACCGTAAAGCATGAAGGCTATCGTTTTGACTACCCGTTAAGATGGTTAAGAGACCCATCTGTCACAAAAGCTATTGGCTTTCGTAGAATGAAGTTCATTTCAGAAGCCATACATGGTTTCCCATTTACAGTCGGTTTTGAAGTTCGATACTATAACAAAGAAAAACGTATGTATGAGAAATTTGAACAGGGAAAACTTTTACAAGTGAATTTGCTTGTAAACTTAGAAACAACTCTTCAAGCTTTTCAAGAAAAAATAAACGACATCTATATCGAATATGCAAACCAGTATAACATTGACGAGGGAGAGTACCATCTCGATATTATATATGACAGGAAAAATGCAACTGTTAAAATCAATAGAATAGAAGACCTTGGAGAAAACGTTTATATTTCTACAAAATATAACAACTTGGCATGGTATAGATTTATGAGGATGTTAAATCAGCCTGCAGAATATCCAGTACACCCGGACTTTTATGAAGTCGAAAACCCTAATGGAACATATGAAAATGTTTTCGACTCAGATGCTATTATAGTTCATGCTTCATTTTCTGGTGCACAAAACTCTTTTTTATGCTTGGCAAATGACTTTTACGAAAAACCTACAAAGCTATATGAACCACCAAGTGGAAGTATTTCAGACTTTCAAGTATGGTTTACAACAGATGGAAGAAAGAGAATAGTTCCATTATACCATGCGTTTTACTTAGAACTTAGTTTCATATACAACTACTATCGAACGGTAAAAATATAATTTTTTAATACGGTTGAGGTGTTGGATTTGGTTGCCAACTAGACTGTGGTGCAGGTTCAGGCTGTTGTATAACAGGGGCTTGTTCTTCTGGTTCAGGGTCTTTAGGTATAATACCAACGAACTGACCTACTCTTTTACCAATATTTTTGACTCCGTTCCAAATTCCTCTTCCGACAGATTTTATTCCATTCCATATACCTCTTCCAACATTTCGAAAGAAGTTTCCAATACTACTGAAGAAACCCATTTACTACGTGTAAAAATCTAATGTCCACCTAGTCTCTTACGTTTCCTGTTGAGTTCCATAGCATTCTTTAACTGGAGCTCATACATTCTGTTTCTCCTCTGGTAGAAAACATATTCTGGGTCAACTCCTGTGTTCGCGTCATCTGCATAAAGTTGTTTATATCCCACTTCAGGGTTTGTATAAAACTCTTTCCATCTCATATTTGCATACCATGGTGGCAAACCTAACGCAGCGTCATTTGACATGGCAGTTTGCATTTGTACATCTGTTGGCACTTGACCATAGTTTGCCATTGCAGTTTGTATTCTAACTTCATTTGGAATATTCTCTGGGTTTGGTTGTCCAGGTTGCTGTGCATTCGCTAAGTTCTGTGCGTCCATTTAATATTAGATAAAAATATCTCTTACGAGTACATATACTGAACATTTGCAGGCATTGGTTCATCTTCATATTCTCTGTACTTTTCTGCCACGTCAAATAAATAAATGACACAATGGAAAAAACCTAAAACAAGTAGTCCTATTTCAAACCACATTTACTTACTAATAAAATTTCTTTGTTATGACACTTTCTCCGGTTTATAGGACCTCTCTCATATTCTATCTTGTCATATCTAAACTCATAGTCATGTATGTCCTCTAACCATCTCATAACGGTTTCCAAACCACTTTTATCGGATGTAAAGTAAAAGCATGGACAGTTATGTAAAACGTCTAAAGTTTCTAAAGAGTCTCTCAAAGTCCAGTCTACTTGGTATTGAAAATCCCATGTGTTATAGAACGGCGGGTCCACTATAAGAAAACATTTTCCTTGTCTTTATATTTTTCATACAACTCTGTCCAATAACATCTCACAAACTCTATACCCTCAATATATTTTTCTATGTCCTCTTTGAAAACATTTGTATAGTTAAGATATAAAACTTTTGACATAAGTGTTTCAATGTCATGAACTCTTATAGCACCACTATATAATAGTCTAACAGATATACTATCCCAGTCTATATATTCTGCTTTTTTCAAAACCTCTCTCACAATATTTTTGTTATCTAATGGTATACGTTCCATCTTACCTATAGGTATCTTTTCTTTTAACTCTTTCAATATTTTGTTTGTGTCTGGTATATGTTTGAGACGGTCCATATAGTTGTCGAAGTCATTGCATATAATCTTTGAGTCTGGGAATATTGTATGGCACAAATGGGATATATAGAAACTTCCACCGAACAAATCTACAAATGTTAGACCATTCGGTAGTTTCTTAAGTTCTCTCAATAGAATATCTTTACATCTACTCTTATTTCCAAAAAAGGGTAACGGTGGTTTTGTAAAATTCATTTATATATAATAATAAAAATGCTTTTTCCTGAAAAGTGACAGAAAAGTGACAAAACATGAAAACATATATAATTTGTGAAAAGTGAAACAAAAAAGTCAACGGCTGGTCGGCTGGGGTTCGGTCCTCCTCTTGGGTCTTGGGAAAAACATCTTCAGGGCTAGAGGGCACGAAGTGCCTGGAGGCCCTCCGAATATAAACTTCATTTATACTAAACATCCTCAGGGCTAGAGGGCGCAACGCGCCTGGAAGCCCCACTACCTTTTTTTTTTTTTTTTTAAATATATATATAATTATGTTCAAAAAAGTGGATTGAATTAATTTTATTGACAATTTTCTTATGTTTTCGATGAGTTCATCCTCATATATAGCACTTTACCTAAATGATGTTAAACATTGTTCCTAAACGTCAACATTAACTCCAAAATTAGATACCATTCAAATATCACAATTCATAATGTGATATGGTGGTGCTATCACAACAAACGACGATATGATCAAATTCATTTGATTCAGCAAAGAAAATTAAATCAAATTATCAACAAGGATCCAATTGTGAAAGTATATTAAAGTTTTGACACAATTACATTAAATATGTGAACTAATAGAGTGATTAATAATCATCTTAAGGAATTTTATTTTATATTTTCATGAAAAAAAGAGTAATTCTTGTCAAAATACTCATTTTCAAAGAATAACAATCTGGAAAATAAGTGCGGCAAGGAATACTGCTCTTGACACTTTCCATAAATAATATTTAATAAAGATCTAAGAAAATTTGATGATTAAGTCTGCTTGGCTTATAATAGTGGGTCAAGAGCAGACTTAATATTTGCATAGTATCACTTCATTTTGATAATATGTCGTCAAGTGATTCAATCATCGATTTTACAGGTGGCTTAAAAGAACTTAAAGAATTAATTCAGCAGAAAAAGTCACTAATTGTAGTTGATGTATATGCATCATGGTGCGGTGGCTGCAAAGTCCTCGGTCAAAGGCTGCCAATAATTTCAGAGAAAAATCCAGATGTCACTTTTATCAAAGTAGACTGTGAGAAGAATGAAGTGGTAGGATGCCATTTCGATCCACCTTCACTTCCAGGAATATATTTTCTTAGAGCCGACTCTTCCAAAGAGGGATATAAAATTTTAGATGAAATGTATGGCGCAAATATCCAAAAAATCGAAGATTTAATAGCAAAATATAAATAAAATCGTTTTATATATTATAATGCATTAAAGAGTATTAATATAAATCCTTTATAAACTTAATCGACATAAAATAGGATATTCTTATGGAGAAATCCAATGAATTCCAATTGTAATAGCATACATTAAAGATATTAATAATATAATTATGAAACCAATTCATAAAATATATATTTTTGATCTCAATTCAGAATTTCGCAGAAGTTATTCCTATCGATGATACTCATGAAGTTTCCATATCACTACAATCAGTTACATATCAATATATAGATGTAATGTTCAAACAAATTCAATAAATGCAGAACAATACCCTACTTTCCCAACACCTGTTGATAAAAACCTGTTGTTCATGGGCAATTGTACTATAAATTATCACTAATCCCAAAGTATACAATTAAATTATGAAAATCGAGTGAAAATATAAATGTTAAGAAATTTACAAGTTTCTATCATATATTGATTCTTCTCATATGAGTATTGTATACTGTTCTGATACGTGCATGAGATACACCGCATATTTCCAGATTATATGCAAAATTTAGTCTGATTAAAATCCCAAATAATGACATCAACTAAAAATCTCTAAATACATTCCATATAACATTAGTTTAATGTTTAAATTACAGTTTTATTAAAAGGTTAAACGATATCTAAGGCAATAATTGACAAACAAAAAAATTAGGAAATGTAAGGATGTCAATTTGGAAGAAAAGTGAGAAAATTCCTAAAATGCTAAAAATGAATTTTCCAAACGTATTTTTTTATCTCATTTTTTTGATTTTGAAAAAAATTTGGAGAGAAGAACTCTTCGTTTTTGAATTTTATCACGATGGTTTTAAAGTATATTAGACACATGTATTGATATTACTATTTTTGTATATTTTGAGAGAAAATCCCCAAAAAGTAAGAAAATCTAAGACGGTTTGAGAAAATATATAAACTATTGAAAATTTGAATTAAACTTCTAATTTGGAAAAAAGAAATTTGGAAAGAAGAAAATTCAAAAATCGAGATTTAGACTCAGCATCAAATGGAGAACAAAATGTTTCTTCATATGAAGGAAAAAAATTTTCTTGAGAAGAAATAGAGTTTTTAAAATTTTATTATATGTAATGAAATAAACAAATATTAAAATTATTTTTTGATAACAAGAAAATTCCCAACAGAAAATATTTGAGACAAAGAAAAAAAGAAAATTGAAAAATATTACTCTTCTTTATATTTCATGAGATTTTAAATTTATTCTCATAAAATTGACAATTTTATACGTTTAGATAAAAATAAGTGATTTTGATTGAAATAAAAATTATTGTTTGCTTACAGCTATCAAATAGATTTTTGCTATTTTGATTAAAATTTGTTAATCAAATTAATAAATTTTTTCTAAATATCTTAAATATCTGGATCACTCACTGATACAATGAATTGAACGATAAAAATAATACAAACTCAAATAAGTTTCCTGTTTTTCAACTAAAAAAAATTATGCAAATTAAATTAAATTGTTTATTCAAATATAAAACAAAGATGAAGTAATTACAGTTATCATAAACTTTATGAATAACTCTGTAATTGGTTCGGATTTTCGTAAAAATATTTTTATTAATATCGATAAGAATACGTTTACCTACTATCACAACATATCGATAAACAAGAGTAGAGTGATTTTTATCATCGAAACTTTTTAAAAGCTGTAAGCTGGAAGGAAAAATCTTGTTTTTTCTGAGTTAGTTGTAGAACTATTGATGTACGAGTTATCATTGTGATGTAGAAGGATGTCAATGTACTGACTGAAGGATATGAAGTGAATTGAATTTCATTGAATTTCAATTTGATCAAAATTTGTTGAAATGATATGAATGTGTCAACATCTGTATCACTCTCTTTCACTCCTTCCCTATTCTTTCGAGAACGAAGCTAGCTCAGCTTTCGCGGAGCGAATTGACACCTTTGATGCCCTAAACGTACATATTCTCAAATTTATCGAAAAAATTATACCACCCAAACTAGTATATTCTTATTTTAAATATGATATTATCCTTAGAAATCACACTAGAATATATTTAAATCAACTTTTAAAAAAGTTCGAATCCTGCGCGTCTCACTTTTTAAATTTTCCAAAAGGAAAATTATATTCTCCTAAAATGAAAACAATTTTCCGAATTGACATCCTTAGGAAATGTTATCATATCTGAGAGATACCAGAAAAAACTTGATATCAATGAAAAAATTTAAATGAATCGTTTAAGGGTGCACACGAGAGGATCATGTAAACTTCAGAATTTAGAACCTTATTTTTAGGCATTATCTTGGCTACCTATTTTAGGCTCGAAAAGCAAAAAATATCAAAAAATACAACTTGACTCCATTATGACCCTTTCATGGAGGTAGTTTTTATCCGCTAGTATTTTCCCTTTGAATCTCTTTACAATTCGAAATCAAATTCAAACCTCAGTAGAAGAAAGGAAGAATCGACTTACTACGGTTGTAATACGAATAAATACATATATTTAATTATTTTTATTTACATAATAATTGTTTGAAGCTCATATTCCATCAAATTTTTAAATAAAAACATTAAAATGTTGAAAATGTTCATATATTTTAATAGGGTTTTGGCACTTTATTGAGGAATTACTACATACATAGTCGAACTGAACTTGATATTTTGAAATTTAAATTATTTATCAAAATTAAAATTTAACTTGAATTTTTAAAAAAAAAAAAAAAAAAAAAAAGGTAGTGGGGCCTCCAGGCACTTCGTGCCCTCTAGCCCTGAAGATGTTTAGTATAACTTTGTCCGGACAAGTAAGGGTCTATCGTCGCTACAGGAAAAGTTACAGGCGTTCCAAGGAAGTATACTTTGAGAAGCCTTCTTCTGGGTCGAAAACATTATATAATGTTTCGCTTTTCACAAATTATATATGTTTTCATGTTTTGTCATGACTTCTTCGTATATGTTTTGTCATGACTTCTTCGTATATGTTTTTGTCATGATTTCATCGTAAATGTTTTGTCAAGACTTCTTCGTAAATGTTTTGAAGAACTGAAGGTGTCACCAGGTCCCTCGGTCCCTCGGTCCCTCGGTCAACTAACATCTTTTTGAAAATGGTGACAACATGACATTTTGACAACAGTCCAGGAAATAAACTTCTTCTTCGTAAATGTTTTGTCACTTTTCCGTCACTTTTCAGGAAAAAACATTTTTATTATATATATATAAAATGAATTTTACAAAACCACCGTTACCCTTCTTTGGAAATAAGAGTAGATGTAAAGATATTCTATTGAGAGAACTTAAGAAACTACCGAATGGTCTAACATTTGTAGATTTGTTCGGTGGAAGTTTCTATATATCCCATTTGTGCCATACAATATTCCCAGACTCAAAGATTATATGCAATGACTTCGACAACTATATGGACCGTCTCAAACATATACCAGACACAAACAAAATATTGAAAGAGTTAAAAGAAAAGATACCTATAGGTAAGATGGAACGTATACCATTAGATAACAAAAATATTGTGAGAGAGGTTTTGAAAAAAGCAGAATATATAGACTGGGATAGTATATCTGCTAGACTATTATATAGTGGTGCTATAAGAGTTCATGACATTGAAACACTTATGTCAAAAGTTTTATATCTTAACTATACAAATGTTTTTCAAAGAGGACATAGAAAAATATATTGAGGGTATAGAGTTTGTGAGATGTCATTGGACAGAGTTGTATGAAAAATATAAAGACAAGGAAAAAGTTTTCTTTATAGTGGACCCGCCGTTCTATAACACATGGGATTTTCAATACCAAGTAGACTGGACTTTGAGAGACTCTTTAGAAACTTTAGACGTTTTACATAACTGTCCATGCTTTTACTTTACATCCGATAAAAGTGGTTTGGAAACCGTTATGAGATGGTTAGAGGACATACATGACTATGAGTTTAGATATGACAAGATAGAATATGAGAGAGGTCCTATAAACCGGAGAAAGTGTCATAACAAAGAAATTTTACTAGTAAGTAAATGTGGTTTGAAATAGGACTACTTGTTTTAGGTTTTTTCCATTGTGTCATTTATTTATTTGACGTGGCAGAAAAGTACAGAGAATATGAAGATGAACCAATGCCTGCAAATGTTCAGTATATGTACTCGTAAGAGATATTTTTTATCTAATATTAAATGGACGCACAGAACTTAGCGAATGCACAGCAACCTGGACAACCAAACCCAGAGAATATTCCAAATGAAGTTAGAATACAAACTGCAATGGCAAACTATGGTCAAGTGCCAACAGATGTACAAATGCAAACTGCCATGTCAAATGACGCTGCGTTAGGTTTGCCACCATGGTATGCAAATATGAGATGGAAAGAGTTTTATACAAACCCGAAGTGGGATATAAACAACTCTATGCAGATGACGCGAACACAGGAGTTGACCCAGAATATGTTTTCTACCAGAGGAGAAACAGAATGTATGAGCTCCAGTTAAAGAATGCTATGGAACTCAACAGGAAACGTAAGAGACTAGGTGGACATTAGATTTTTACATATAGTAAAATGGGTTTCTTCAGTAGTATTGGAAACTTCTTCAGAAGAGTTGGAAGAGGTATATGGAATGGAAAAAAATCTGTCGGAAGAGGAATTTGGAACGGAGTCAAAAATATTGGTAAAAGGGTAGGTCAGTTTGTTGGTATTATACCTAAAGACCCTGAACCAGAAGAACAAGCTCCTGTTATACAACAGCCTGAACCTGCACCACAGTCTAGTTGGCAACCAAATCCAACACCTCAACCGTATTAAAAAGTTATATTTTTACCGTTCGATAGTAGTTGTATATGAAACTAAGTTCTAAGTAAAACGCATGGTATAATGGAACTATTCTCTTTCTTCCATCTGTTGTAAACCATACTTGAAAGTCTGAAATACTTCCACTTGGTGGTTCGTATAACTTTGTAGGTTTTTCGTAAAAGTCATTTGCCAAGCATAAAAAGAGTTT